GTTTGTAGACACACAAATTTACCACATTTTTAAGGATACTCCAAAATATATACAAGATGTTTGTTTCTATTTTCATTGCCCATCTATTCAAGAGTGAACTGCATAAGGGTCTAGTGATAATGAGAAAGGAGGATACAATGTGCAATGTGACACTGTTCAGCTTAGTTAACAACAGGGACACCTTAAAGCCTCACCAGATAAAACACTAGATAAGGGAAATCATTATAGTCATTAAAGGCTGTGATTGCACATCGGGAGGGCAATCTGGGCTGAGTATAAATAGACAAAAGGCTGTTTGTCTTGTGTCTACGCTGAGACAGATATTTCTGTCAACTAAAGTCACACAGAGCAGTCAGTGCAGATACTGGGGCGTTTGGTGCCATCCTGTAGGCTAGGCATGCACTGAGCTGATACTGGTGTTGGAAATCAGCCGATATCTTGATTGGACTTAAAAATGTATGTAATATGATAATTTACTGGTCATAATTGGCCCAGAAAGTCAAATAAAGTTTGAACTTTTATTTATGCAAAGCTGTTCTGTTGTGAGATATAAATAGATACATAACACATTTGGATTGTGGATCGAATTGTGTCTTATAATTACTTTTGTTTAAAGGATTCTATAGGGCAAAATCAATTAATACAGATGGGAGCAGCTAAAATGTAATGTTATTAGAATGCAAAATTATGTTGTAATATGGTGAGTTTTTGGGTTTAGTCAGCAATTGAAAATATCAGGTTCAGCATTTGTTAATTTACCATTTGGATATTTCATCACAAAGTACAATGTAATCATTATGTAAATCTGTCTCTGGAATAATCTGAAAACCACCTATTGTTAGATCCTTAAAGTATCAGAATCAGTACTGGAACTGAAAAAGCTGGATTGTTGCATCCCTACTGTAGGCCAGTGGTTTTCAAACTCCTCACATCAATAATATAATGTGTGGCTTTCCAAGTACCACCAGATCTAAGCCCGGACTTTATCAGGCTTAAATTAGGTCTCAACATGGTCTAAAATTAGTTCAAAACATGTAGGCGATTTATCCAATGGAACACAAAAACATTGCTTTACCTCTAAATAAAACAAATAGCCAAACAATAGAGGGCTCTGTATACCACCTGAAGCAGCATGAGTCCACAGATTGAGAATCACTGCAGTACTATCCAGGTTAGAGTGACTAAGTAGAAAGTGAACTCCATGTAGCACTGCACTGGGCACGTACAACTTCGGCTACAAAATACCTTAGGTCCAGTTTTCTGCGTACAGCCCTGGTTTCATGGTTAACATCTTTACAGAAGTAGAGATCTGTTCCGAGTCAATCATTAGACCCCTTCACCTCCAGAATGTTAAGTGGTTTGGAAGGCTGATTGTGTTTTTAAGAGCCCTCCAGCCTGAAAAGAGAAGAGGAAAAAAGTCTGGTACCTGTGACAAGCTATTGTAACAAAAATATAGCCGTCAGGAGCAGTTTGCAGATAATTGCTGGCTGTAACTGTTATGGCATCAAACTTCTCGCATCAAGATGTGACAAAAGGTAAATGTGCATGCAGAGAATAGACAGAGGAAGGTGGAGACACTGTGGGTAGTGAGTGGCAGTTTAAAGGTCCTATATTACGCAAAATTGACTCTTGTGAGCTTTTAACCATGATAGAATGTTTTTACATTGTCAAAAACATACCTGGAGTTGTGTTTTGTTTCATTCACACATTTTTGAACAATTCTGCATTATTAGTTTCTTTAATCTTGTGATGTCATGTAGTGGTAGTTTTCAAATTAACAGCTACATTTTACATTTTATTCAGTAGAGATTGGCATTTCCAGGGCTGAAATTGTCAAAGTGATTTTAGTGAAGGTTTATGGAGTTTAAAAACATAGTGGAGCACTTCTGTATTATCATATGACTTCACAACATGTAACAGAGTGTTTTCCTTTTGAGAGAGGGCCTAAATATTCTGGGTTTTTGTGTTAAACATGTGTGAATGAACAAAACAAACTCCAAGTATGTTTTTGATGAGGAAACACCATTACAGCAGATCAGAAAATAGTGAAATATGGACACGGAAATTAAAATGTGTTTTTGATCTGAAAGCACAAAGTTAAAAATGTGCCTCGGTCAGGACAAACAGATCATAAATTTACACCTTCAAGCTGTGTTTCTGCTTTGATTAAACACATAATTTCAGATGTTCTCTTTCAGAGTTGTGCTGTTTGCATCCATACATTATAGATTAAGTGTTTTCCTGCATAGAAATGTGAAACCAATGTAAAAGCGGTTTAGTAGCAGCTAAACATCATAGTCAAATGTCGAACAAAACACTGTAGGCACCATAGTTATTTATTGTACCCTCTACAGCTCAAATCTCCTCGTAGTACAGAAAAATTGCAAAAAAAAAAATCCCCACTACTGCAAAGACTAAGTACACACAATAAATGTTAAAGGTGAATTTCGTAACATTTTGGTTGGGAGTCTGTCACCTGCTTGTTTTTATGGTTATGTCATTGCTCTGCTTGGTATTACTCTGCACAATATGGCATTAAACAGCTTTACTTTACATCTATTCAATTACAGGTGGTTTTAAAACTCAAAAACACCTTGAAAAACAGGCAGTCTGACTGTGAGCGGAGTTGCCTCTCTACAGATCTGATCTGTAACTTGGTCTCCATGAAGATATAAAGATTTAATATTGTGAAAAATTCTAAATGAAGCAATAACATCTTCATGGTGGAAAGCATTTGACACACCCTCCACCAGAAAAGTTACACAATGCCCCTGTAAGTCCCAAAATCTATTGCATAGTGCTTTACTAAGGTAATAAAGTAAAGTGATTATCGTGACAGGCCTAGGTTTACCTCTGAATAAAACAAATAGTCAAACTGCAGAGGGCCCTGAATACCATCAGAATTAGGTTACATAGTGCCAGACCACAGTTTAAGAAACACTACAGTAGGCTATCCAGGCTAGAGTGACTAAGAAGAATGTGAACTCCATGAAGCCCTGCACTAGGCACATAACTTCAGTTACAAAATACCCATACAGTTTTAGATCCAGTTTTCTGAGTACAGCACTGACTGGTTTCAGCAAAACACTGTAGTCAAAAGTTGAACAAAACAATATAGACTGAATGAGATGAAAAAGGAGCAGAGATATCAACATTCGTCATTGGCTTTTCTTAAATTAATGCAGAATTAAACAGAGGACACGCTGGTGCACTGGGAGTATGTCTTATGAAAACCAGAGGGGCAGAGGCTAGTTTTAATTGCATCCCTTGGCTGTTATGACAAATGGAAGTGATGCAGGCGCAGAGTTATTATGTAGACAATTTGAATGTTTTTTTTTTTTTATATATATATATATTTTTATCTAGTGTAAAATGGCTGTGAAAATACACAAGTTCACACTTCTTCCACACTTCGGATTTCTCCTGCAGTCCTCCTGACGTCATGTCTGGAGTCAAAGGCCTCTGTTGACCTAACTCTCATTTGTCCTTTCACTCTGTCCCCAAACGGCATTGTATAACTGCACACAATCACACGTGGATTTCAGACCGATAAGACTAACCACAAGTCCTTTAGGTGCTCAGTCAGTTTACAATGTTTATGCGTCAGTCACAGCCCATCTGACCACCAATCACACAAACATGTTCAGTGCAAAGTGGGAGAAGAGTCCTGCAGAACACAATGAATCAAACCACCATCCATCAGGTTTAGATTTTGGTCAAATGTATTTTCATCTTTCTAAAACCACAGTATATAACTTTTTAGCCTAAAAATAGACTAAAATAAAAGCATCCTCCATTCATCCTCTTCACTTTGTGTGGGTTTGCATCTCCACAGACTTGACTCTTCTTTGGCCAGGAGGGGAGACTCTTGCATGTTTGCATGGAAATGTTGTTCCTTTGGCTATAATCTGTCTTCATGGAGACTATGGTTTAACTTTATATTATATTTAAATGGAATCATGCAGGTGACAACAACCTTGAGTGAGATTGGTGTGTACCATATGGTACAGTAAAGAGCTGCTTGATTTTCTTACAAATCAAGTTGAGATGAGAAAAGTGGTTTATGTTTTTCAGTTGGGATTTAAGAGCAGGTGAATTTACTTAAATAATTCCTATTCGGTAGGTTTAGATTGAATTGTGATTAATCGTACAGCCCTGCAGTAGCCATAACCTCTATTATCACACAAAGACATTGACTAATGTGTGTAATAGCTTAAAGAAATCATGAATAGTTATTTTGTACAAGAGACGCAGATCTCCAAACCAGGAGCAAAGCAAATCTGACCCTGTCCCAGTTCTCCAGCACTGATTAGCTGGGTCAAGGTTGGTACCTTTGTCCCACGTGTTGCCGTAACAACTGAGCATCTTTCTTTGGCTGCCATGGCAATGCGTCAGAAATAGGGTGAGTTTGTAGAGAAAACATCAGAAACATCTCTGCATAATGTATTTAGATGTGAGCCTGTCATCTGTGTATCATCGTATAGTTCAGTATTCAGTATCCAGTGGCTTCACACAGACAGAGGGTAAGAGGTGTCAGTCATAATTCTGCTCAGCATTCACTTCTCAGCACTGGAACTGGCGTCTGTCAACCAGCCTAGTCTGACTTATGGCATTTAGATATAAACTCCCTGAATGTTAACACCTAAAATAAAGGGGTACTGAATAAAAAATAGACTTCATGGATAACTACAAATGTCAAGACACTAAATTTGCCATAAATTTATAACTGATAACCATCACTTAAACTTTACATAACATTTACTCTCTTACATCTTTTTTTTAATGATGTGACATGCAGAAGCGTTGTTTCTCTACCATGGTTCAAAATCAGATTGTGAAGGGAGTGAGTGGGCAGAGCTAAGAGTTCGATCTGAGCCTCTGTCATGATTCAGATTTTAGCTCAACAAATTTTATTCAGAATAAATATTCCTTATGTATTTTCGGAATATTTGTCAATAACATAAGATTTTAATTAAAGTTGTGTTTCTTTCTGTCCGCAGGTGTTGTCGATACCAGTAGACCAATGGCACTTGATGGAGACAGCACACACAGAAGCACCGGTCCAGTCCCATAATAACAACAGTGTGGAGTGTGCCTTCAGGCCCTGGACAAAGCCATTATAACACAACAATCATACATCAGGTGATCAGGCGGAAAGAGGACGCTGTAGGCTCTATCTCTGTCTCTCCGATTACAGATTAAACCACCGAACATACGTCATACCCACATCAAGCTTTCTAAAAGCTCAGCCCACAGTGGAAAGGGTGGGTTGAATATGCACACCTGCACAGCCACAGCACGCAGCTAAATGAGTGGCAGTGGCAGACGCATACAGCCTTGGCTTAACACATACACACATTAAATGAGCAGGACAAAGCGAGCGGGACAGATGCTGCCCCTGCCCCACTTCCTCTAGTCGTCACACAGCCAGCTGGAAAGAACATGGGATTTGGAGCTGATTGGTTTTGTCTTTTTTTGTTGTCGTGACCTCTGTGAACCGCTGTCACCGTTTTCTTAACATGGCATCTTCACTTCTTTCTTATCTATAAAAATCAGTTTTCAATACAGACCACTGGGCATGCTTTGACTGCTTCTCAAAAACTGAAAATTATTAGCATTTTTTTCAATCTCTCCCTGGACACAGCAAAAAAAAGGCTCTCACCGGGACTGTGTCGTGACTTTTTTATTTGAGCTGTTTTAAATGCATTGCTTCTGCCATTAAGAGTTGAAAAAGTTTGTATCTGGCAAAAGTTTAATGAAACCATTCTTAACTGCTATTCACCAGGATCCTTACCAAACAAGCAAGAACAATAGATTGAATAGGACTGCAGTAGTAAAGCAAAACCTTGAGAAAACGGGAAGATATAAAGTGTGGTAACATTAAGAGACAGAAGAGGAATAGTCAAGAGAAACCTCAAAGAAGTCAGATCAAACGAAAACATGAGGATAAAAAAACATAGCCTGAGAAAGTTTTTTTCCTTGTAACTCTCTTGTAGTCATGATGGAACACCCTTGGAGCCAGACGTCCTCCTTGTGTCTCCTCCTCCTCGGTCGCCCCCTCCCCTCAGCCCTCCCTCTCTCCTCGACTGTGCTCTAGTCCGCACGCTCTCCACATCGCTCCAGTGCATCGACAGCCACTGAACACCACACACACCGCTCCTGCAGCTTCTACAGATGGCTGCCAAACTTAAGAGGAACAGCTTCTATCAACACAGCACACTGGATTTGGATGAGAATGAACATCGGAGCTAGCCAGAGGGAAAAGAAAGAGACGAGGTGCAGTGGAGGCCAGAAAGGGGAGCGAGAGAAGAAGCGTAATTAAAGGCAGAGTTCAGGAGTGGAAAAATCTGGAGTGGAGCTTATCTGCAGGACAGCTCGCGTGGGGCAGGCATTGTGGGTGATCCCGTGGTGCACAGTGTGAGCCAGGGGGTGGTCCCAGTCACAGTGAGCAGGTCTTGGTGGTGGCTCAGTGGAGGCCGTGGGCTCAGGACAGTGGCAGGCTCAGGGGTGGGGGCATGGCCGTGGGGGGGGCGCTTCCTGTCCTCCACCCTGCAGCGGGAGCGGCGCTGGGGCTGGGGGACCTGGGGCGGGGGTCTGTCCAGAGGGGCCCCCGGCAGACTGTCCGAGTTGAGGCCCTGGCTCTCGACAGGAGGGGTGCCTGGGAGCGGAGGTAGCAGCGAGCTGGACAAGGGCGGCCGGATGAGGTGCTCTCGTAGACTGTGCATGCTCCTGGGGACACTGGTGCTGGTCTTCCTCACCTCACTCTTCTTCTCCATGTCTCTGCGTGGGGGGGTGGGCCTCAACTACCTGGAGCCCCCCAGCTGGGAGGAGTCCAGGCGAGTGAAGCTGGTGCCAAACTACGTGGGTGCCCACCGCCTGTCCCCTCCAGACCTGCCTCAGCAGAAGACCTGTGCCTGCCCTCGCTGTGTGGGGGACCCTGGGGTGTCCGAGTGGTTTGACGAGAACTATGACCCAGACATCTCTCCTGTGTGGACCCGTGACAACATCGAACTGCCCTCTGATGTGTACTACTGGTGGGTGGTAAGTAACATGCTGTTGTACGATTACATATTCAGGTATAAGTGAAATGGAAGTTGATAGATGAAACACTGTACACAGTACAAAGATGTCAGCAGGACAGTAGTACAAGTAGACTTTTACAACAAGAGATACTTATTTCACTTTCTTTATTTTGCAGTGCATTAAAATGGGCTGTTAATTGCTCTTAGTGCTTTAGTGTCCTACTGTTATTAGCCTATCTTTCAAAGCAGCCAATGTTTAATGAGCCATTTGTACTTGCACAGTTAAACAGCAGAAAAAGTACTATACAGCTTTTCTTGCTACACAAAAGATGAACCAAAAGACAATCTCTTTAGCTGTTAGAAAGATTAGGTTCCACTTGGTTTTCCTTAAATTATCATGTCTAAGATTTGGATAAAATTGCAGCATCTTGAATGTGGCTTCTTTATTGCCCTATGGCGTTTTTATGATGAGTGTGTGATATACAGTAACTTGGCAAGAATGTCAGCAAGTAATGCATTGCAATTACAAATCTCTCTTCATCCTCTTTATCCTCAGCTGTGAACCAACCAATCCCTTCATACAAGCACTACATGCCCCCATATTTTTCTGCCAGTTCGGCGCATTATAGCTCTGACAACTGTATTTCCTATAAGCTATGCAGACTTGTGCCTAAAATACAAAAAGTAATGTGTCTCAAAGTGTAGATGATGAGGAAACTTTGACTGTATGCTGTTAGTCATACATTTAACAGCAGTTTTAAAGAAGTAACTTTTCCACTAACCTGTCCAGAGTCCAGTGTTCTTCAGCAGAGTCCTGTTTAAGAGCCATTGCCCCACTCTCTGAAATGAACAAAAAGTGCAAACACAAGTCCAACTGCTGCCAAGTCATTAGGTCACACACTCTGTCACAGTGAGGTGAGGAACCTGGGGAGACAGAGCAGGGACAAGGGAACAAAAGGTCAGAGAGGAGAAGGCAAATAGTGATGGATAAACAAGAAAGGAATGAGCCTGTGAACTAGTTAGCTCAAATATGGACTTAAATCTGAGGAAACTAGGCTCACTGTGAAAATCCGTAAATATATTAAAATATTAGTATGGTACACAATATACTTTTTATATTTTGGAGCAATTTAGTAAAAATGACAAGATTTGTATCATTTAGTTTACATCTAGATTGGACAAAAAGAGTTAAGGGTTAACACAGGAGCTGTGATTTTAAAAAGATCTACTACTACAACAAAAATGTTAAATAAAAATGTTAGGCCAAAACTGCAAAAGGAATTGCACAATTATTTTATGAATCATGTAAAAATCTCTAAAAAAGTTCTTGTGAACCTAATCTTGTGTCTTGTCTTGTGGAATTTGTCTCATCCCAGTAAAAGCTGCCAGTCTGTACAATACAGCTTTGTAAATCCAGTAGAATTTGTTTTTGGTCTTTTTGGAAATATGAGACGAGCCATTAGCTTGCATTGTTTCATTTTTTTTATTTTATTTTTTTATTATGTTGCACTTCTTATGTGGAAGAATTTTATTATTGGTTGTTTGCCCTTTTTGCATTAGAAAACATCCACATTTTATAACAGTTTCTTACAGTATGAAGCCACAAGTTGCAGTAAAACATCAGCCATATTTTTTTTAGTTTGTGAAATCTGGACAGACGCATTGAGTGTGCTACCTCTGTTTGCTCCTGTCCCCTCATCAGTGAGTTGCAGCGCACCCTGCTTTTACTGCCCAATAATTCCTGGCCCAGTGTTACTTTCCATAAAAGTGATTCAAGTGAGTTCCGCTCCGCCGGGCAGGTTTTAAATTTATGAAAAAGAAAAGAAAAAAAAAGAAAGCTCAGATTATACCCTCAACCCATAGCCACAGATGGCCAGGGATGCTGTGTTGCTGCATCGAAGGTATATAAGGTTTAAGAGACAATTTCCTGAAGGCTTTGTTAATCTTGAAGAGAATTGCAGCTTTAAGATTACAAAACACAGTATATATGTATTGCAAGTAAAGATGAGAAATAATCTGACTTTGTAAACCTCTTCAGAATAAATCTTTTGTTCTTAGATTTGCACAGAAAAAACTCCCGGAGGCACATTTTATTAGGCTTTCCGGTTTTCTTTTATATTGACAAGATATGGAATTTATTAGATGTGCAGTCTGCAAAGGCAAGCTAGAGAAGATCAATAAAAGCATTTGAACTTAAGTTGAGTTAATGGATGTGCTGGTGAAGCTGAGGTCAGAGCAAAAACACTATATATCTGAGCTGCAGTGGTTTTCAGTCATCACCACGTAAAGGTCATGTGCACATTAAGAAGCAAAGAGAAATGGATTTTAGTAGTAGGTTTTAGTGGATATGCATTGGTAGCTGTTAGAATGGCTACATTTATTAAGCTAACTCAATTCTTTCAAGTTTTTGTTAGCTTTGTTTATGTGATTAAATTACCAAAAGAACGCACCAGTTTGATTTGTTCCTCTACAATAACTCTACATAACTTTAAGTACCCATATTACTCGATTCTCTGATCTATGTTATCATGTTTTGTCATCAAAAGCATACCTGGAGTTGTGTTTTGTTTCACTCACACATGTTTAGCACACAAACTCTGCATATTTAGGCTGAGTTCTTCTCTCAAACAGGATTCACTCTGTTCCACCTTGTGATGTTACGTGGTTATACAGACAGTGCTCCATGTGTTTAACATCTCCATACACCTTCACTGCAATCATTTGGATAATTTTAGGCCTGAAATTGCCAGTGTCTGCAGAACTAAAGGTAAAACTACCACTACATCACAAGGTGGATAGAGCACTTTGAGCTTTGGAGATGAAAAAAGACTAATAATAAACAGTTACTCAAACATGTGTGAATGTAACAAAACACAGCTCCAGGTATGTTTTTTGAAGGTGTAACAACCTTCTAACTTGAGAAAGAGTCAATTTTGCATAATATAGGACTTTTAAATGTGATCTTAATTTTACTTAACAATAGTATTCTAACCTTTCATGACTTTGACTTCTATATCAAAATCTATTAGGGTAAATCCATTTAGAAACCATGGCTGTCACTCACTGCAACTGTGCATTTTTAAACCTTTTAAAAAGTCTTTCATATTTATTGACATATATCTGCATAATGCTATCCTTGCTCTATAGCCAGTGCGGGAGAAGGTGCATTTTTGTTGTAATTTATTCTCCAATTTCTTCTCCAAACAAGGAGCTGAATAATTAAGTTTTTATGGGCATATTGAGATCTTTGTTTTACCAGACATTTTTTATGACACTGTGCTTTTACTGCAGTTGATGATACAGATTAGGACAGGGCAATATGGGGAAAAAAAGAATCACAATTGTTTACAATACACAATATTCATCTATCTCTATTTTCAATTCGATCTTCTTCCATCTTATTAAAAACATACCAACTGGACTTTTAAATTCTGCAGATTTAAGTCAAAACTTGTGAACATGTGAGGAGCCAAAGGCATACGCTGTGGCTCAGGCTACTTTTTCTTGAACAAGAGTGTGTAAATCCTCATCAGCATCATGCACTCTTGCTGCCACATGATGGGCTGTAGACCTGTTGATTTAAATGTGCTTGCTTTATCGTCGAGATTGACCAAAGCAGAGCTTGCTATCTGTCATTCTTTCGATTTTTGATTATCTGCTGATACTCAATATAAAGAGATACCAGTGCAGAGACATTTATTTCCTTAAAACACAAATTAAATAAGACAGAACTGAACCAAATGAGTTATGTAGCAGTTCTTTATTCCTCAAATACAGACCTTATATTTGGAAGCTGATATCCAGTCCAGCAAACTTTACAGTATCTGTGCCGATATCTGTTACCAGTATTTTGAGCATTTATTCAAATTATGAATAAATGCTCAAAATAGATAGTTTAATGTCGCAATAATCACTGTGTTAACAAGCAATGCTAAACAACTTGACCTTCATATGGACAAGAAAAGTTCTCCATTAACTTTAAGGATAGGAGCCAGGTCGCTTATAGCTGCATAGTCAGGGGAGCCTTGACAGAATAAAGCAAAGATACTTTTTGGCACTCCTTCCAAAGTACATCTGCCAGATATTAGCAGCAGTCCCAACAATGGCAGCAGAGTATGCCAAGTCTGTCCCCTGCGTCACTTTCGAAAGCCAAACTCAAAAGTGGAGCAGTGAGAAAGTGAAAATAAACTGCAGCTAGAACAAGAGAAGACAAAACGTTGAAAAGAACTGAAAAAGATTGACAGGTTTTGAATGAACTATGTCTTATGAGATTAGGATTAGAATTGAGGGCAGGGACAAACGGGAGCAAGAGAAATTTTGAGGAGGAAGTATGCTCTCGGGACAGGACGGTATGTGAATAAAAAACAAGCTTTCAGCAGATGTGTGTGTCAATTGAGGAGGCTAATGGTGAGTGAAAGGAAACTGTGACAAATATACCTGTCATGATAATTGCTATATTGGGTTATTGTTGAGTGTATGCTAGATGGAGCAATCATTTTTTAGGCTAAATATTTATCGTTGTACTTTTTCTTTGTGCTAGTGGGGGCTTGTGCTAGTAATTCTACTTAAAGTTACACTGTGTAGCTTTAGTTCGGGGTCCGTCACAGTCTTTTTTTCCATTGATATGTCATTGCTCTGCTTGAAATGTTCCACAATAGGGCATTAAACAGATCTACCTTACATTTATTCAAATACAGTCGGGTGTATTGCTTAAAAATACCAACAAAAACAGGCATTCTGACCATGCCTCTCCACAGATCTGACCTGGTTTGGTCTCCATGATGATAGAAATGTTTAATGCCATACTATGAAACATTCCAGACAAAGCAATAACATCTCTAGGAGAAAATCAAGTGGTCTTCAGCAATATATCGCACTTGTAAATGTTTTAGCGCGACAGGCCTAGTGACAAAAGCTGGTTATGTTGGAGAGGGACCCAAAATGTCCACGTAGCATCTGGCTGTACTGTGTGAATTGCAGTGCAGGTGTTGTGTGTTTACAGGCCCGGGGGAAGGCTTACTCATGTGGTCAAATGATGAGGTCCGTCTCCAGTAAGAACGTGTCATCATCATTTCTGTTTATGAGCTGCCAAGTCGAAGCTAAAATCTAAAATGGGAGAAAATTGGGCTCTCCACATTCAAATCATCTCAAAACAATGAGAATTTATTTTTGCTTCAGACCGGGAACACGCCTCCACAGTGTCTCACAATATACAGCCCCAGGATATAGTGGAATGTATTGTAAATTAACACTGTTGCGTAAGTATTTTTTATTTTTTATTCGCCAGCTATATATATATACTTTAGAAATGATGTTTGTGCTTTTGAGTTTCTTGGAGAAAATGATCTTCCTCCTAGCAATTTATTCCATATTGATTTGACACAGACTCTTCTTCAACAGTCTTTTCTATTTAGACTAGCACAAAATACAGTACCCTTTGACTCCTTTGATGCTGTTGAATTTTAAATTACTAATTTATCAGATTTGCATTTCCTCATTTCAGATGCTCTATAAATCATGTTTTATTTTAAGAGGAAACAGTCAACAGAACACTGTACTCTATAGGCTTACACAGTGTTTGCTTTAGATTATGGTGGCTCAGATCATTTTTTATTGGTACAATTTCATTTTATTTCAATTTGTCGAGTATAAATGTCGCTTTCTGTCTATATTTAATCCTAACACCAGTCATTTTGATCAAGGGTAGTCTCTATTATGAGTTTGTGATAATACAATGAGCAACAAAGTCTAATTTTGTTATGCCAATGTGCAGTTCAGGTTATTTTTAGACTCTGGGGGAGAATTTTACTTCCCAATTACTTTTCCATTTACTTCCCCATTAATACAGGAGACTATGACCCCCCATAGTCTCCTGTATTAATGGGAAACACTGATTTACAATATACTTTCCTAGTTTAATAAGAGATAATTTAGTATAAACATCTCAGGCCTTTAACCCTAAGACATAAAATTCCAACTCATTAAAGGTCCCATATTCACTCATTTTTTCTGATCTAGTAGACTAATAATAAAGGCTTACTTAAACATGTATGAATGAAAAAAAAAACAGAACTCCAAGGTCTGTCAGTTTTGTTTGATATAGGACCTTTAACTTCAGCTCAGTGTTACGGTTAAAAATGTGAGGTTGGAGTTTCAACACTGCATTTTGCCCCAGTTACATTCTTTACATTCTGCTCAGGCTTTGGGTTGTTTTCTGGTGTTTTGGAGAGAGCTCTGCGCCTTGTCATTGCTGTCACTTTTATTTATCCCTTTTGGACAAAACAATGTTTTTGTGAGTGACAGTGGAAATGGAAACTTGCGTGGTGCACAACACTCCAGCTCAGCATCGTCTTGAGTAAATCTGGGGTGTTTCTTTTGCAAACAGTCTGAGAAAAGGCAATAAAGAGAGAAAAACAAGCAAAGAAAGACAGTGTTTGCGACCTCAACATTTTCTGACTTGTATTAAAGTCAAAAGTGTCTTTTCTCATTTCAGTATTTTCCATTAGTTGTCTTAAGTTTTTTGACAGAAGGCAGCCTGTTGTAATAGGACCTTTTCTTTCCATGGTTCATTTATAATGTTCCTGGCAAGAGGCATTACCAAAAATGTAATATGATGTAATATGACAATTATAAACATCTCCCTATGTAACTTTTCTGGGGGAGCGTCAGTCAGTTGCTTGTCTGTAGTTATTGGTTCACCTGGAATTTTCCACAGTATGGCATTAAACTTATGTATAATGTATTTATTCCATTACAGGTGTTTTTTTTATTCAAATACCATACACTTTTATTTTCTCATTTATCAAACTGTAGTGCAAATTGAATATTTGTTTTTATTTATTTGGGTTAATTGTCATTTAAAACTTCCTTATTCATGGTTTAGTCTAATTTCTGACCATTTAGTCCCATTTTAGACCACGTTAGGCCTAATTAAGTTTTAATATGGTACAAGTTTAGATCCAGTGGTACTTGGAAAACCAAATTTTAGGTTTAAGGTGGTATTTGGTGAAAAAAGCTAGAGAACCACTGCCTTATAAAATGCATTCTTACTGTGAGCGGGGTCACTTCTCCACAGATCTGACCTGTAACTTGGGCTGATGGTGCTTCCTGCTTGCCTCCATGGTAATAGCAGGGCAGACCATCACAAAGAGCATTCTCAAGTAACTGACGATATGAAGAGTGTAAAGCTACTGAAACTTTTTTCTATTAAGACCTTTTATTATGCTTTTTTCTCTGTGTAGATGCTGCAGCCACAGTTCAAACCACACAGCATCCAGCAAGTGCTTATGAGACTCTTTCAGGTATTTATATAATGAATACATCTTGCCATTACTGTAGCACTGTCAAATCATCTGTGTGCTCAGGGCCCATTACCTCACAGTTGCAGGCAAAGGCCACAAGGAGCGGATTATCTTTTAGTAGACATTAGGGCTTCAACAGTAACTAGCTTCCTTTTTCACGTTTTGTCTGTGTGTGCGATCTGCTCCATAACTTTAACCTTTGTAGCTCCCCGTGGGCTCACAGTGTTTAATGTATTTTTCATGAACAACTCACCGCAGTATCACAAGTTTCATCAAACAAGGCTTAGCTGCAGGTTATCCCATGTCCTCTTATTGCTATTTTAGGGCAAGTGTCCCATTTCATTAAACAAAGTCTGCTCTTTTAACTTGGATGCTCGCTGTCTTAGGTGATTCCCGGTAGATCTCCATATGGGTCATGGGATCCAGGTCGCTGTCTGCGCTGTGCGGTGGTTGGAAACTCCGGAAATCTGCGAGGAGCCGGATATGGGGCTACTATCGATGGGCACAACTACATCATGAGGTGAGAGGAGAGATGAGATGGAGAGACTTGATAGTAGAAGGTATTAGAAACAAGTGCACTAAAGGAAATTAAAAAGTCTGGATAACAAATGAAAAAAGGAATTGGAGTCAGTAGAAGTTCTTGCGATGCCTGCAAGGATTAATCAACTAATCGTGACTATTAAAGGCCTATATTGCACTATTTTCTGATCTATGTTATAATGTTGTTTCCTCATCAAAAACTTATCTGGAGTTTAACACACAAACCCTGCATATTTAGGCTATGTTCTTCTTTCAGCAAAAAACAAAAACAAAATACATTCTTGCACCTTGTGATGTCATGTGGTAATACAGAAAGTGCTCCAGTGTTTTTTTAACTTCCATACACTTTCACTAGAATCATTTGGATGATTTCAGCCCTGGAATTGCCAATCTCTACTGAAGAACAGGCAAAAGGTAGCTGTTGTGCTTTAAAGATGTAGACAGACTAATAATAAAGGATTACTCAAACATGTGTGAAAGAAAAAACACAGCGCCAAGCATATTTTTGAGGAGATAACAACATTTTAAAATGGTTTAAAGCTCACAAGAATCCATTTTGTATAATATAGGACCATTAAAAATAATCATAGTTGTTTTAATTATCATAATAATCATTATCTGGAATATACAGCCTCTGTAACACATACAAAGGTCTCAATATACAAAATAAATCACTGGTTAAAAATAGTTTACTGTGATTTCCTTACTTTGTTATTATGTCAGTGGCATAAAGATAAGATAGTGGCAAATAGATAATATACTACAATAAACAATAATGCTATTTTATTTCTGTAGAAATATATCGCACTTCAAAATGTTTTCTCGTGGCTGCCCTAGATGTGTCTAATTCTGTATATTTTGCGCGTAATCCTTTGCCCCTCTGTTACTGGTTAAAAGAGTGGCCACCTGAACCATGCAGCATCAGCACAAAGAGCTTTATGTCTCAGAAGCTGGATCCTATAGCAGCTCCCTCACACACACTCTCGTACACACACTCACAGCAGGCCACATAAATCCCTTTGTCTCTTTGCACTGCAGCAGAGATGAATCACACAGCGTAATTGTTGTCACTTGGCATGACATATGGCTATATATATTTCTGTTGGACTGACCGACCATGTACTGCTTTGAGGAGTCTGAAAATATAAAAGTTAAAAGGTCCATTTAAGTCAGTACGCGTCAGGAAACGCACTTGTCATGAAATATAGAGTATGCCAGCCAGGTGCAAGGAGAGTCTGTTTTATTTATGTGTGTTCATGGTTTTCAGAGTCTAGGATGTGGTGATGTCATGCTCCTAGATGGGGGGCAAGAGCCATTTTTTCCTTTTGATAGCATTGTATTTTACCATGAAACATCCAAAAGGTGAATTCACAAATATTATATACCCAAGAACTGCAAAAGTATTCTGCATTTTAACAATCTATACCATCTGTACTTAATATTGTAGGTCTATTGATATTTTACATCTGACATCATCAGCATTTCTTGGATGTGTAATGTTAAATATATCCCCTGCTCTGTCTGAAGCTCTAATATTCAAGTTAGACTTTAAAGGGACAGTTCAGAATTTTGGACATAGGACCTCATTTCGTAGTGAGCCAGAGTGTTAGAAATGTGTGGAGACACTTTTTAAATATTCCATCCAGTCCTTGTTTTTGCAGTGGTCACTTGTGCTAGGCTAGTGCATGTCAATGGCCATAGTTATCTTGTCACTAAAAACAGTCTTACCCACTCCACAAAGCACCCAAAGCAAATCTGTTATTACACCAGACTGTCGATGTGAATGTCTGTGTTGATAGAATAATGTTTGAAATAAAACTAACCTTGCATCGCATTGAATTGTGTTGATGAATGTTGAGGAACTATTTTCTCATATATCTGTCCGCCACTGCCAAGCTTTCTATCAGGAAGTACAACTCGCTGCTGCTGCTCAGACATAAATCCTTCAAATGCAAGATTGGTTTTATTTCTAAAATTATTATATCAACACAGACATCCACATTGACAGTCTGATGTAATAACAGATTTGCTTTGGGTGTTTTGTGGAGTGGGTAAGACTGTTTTTAGTGGCAGGCTAACTATGGCCATTGACATGCACTAGCCTAGTACCAATGACCTCTGCAAATACAAGGACTGGGTGGAATATTTTTAAAAAGTGTCTCCACACGTCTCCAGCACTCTGGCTCACTAGGAAATGTCCAAAATTCTGGACAGTCCCTTTAATCTGAGTTTTGTTTTAACACAATCAGACCAGAAAGAGCTGACTTGGTTGGAAATACAACACGTGAACTGATTTGTGCTGTTAAACTGTAAAAAAAAAGAGTCAAATTTTTGTTGAAAATCAAACACCTAAACAGGACCATGAACGCTTGTATTGACCACTGGCTAATGCAAATGCGGTACTCAAATCCATTTTTTTATTTTTATTTTTTTTTGTATTTTGTATTTTCAAACTATCTTAAAACATTTTGGCAGTCTTGCGTTTCCATGGTAACATACAGCATAGAGATGCATGTAGAACAATGTCAATAACCTTGATCTCTTAAGCAACACTTCATCACTCAATTTTGTTTTAGAAATCACTACAATAACCAAGAGCCCTTCTACATGTCACATTTAGACAAATCATTACTAGGCCTGTCACAAGATCTATTTTTGAAGTACAATATATTGTTACAGAGATATACAACTATAAACTATAATACTGAAACTACTTTCTGCCACTGCTACAATAATAATAAAGCAAGATAATACCAGTAAACCATTTTAAATAGACAGTAACATTAAAAGGCCTGAGCTGCAACAAATAAATAGCAGAATGAACTGATGTTTACCGATAGAAGTTACTTTTTCATTATATTACAACAAAAATACCCCAAAATCTCTCCATTATTGCAAAAAAAGTATACACACGATAAATATTGAGCTGCGAAATATATTGTCCCATCTTTCATATGCTGAAGTCGATAAAGTAATTATTGTGACAGGCCTAATTATAATGCCCTTGAGTATCATTGTGCTGACATTAATATTTAAATAAAACGCCTCACCTCTCTCATTTTGGACACATAACCATATTTGTTGTCAGACACAGTATCGGCGTTATTATGCGTGAGTGTTGTACTCTAGACCTGAGTGGGCAGACACCAGATTTTCCACACACATTGATTCTCATTTGTGTTTTAAATCACTGCAGTCTGGCCTCCTGCCTGTCCGCCCTTTGGCTCACTGCTCTCAGTGTGCGTCTGCTTTGTTCAGCTTCATATGGGAACATCGAAAAATCATTTGCTCAGAAGCACTTTCATATTTAGATAAACACCTCCAGACAGTGACTCAGACCTACTGTAAATACACACAGCTGCCAATCTACAACATAAGCTAAGAATAGAAAAATATAAGTAACCAAAATTTGTAGCCACACTTCTCACATTTTAAGTTAGTAGCTCCCTGATGTATGCTGAGGTGGGTTCATTATCACACTAACCTTGTTGTAGTTGGTACGGTGAAGTTGTGGGTTCTGAAATGGAAAAGTTTCTCCAGTTGAAACTCCACACAGCTTTTTGTTTAAGACTGAAGTTTTAGGGCTTTATCTCTGGGCACTGCAGCAAATCCGGGACACTTGGGAGATATACTGTAGGCACTGGAAATCAATAAGCATCTGTCTGTATCTCATAAAGTGCATAATAAAAGATATATTGAAGATTGCATGTGAAAGGTCCTATATTTTACTAAACTGACTTTTGTGAGCTTTAAGCCATGTTATACTGTTGTTACCTCTTCAAAAACATACTTGGAGCTGTGTATTGTGCACATATGTTTAAAGAACCCTTTATTAAAAGCTCAATGTCTGTCTATATTCTCCAAAACTCAGAATGCTCTGTTCTACCTTGTGATGTCATGTAGTAGTTTTCAAGTCAACATATACCATTTACCTTTAGTTCACTAGAGACGATATCAGGGCTGAAATTATTCTAGTGAAGGTAAAAACAGGGTGGAGCACTTCCTGTATTACCACATGGCATCACAAGGTGGAACATAGTGTTTTCAGTCGGAGAGAAGAACTCAGCCTAAATAGGCAGCATTTGTGTGTTAACTATACATGTGAGAATGAAACAAAACACAACTTTGGGTTTGTTTTTGATGAGGAAACGGCATCATAACATAAATCAGAAAATAGTCATATGTCTAATATCTGTAATATCTGTCTAAATTTTAACTAAACCCATGTTGCTCCTGTCTGTGTAGGATTAATCTGGCTCCTACAGTGGGCTACGAGGAGGACGCAGGGAGCCGTACCACTCACCACTTCATGTATCCGGAGAGCGCCAAGAACCTCGCCGCCAACGTCAGCTTCGTTCTGGTCCCATTTAAGACGTTAGACCTGGTTTGGATCACCAGTGCCCTATCAACCGGCCAGATTAGATTGTAAGGAACACGCCACACACATACATAGAGGAGAATTAGTGTCAATGTCAAGACTTCATCAAATCGAATCAAAGAATTTCTGTTGCAATCACATGAAGTGGAGATTGTGTTTAATCATTTTGTGACTCTTTGCCCTCAGTACTTACGCTCCGGTGAAGCAGTTTCTTCGCGTGGATAAAGACAAGGTGAGTCTCAAATACACACACTCAAACTGCCTTACTGCAATTATATTATCCCCTGCCCATTGTTTATGAGGGATTACTGTTAGATTATAGGCCATCCTTTAGTTTTCAATAATCCTTTGCTTGCTCTTTAATCTGTGAAAATAAATAAACTCAGACTAATCCCTGCCATTCCAAGAGTTTGCGGATTTCACGTCTTGGGTGAAGTTCATGTCTTTGGTAGATCGGTGTGGTAAGATTTACAAAGAGGATGTGATGCCTGGAGCTGCTGGAGCTGCTGTAAAAATGTAAAAAAAATAAATTAATTTAAAAAAGAAAGACGGCTCTTACATTGTAATTACTACTAAGCCTGTCATGATAACAAATTTTGAAGTATGATTTATTATTTTATATAATATTTAAACAAATTTATCACATTGACACTATAACCCAAAAGCAGATTTAAACCACAAAAAATGTATTTTAAATGTACATTATTGTAAAAAAAAATCATGAACTGTCCACCACCTGCCCTGTACCCCAAAGAAAATGTACACATGATAAATATTGACCCCAAAAAAGTATTGTCTCAGCTTTCATATATTTAAAGATAAGATGATGTAGTAATTATCATGCCGTAATTACTACTCATTTATTTTACACCTTCAGGACTTCAGTTTAAACTAAAGTTGGAAGCTACAAACTTGGCAGCATCTTTAAATTTATATAATGTATCTGTATATTTTCTACCCATATCCTATAGCATTTTTACAAGAGGGTAAAGAACAGCGGGTCACAAGGCCAAAGAGATTTAGTTGTGAACAGGATCTTGTGGAAAACCAAATTAATTCCATGGTATTGGGTTTACAGTTACACTAGGAAGCAAATAAATAGCTATGGCAACTCCAAATAAGGAAAGAAAAAGTTCAGGCATGGGGCATAGTATTTTGTATTGTAAAATGTTTATATTAGATAGGAAATAATTTTGTAGCACCTGCTCACTTTCAGTAGCAACAAAAAACTTCATTCATTTGTGCTTATTAAAGGTACAAAACCACATGAAGACTGCATTTGCTGTAAGTCTTATCGCTGCAGAAACAAAAGTCAGAAGTGTTTGTTTACCCTAGTACAACTTGTTCTCTCTGTAGAAAAGAAAGCAGTCCGCACTTACATTGTGTTGTGCTACAAATTGAATATTCTGTCATTTCTCTATAGTTCTGAACATTTTTCTTGTTTCATAATTCAGTCTCTTAAATATGCATTTCTTACATTTGATTTCCAGGTCCAAGTTTTCAACCCAGCTTTCTTCAAATACATCCACGACCACTGGACCAAACATCACGGCCGTTATCCGTCCACTGGGATGCTGGTGCTCTTCTTTGCCCTGCACGTCTGTGATGAGGTGAGGACTTCTTTAGCCACTGTCAAATCCTGCTCATTTTAAAAGTAATTAACTACGAATGTTAACCATAGACTGTAAAGGTCCAATGGGTCTTCCTATAATTTATATTATTAGGTTCTTTTTTCAGACCAAGAGTTTGTTTTCATACCTGACTGTTTCGACTGCTCACTAGTGTCTTCTTCAGAGTGGTCACGTGATGTTGCTGTGACGTGTCTATGGACCAGGACGAGGGGGTCTTTTTGCTCTCGCACACCTGGGATGCTGTCCTGAGAAGATGGCGCTGTCATCCTGCCTCCACTGGTAGGAAGACAGCGCCAAAACCTGTTTAAATCAGCTGACCGGATACTTCACAGCAACATCACGTGACCACTCTGAGGAAGACCGCTAGTGAGCAGTCGAAACTGTCAGGAACCTAAAAACATAGACTATTACTATAATGGACATAGCTAACCCACTAGCCACTGCATTCAAAATAAGGAGTGTTCCTTCACTGACTCTGGCTCCGTTTGACTTTACATTGGAAACTTGTCACCTCTCTGTCTGAAACTGCTGCAGTGAGCCTCGTCATTTTGGTCTTAAAATGTTTGTATTAACACGCTCTACATGATCCTGGTGTTTTTATTTCACTATTTTGTACATAAATACCTATTCCTATTCCTAATATGCACCTGGCTCCAAATTAGCTCCTATAACCATTAGTTATGTTAAAGCTGATGTTAAAGTTGCACTGTGCACTATTTGTTTGGGGGTCCGTCATCTGCTTATTTCTATGGATATGCCATTGCTCTGGAATATTCCCCAGTATGATGTTAAAAAGCTCTAGTAAAACAGGCATTCTGACTGTGAGTGGGATTACCTCTCCACAGATCTGGCCTGTGATTTGGCCTGGTGTGGACTCCATGAAGATAGAAAGGTTTAATACCACACTGTGAACCAATCCAGACAAAGCAATAACATCTTCATGAAGAAAAGAATTTGACAGACCCTCCAGCAGAAAAATTACAGAATGCACATTGAACACATGTTTTCTTTTTCTGTGTTGCAGGTGAATGTGTTTGGGTTTGGGGCAGACAGCCGGGGAAACTGGCACCACTACTGGGAACAAAACCGCTATTCTGGGGAGTTCAGGAAGACTGGAGTGCATGATGCAGACTATGAGGCTCAGATCATACAGAGACTAGCCAAAGCTGGTAAAATCACAGTTTACCCTGGCAAATAAAAGTCAGAAGCTAGGTCTGAAATATCTTTGATTAGCTCCCACCTTTAAATAGGTTAAAAACAGAAAATAGATTTCATACATATCCTAGCATTTCTTAAACAATGACAATGGATCTGCTCTTGTATATGGTCCAGCTAGATCTGACTGTTGCTAATGGCTTGTGACAGGACAATTGGCCCTGAGCTTTTTGGCTGGATTTGTCCTAATGGTTGGCTTGAGGACACACAATGCAGCCTCGGCTTTGTTAGACCAACTTCACCTCAAGAGGGCCAACAAATGCGAGAGGGATAAGAGAAAATGCTCTAACCAGCTCTCACAAGCAAAGCCCCTGTTCTAGGCTTAATCCAGTGGCAGAAGTGTCCACAATGGAAGACTAATCCACTATCTACTAACTGTTTGCCTGGTACTGAAAACAACAGATTCAACATTACCACTTTTGAGATTTTGTGAGCTGCACTTATCACGTTGGAGTATATCGGCCATCTTGAATCTTGAGGATCTTGTTGCCGTAGGACTTGGCAAGTTGACATCAAAGATGAAATTGCAAAACTGTCACATTGGACTCCAGTTATGAGAGAAGTGGCTCTGTAGACTTCACCTTAAGCGATGGTGGTTTGTCTGGTGTTCGGCCAGGACCACTCACTGCGCGATAATCTCATGTGACTGCCTTGAGAATCTTAACTGGACTTGCCAACTAAAGTAGTAGCTGTCCAGAGACTCCAGGCCTTGTTGACTCATACAAAAGACTGCATCAGTGGAGCAAGAAAGAAACACAGAATACATCTTTGGCTACAACTCCAGTTCACACCCAGATACAGGCAGAGTTCTGGGACATTCAGAGGAGGCCAAAATAATCCTGGAAAAAAAAAAAAAAAAAAGCTCCTGGGAGTTTGAGTTTGGATGAAAGCGTAGTACTTTTTGGAATATAGTCTAATTTCTCTGTGTGGTGTGACAGGGTCTTGTTTGCAAGGCTAGAGATGGTGAAAAACAAACCATTTGCCCATGATAAAAATACTGTGTATACGCTACAATTATTTCAGTTTATGGGTTCACCACTTTTTTAATGAACTGAGGCTGGAGGGACTTTTCAACGTGGTACAACTTCGCTTCACAAACCACTGCTCCAGAGCCACCTGACGCCTTAGCTTTCTACCACACACCACTTAAACTGCACTACCCACAATTCTTTTCATATCTCCACATGCAACACCGTTCAGTTACAGCTGCATAGATTGTGTTTTGTTTACCACTTAGATTGATCAATTGTCTTGGGTTTATTTCCCCCATAGATGTTACATTAAAAAAGCACTAGCTAGGCCTGTTACGATAATTACTATATTGAGTTAGCGTTCAATATATGAAAGATGGAACAATAATTTTTGTAGGTCAATATTTATCGTGGGGACTTTTTCTTTGCACCGGTGGTGACTTTTTTATCTGTACTAAGATAACATTTGAGCTGGAGAGCTGATTGAACAAATTACTTAATTTCTTACTCATTATGGATACAAACTAGTCGCTAAAGTGTTTCATTCTGTTTATTGCTGCTCATGTTTTTAACCGTATTTTACATTTAGAATAGTTTTTGGGGATAATTCTGCTTTAGGGTAATTGTGTCGGATCCATAAATTAGTTTCAGTTTGATCATTTATCGTCTATATATTTTCTTCAGCTATATATTGCACTTCAAAATTTTGATTATGGTTGATACAATTTGCCGAACTCAGAGGAAAGTAAAAAGTCATACCACACAGCATAGGGGAAACCAGTGATCAAGTGTCTTAAATTTTTCCATTATTGAGGAGCCATTTGTTAAATGAAGTGTGAAATCAACTTCACATCTTCTAAAGCTGTTTTCTTTACAAACCTGTTTTTACTTTTTAACAGTCTTAATGTTTATTTTATAAAATTATATACACATTACACATTTTAGAAGTGATAGCCAGAGGTGGAATGTTTTATTTTACTTTGTTTTTAATTTGTATATATAAAATTTATAGCAGGATTCTCTAACCTGTAACTTGTGAGCTGCTCCACCTGATTCCAAGCAGCTCCTCGATGGATTTAGAATTATAAATATTATGCTGAGTAATTTAATTTAATTTGGTTCATCACATATTGGTTATCATAGTAACTCTAATTTTGTCTAATTTTGTGCACTGATGTATTGATTTATGGTTTATGTTCATAGGGATCTAAAATATACCCCATTTAAAGCTGTAGTTGTTACATTTATATCAGCTCAATTTCGTGCAAAACCTAAAAGGAGTAGCTATCTGCCATTTTTTCATTTTGTAAAAGGTTGGAGACCCTTGATTTATAATAAAGTACATTTCACAGCACATGTTTAACTTTAAGAATGTTTAGCCTAATGTAGATTTGTCTCTTGCTTTGACAGATCAGTATGTTCCACCTCTGGTTATTTTACTGAACAAAAATGATTGATGCTGATAGTAGCTCCGGACAGATGGTCTGCTGTGATTGGTCAATTAAATGATGAAATTTGGGAAGCAGATTAAAGGTTTGGCCATAGCAACAGAAGTCAAGTTTACGCAACACTGTAGTGAAACGCTACATTATTACCTAGACCTAAACCCAGACCAACTTTATTTAACCACAAGGGAAATGGTTTGGATGTCCCTCCAAAGCATACTATTTAGCACCAACCGTATCTAATGCATCAAAAATTTTGATGAGTGCATGAAAGCACATGTAACTCCTAGAAGTAGTCTGTGTTATTTCCGTAGGTGTTAACTTGATACACAGCCAGATAACAGTCCACCACCTGCTTCAGTTTGAGATTTTCTGACTGGAGATGGTGAGATGTGTGGAGGAAAGCTGCTACCCTTCAGGTGACACTGACACAAGTGTGAGAACTGCTCACTGTCAAAACACGACCACGTTATGTAAGAATAGCTACTAATAACTGTGCCTGTCTTACAATGCTACTTTGTTTTCTAGTCCTTTTTGCACATCTGTTTAAAATATCATGTTTTGGGAACTGCAAACTTTCAGCCATTATCATACACTTTAAACATATTCACATATTGATGCTTTTGTGCCTTGTCCTGCTTTTGGACATTCTCGACTACAGCAGCACCATAATTCACACGTATCCACACACAAGCCTATATTAAAGGAAACTGACAGAAACTTTGTGCTTGTGCCTTTCTGAACTGCATACATTCATAGACACATCATTCTGCCTGGGTTTGGGGCTTTGTCAGTGTTTTATATTGTAAAAAAGTGCTTGGGGGGATACTTACTAGTGGTGAGCGCGTCTGAGCATATGTTGTTAAGAGTCTCAGTTTGTCAAGATTGAGAGGCTGTGATTTCCATGTCTATGTGTGTGCACCACTGCTATTGTCAATGTTTTCTATGCTTTTGTTTGCTCCTATTCACTTTACATTTGTTGTTGAAGTTTAAAGTTGAAAGAAAACAGCTCTGGCCTCAGCGGTACCACTAAAAGACATTTTCACAGCGGTAGTTACCTGAGGGAACAAACCAAGACCCCTTATCAGTTTTCTTTACTCCTTCCTTGCAGCTGCAGTCCTAGAACATTGCGATCAGATGAAAAGGGGGACAGTGGGGTGGTTTCTTCCTATATATACACATTCTGCCACCTACAGTAGTGGAGATGACATAGATCTGGAGCCTGGAGGAATTTATAACCCTGAAGTAGGTCTGGTGTTTCACTGCCGACCCAAGATGCGGATGTTGTTTGTAGTGGTAGTTACCAGGGATTAAACTAAAACTAAAGCTATTCTAAAGCACTTCTATTACAATTAAGGCTGGGCATTTAATCATTATTTAAACCAGCTCAAGATTACGTTATATTTAATTGTTAGTGATCAGCTTAGGGTTAGCTTGGGTCTCTTTGATTGTGCGGTCTAGTACAGCCAATCCTGTCAGTGAAACATGTGGTTTGGAGCAGGGGCCAGACTTTGGATAAAAAATTGTGAATTTATCGGTGTTAAAGGGCAATCATTTAATTTTTATTTATTTTTTTTTTTTAAGTTCAGGAAATCAACATTGAATGCCATTTTAATATGATTTTTTTTTTCATATTTTTTAAGCATATCTCCCAGCCTTATTTACAAACATTTATAAAGTTTATAATGATACAGTAACTATTAAAACTAACCCTGTCTTTACAAATTTTGGGTTCTGACAGAGAAACTTTGATCTTGAATTCGTAACGTTCAGAAAATATCTACAGAAACATATCTGCGCTGTGCAATAACTTATATTTCCTGGTTTTATTACTAATGGGGGACTATGTATTTCAGTTATATCAAAAGAGAAAGAACAGAACATGCTAGTGGAATTAATTATTCTTTTGATGCATAAATTATGAATTAAGTGTAGGTCAATTTGAAAGGCAATGAAATGTTTCCTGACCCACATTCTGTAAGTAGGATTCAGGTCACTTACAATCTCTGTTCCACTTTTTAGATGGTTTGAGCCTGAAAATGTTACTCAATCCTTTGAATAGATCGACATAAAGGTCAGTTATGTTAAATTGAACATTTTGAGAGCGGCAACAGATATAAACAAATACATAAAAAGAAAAATTTATCCATTTCAGCTGCATGCACTCCAGCAGCTTTATACAAACAACTTGTAAAGAAAAGGAAACTGCATCCCCCAGAGTCAGGAACAAATTTCAAACTTGTTTTTAGTCGCTGTGGTGTATGCGTTTTCGATTCTACCTGGGGTATTGGAGAATTGCTTACTGGAGATTTCACTGTGGGACAAGAGGCTCAATAGAAACGCATATATCATGGTCAGAACAGTTGTTGTTGCACTAGAAATACCACTCGAGCTTTAGACTTCACCTGTGGACTGTAACCTACCACTGTTCGACTTAACCATCACTAACATAAGCACTGGGCAGGTGTATTAAAGCTATTGGCATTAGTTTCGAAATGTAAGACAATACTCAACAGCTCTAAGGCAGTACTTGTGTATTTACTACATGGACATGTCTGTATGATGTGTGACCAGGCTCTTTGTATCTTATTGTACAAATAAAAGATTAATGAAAGAGTGCTTTGTATGCGTGTTTATTAACTTGTAAATGCCTTTGACAGGAAGAATTAAAATGTGCTGACTGGTGCTTACTACTTAATCACCTATTTTTGGTCAGTCATTCATATCTAATAGACTGCGTATCAAAGGTCCTATTATGCAAAATTAACTCTTAGTGATAAGATAACATGACTTAAAGATCACGTTATCTTATCACTAATATACCTGAAGTTGTTTTGTTGCATTCATACGTTTGAGCTGTCCTTTATTAGTCTGTCACAGCTCCAAGGCTCAAAATGCTCTGTTCAACCTTGTGAGGTCATGTAGTGGTAGTTTTTAGGTTAACTGCTATTTTGTTTAGTAGATTAGAAATTCCAGGGGTGAAATCATCCAAATGATTCTAGTGAAAGTGTATGGAGTTTAAAATCACAGTGGGACATTTTCTGTATTACCATGAGGCATCACAAAGCAGAGCAGGTTTTCTATTTGAGAAGAACACAGCCTTAATATGCAGGATTTCTGTGTTAAACGTGTGAATAAAACAGTAACTCCAGGTATGTTTGTGATGAGGAAACATAACAGATCAGAAAATAGTGTAAACCTATTTCTGGGTCAGTTACTCATATCTAATAGGCTGCATATTAAGTGATGGTATCAAGTGTTTGCATATTCAGCAAAACATCCATTACTGCTTCTCAAAACTGTGGCAGCTCCTCCTGGTGGTACACAAGGTTCTCTGTACGTCTAGTGTTTAATTTTGAGTCAGGTATGATCACGTATTTGTCCTAATTTGGGATAGTCTTTGATTATAAATACTTGTAAAATTTAAATATAAATGATTTATGAACAAGTTACAGTTCATAAGACAGAAGATATTAAGCATTAAATTTATTCATTTCCCATTGACAGTGAAACGCTACAATGATAAAATGTTAATATTAAATGACAAGTACAGACTATTTTCATTCAAGTGGTATTATACATGACAAAGCTATTGTATGAACAAGTGAAATCCAGTCATCAAAAAACATACAGAAAGACACTGTACCTACATGAGAGGGTTTAAGGAGAAGTGCTTCCATAGAGAAAATGATACTGAAAAATAAACCGAGTTTTAAACTTAACAGCTGTGGTGTGCAAGAGGCTAAATCAGGACACGTTATTCTTCCCTTATGGACACATGCAAGATAAATGGAGCCAGACATTAAAATAACCATATTCTCACAGCCTGAGGTGCCTTCTGCTGATAGCATCTTCACCTTTTCAAGTGTTAAGACTTTCCTGTTACTTTTATTCAAACAATAAATAGCAGCTTATTTTGTATAGCTTTGCGGCTATTTCTTATGTCTGATGGAGTGAAGATGGTTAGTTGAAGTATGCCCAGTCAGAGCGTTAACTCTTCTACCCAATTTTTTTTAAACACAACTTCACCACTTCCTTTTCAATTTTCTCCCAGTTTAAGTCTTGCAAAATTGTTTGCCATCTGTAGCGCCTCCTGCAGGCACTCTGTGTTCCTGCCTGCAGCCTGGGCAGACATGTCCTTCCCACCTCCTTTCCCATCCAAGAGGGGACAGAGCTCCTGAACCCACTCACTGGCCTTCAAGCCACGGTTTGCAGTTTCCTGGAAATCAACAAAGAAATGAACCAGTATTAGTGCAAGTTTGTTCAATTTTAATATTAAAATCTATTCAAATGCAAAAAGACGAGATTATTTTATAGTCTATAAATTTTGCATCACTAAAACAACACTTGTCACATTTTTTTGTATTTCACCTCCATAAAGTAAACGTGCAAAATGTGAAACTGATTATTGAAAGGGCAAAGTCAAGGTTTATTTACACTAAGCACATTGAGAAATTATACTTCATGGTTTATTCAAACCAGAGTGTGGGGTGCTGGGTCCAAAGTCAAACTATGATTACATCTTAAATTCAGATGTCTTTTTTTTTTTTGGTCTGCAGACAAAATGGCGAAAGGTCAGATTGTAGTAGTATGAAAGTAGAGCTGGGCATTGTTGTGCGTTTCCCCTTTGTACAGAGTAATCACAGAATTCTTTCTACTATAAACAAAAAAAAGTCTTTCAGTATTCAAGACAGACTTTTACAGGATTGGCTGTAGACCTCTTGTAAAAAGAATCAAACATATCCTTGCTGATTTGAAAGGATTGGGTCTGCATTCAGTTAATAGCAGCTTAAATGCTTAAATAAGTTCTAATGGAAGAGCATACTGAGCAGTGTGACTACATTTAAAAAGTTCTGCCAACATAGCCTTGGCTGTGCTCACCTGTGGGACCTGGCAGAGGCATGTGATCTTGCCAGCCTCGGGGTCAACCGTAAACAGCATGGCAGCAGTCTGAGGGGAGTTGGTCTTTAGCAGCTTCAGTGACTCATTAAGGGCCTGAGCAAAAGGAGGGGAGAGAAGTAAACAAGAATGAACCAAAGTCTCCTATCAGCAGTATCGATGTCCCAAGGTCAGAACTAATGGCCACCGTGCCGATTTAGTCTCTGGCGAAAACACAATCTGATAAGCGAAGAGAAAAAGTGCACTACAACAAAGAATCCTTTTTTAATAAAGTGTTCTGCTGCATGCTAATCAGGTCCAGCACTCAGGCCTCACACAGCAATATCCAGCTTCCATTTACTGTGTTCACCTTTGCAGAGGCTCCAGGCTCCATCTCCATGATAAGCAACTCTTGGTTGGGGTTCTTTTCAATCTCCTCCTTAATCTTCTCCACGACTCTCTTCTGGATGTCTGCCTTGTAGTTGCGGTCCAAATCATCCATGATCTTTTTAAGGCCTTTTAATGTTTCCCTCATCTCATCTTTTTGCCACTGTGAGATGACAGCAGTGCCGATGGACTACAAGAGAAGCAGTGTTCAAACAACACTTCATAATACAATACATACAAGATCGCAATGTGTGAAGATGAAGAAAGCCACCTCTGTCATGTCAGCGATCTCCTTTTGGATGTCCTTGTTGGGTGAGCTCTGCTGCTTCACTGTCTTTCCCAGAGCGGCCAGGGCCTGGTGCAGCGCATCAGCTTTCCTCTGGGCCTGGGGGACACGACACAGGGGTCACGGAGACTTGATAATAAAGTGGTGTATTAACATGAATAATAGGCATAGATAAAATTAACTTATTGTGATAGGTGAAATGTTTAAAGGGCTTGTATGATGCCATTTTCTGACCTATGTTATAATGTTGTTTCCTCATCAAAAACATACCCGTGCTGTATTTTGTTTCATTCACATGTTTTCTGTATTCAGTGATGTCATGAATCAGGAGTTTTCAAGTTAACTGCTACTTTTTAACCTGTTTAACACACAAATCCTGCATATTTACACTAAATGGAACAGATCATTTTTGAGCTTTGCAGATGTAGACAGTAATAGTACAGGATTACTCAAACATGTATGAATGAAACACAAACACAACTCCAGGTATGTTTTTGAGGAGGTAACAATATGTGTCAATATACAACATGAGTAAGAAAAACAGAAGACAGGTGAAAGTCTGTTTACAGCTTCTTCCAAAAAACATTGTACTACATGTTTAAATAAGGTGATTTAAGTTAAAGGGCACCCATAAGGGCACCCTTCATACCTTCATATAACAATCAGAAGAAAAATGGTACGCTTAGGAATACAAAGCAGTGGTGCATCATGGAAGAGTATGAGCTGAAGCAGTGTGTCAGTGAGAGCTGACCTTCTGGGCTTCGGATCCTGTCACAGCTACAATGCGGCGGATGCCCTTAGCGATGGCCTCCTCGGAGACAATAACAAACGGTGCAGCATGCCCAGAGTTCTGCAGATGGCTGTGGATCGAGGCAAAAACAACAAAATCTTACAATGTCAGCAATTTGTGTGAGGTACGGTAATGCAAACTTAAAATTTAGGGAAATAGTACTGGCATAGTTGCCATGAAATTAAGCTGAAGGTGGCATTAGATAGATGTGTGCCAATATACTGAACTATTAGATATATTGTGGTTTGTCAGTTTGTTGATTCAATATTGAAACTAGGGCTGAGCAATATGGTAAATAAATACACTGGACAATTTTAATCTATTATTTAAGAAATTGTAAATTGACTTCAGTTAAATAGATATCTCACTGTAATTGCATAATATCTCTGCTTTGCAAGTCAGGAGTAAAGTTGCTTCATAATAATCCTTTATGTCACGATTTAGTAATTTTTCAACATTTCCATATCCTCTATTGATTCATTCAGGTTTTTAAATTTGATTAATTGCAAAGCCCTAAGTGAAAGAAGTTTTATAGCTTATTTACTCTACAGCACCATATCATGATTTTTAATCATATTGTGAAAATAGAGGCAAGTGTCACTAGCACAGTCTGGTCTAAGGAGTGATAAAATGTTTTCTGTATGCAATCATAAAAAAGATCTTTGGATTAATAGATAAAGTTGTAAATAAGAACAAAAAATGTTATACTTACGTTCCTCCACAGAACTCGATGGAGGTGAGGGAGCCAGCAGCACTGTTGGGGTCTTCCAGCAGGTCCTGGACTGGGATCCCAATGGACACGACTCTCACAGGATCTGGGTACGTCTCATCAAACACCGCACGCAGCCCCTGGATGGCTTTGGCTTGTGCCAGAGGGGCCTCCATGGCATACACAGGCTAAAGGCACAAGAAATTCAGACAAACATACATAGCTGAACATCATAAATCTTAAATATCAATAATAAGCATACAGTTATAATCAGGGAATAAAAAAAGGTTTCAAAATGTAGGCAGTACCATATTTGAGGATTTGCCTTTTGTTTGCATAGCATATCAGCTTAAAGGAAAGACGTAAATCTTTGTTTGAACATTGTAGAGCAAAGAGGCTTTGAACTAAAAAACTGAAGACTGGAAATCATTGCAATAAAGATAGTATTTTTTTTCACTATACTTGTGCAGTGATTTCATATGGTTTAATTTGAGGAATATCTTATTTAGCCCTACAAATTGGCCCCAGACCCATAGTGATTGATCTCCATTTTGGATCTCCAAATGGTAAAATGTAAATTCTTTGACAAACATGAGCTACAGTCCCTGACAAAAGTCTTGTTGCTTATCCATTTTGTAGAAACAAAAGCTTATAACCTGACTTTAAATTAATCGATTGGTTTTAGAAATGTCTCATATGAAAGCTAAAACCCTCCCAAATTATGCTCAATATACTAAAATAAATTTGCTTCACTGAAGAAAGATTGATCATTTAATGAACACAGAAAGGTCAGATTTTGGCAAGACAAAAGTTTTGTCACCTACAGAAAATTGAACAAATAATTTACTTCAAATACAAAAATATGTTTCATGACGTCAGTGAATTAAGTAGTGGTGCTGTGAGATCCATATTTAATATCATGTATGACTTCCATGAGCTTGAAGGACTGCATCCATGCGGTTCGACAATGATCATCATCAGGAATAGCAAAGAAAGCAGTCTTACATGCCTCCCAGAGTTCATCAAGATTCTTTGGTTTTGCCTTCCATGCTTCCTCTTTCATTCTACCCCAGACATGCTCAATGATGTTCATGTCTGGTGACTGGGCTGGCCAGTCCTGGAGCACCTTGATCTTCTTCGCCTTGTGAAACTTTGATGTAGAGATAGAAGTATGCGATGGAGCACCATCCTGCTGCAAAATTTGACCCCTTTTATGGTTGGGAATGTAAGAGGTAGCTAATACTTCTTGATATTTTAGGCTATTGATATTGCCTTCCACACCCCCATACTGGATGGAGCCCCAGACCATGATTTTTCCGCCACCAAACTTAACTGTTTTCTGGGTGAATCTTGGATCCATGCGGGCTCCAGTAGGTCTCCTGCAATATTTGCGGTGGCTGTGATGTAATTCAACCGATTCATCTGAGAAATCCACCTTCTGCCACTTTTCCAGTGTCCATCCTTTTAGCAGGCTGTGGGCCTTGGCAAATGCCACACGTTTTTTTAATTGCCTTTTGTTTAGTGCTGGTTTCTGTGCACTGATTTGACCATGGAGGCCATTTTGAGACAGAATTCTACAAACTGTTCTGGTTGACACAGGGACTTGAGGTGACCAGGCCTGGTGGAGCTCTGCTGCAGTGGAAAAGGGGCTGGCCTTGGATTTTCGAATCAACAAACGGTCCTCCCGAGCAGTTGTCTTGCAGGGTCTGCCGGACCTGGGCTTGTCAAAAACATCTCCAGTCATTTCAGATCTTTTTCTTATTCTTTGTACTTGACGCTGAGACACATTGAAGGTGTCAGCCATCTCAGCAGTGGATCTGGTCTTCAGCCTCTTGATAATTAACGCTTTGGTCTCAGGGTGGATCTTAGGCATGTTGTCAGAGGTCAAGCTGCAGTTGATGTGAAGGTCTGGTGTGCTGGGGTTCTTTTTATACACACCCACTATTTGATTGATCAGTAACTGATCACAGGTGAGGCTGTAATCTAGGATTGGGTGCATCATATGACAAGGCGACAAGACTTTTGTCTTGCCAAAATCTGACCTTTCTGTGTTCATTAAATGATCAAGCTTTCTTCAGTGAAGCAAATTTATTTTAGTATATTGAGCATAATTTCGGAGGGTTTTAGCTTTCATATGACACATTTTTGAAACCAATCGATTAATTTAAAGACAGGTTATAAGCTTTTGTTTCTACAAAATTGATAAGCGACAAGACTTTTGTCAGGGACTGTACAGTATTGATTTACACCTTTATGCCTGTCACTGACCTTAGCATCCCTGATCATAGCAGAGGCGATCTCCTCAGTGCGGCGGACCTCCCCGGTGCTCAGAGCTCCTTTGGCGGTGAAGTCAAAGCGCAGACGGTCTGAAGCAACCAGGGAGCCTCTCTGGTCTGCTTCACCCAAAACCCCTCGTAACGCAAAGTTCAAGATGTGTGTAGCAGTGTGGTTGCTCATGATTGGCCTCCGACGAGCCTAAACAACATTAAAATAAAATGAGCAAGGCATTTGAAAGTAAAATAAGTTGACACTTTTTAACGAGAATAATTTTAAATTTGAACTTTACCTCATCTACATGTAGAGTAACACGGTCACCAACTTTAAGTGTGCCATAAACTGTACCGATATGCAGGACATAGCCCCCTCTGACTTGTGTATTCTTAACTGTGAACTCCATACGCTGCAATGAAGAGGAAAGACTTTGTTACACATCCAAAAAAATATTAAAAGAGTGGAGACACACCAATAGGTTTTTTGTTGTTTTTTTACAACTCTTTAAAAAGAGTCACTATTAGGGCTAGGCAATTTTTGACCACTATGCAATTTTGGAGGAGCCTCTGTTCTCCATGGAGATGTTTCCCTGGCATGTGCTACAAAAATGGCATAAAAACTTTCCATGGAGACAAGCACATGTGACTCTACAAAAAGTCTGCAATTTAATAAATATTAATACCAGACTGTCCAACATTTAGAGCAGAGAAATAACATTTTCCTGAGACAGACCCTCCATCAAAAATTTTTTTGCAATATAGGTCACCTTTAATGAGTGTAATCCTTTGTGTACTCACATCTTCTGCACTGTCATGTTCCCGGAGCATGTAGCCCTCGTCAAAAGTCTGCCCTCCCTGTTCTGCGTAGAAGGAAGTTTGGTCCAGAAGCACCCCACACTCCTGCCCCGTGGTCACCTCGTCACAGAAGGCACGGTCACGCCGCAAGGCCAGAACTGTGGCTGTGGCCTCTTCAAACACTGAAAATATAACAGAGGAAAATGCGTTAAGACTCAGTGCACAGTGTAAGAGCATACAGATGTTAAAAGATCAAGACTCACCGTAGCTGCCCTTTTCATCAGAGCTGTACTTGTACTTGGGGGAGTCGTCTGTGGCCGGAACGTTCTTGTTTCTCAACTCTTCGATGGCGTAAATGTCAAGCATGATGTGATCCTCGCCTCCTGCACCTTTGCCCTGTGACTTCAGCTACAAGCAGAATACAGCGATAACATCATTACATGTAAACTAAATCAGAACCTGAATCAAATGTCAAAATCAAATGAGCTGTGCACATGATCTGGTACCAAGATTCCTGCTCCATTTTTAAGTAAAAAAATCTTGTTATCAAACTTATTTTTAGTAAAGTTAACTTAAGTTATAATTAAAACATTGTGTACACAGTGCAACAACATGACTTGCTTGTGGATATTTACAACGGGATATAAAGCAAGTTTATTTTTTACACAGATATCCTTCCCAATAGTGCAATAGTGGAAAGTGCTGAAACAAACTACTGACCATATTAACAATGTTCAGGTTATACTCCGATCAGACGGAATAACTATTTAATATCCTCACCTGTGCCGCCTTTTTCTCCTCTTCAAACGCAGCCAGGTCCACCTGCATCCCCTTCTCCTCTGCTATCAGAGAAGTCAAGTCCAGGGGGAAACCGTACGTGTCATACAACAACCATGCTGTGTCACCTGCACGTACACAAGAGACAAGAGACGATTTATAGATATATTACGTATCAAAAAAGAAATTAAAACAACAAAATAAAAAAACTTTTAGCGAGTTTCAAAATGTTGCAGCTTCATAGTTCAGCATTTTACCAGGAATGGTCTTGCTGTCAGCAAGACTCATGATCTTTCGGTCGAGGATTCTGCGCCCTCTGCTGAGGGTTTTCAGGAATTGGGCCTCCTCTTCATTGATGATGTCTTTCACCATTTCTGGGTCTTTCTTGAGCTCTGGGAATGCATTGCCCTAGAGCACAGTAGTTTTATAGTAAAATGTATAAAACAACTGTATGGCAAGCAATAGCAGAAGAGATGCTTACAAGGGACTCCACCACCACATCCACCAGTGAGGCAAAAAAGCCTCTCTTAGCTCCAAGCTTCTCATGGGAATAACGGACTGCACGGCGCAGAATCCTCCTCAACACATACCTGAGAAGAACAATTCTGTTTATTGGACACATCAAGGGACAGCAGAGTTTTCACACAGATACTGTTTAGGAGGAGTTCAACACCTCATTTGGATCAGGGAAACACTTATCACTGTGGTGTGTTGCAAAACCAGGCATGTGGTCATAGACTACATAGACAATAAAATCTATTGCACAGTGGACCTGCATGATTATATTAAAAAGATCTTGTTTTCTTTTTCTCTCCAGCTGCACGATGCGCCTCACCCTCTTCCTGTGTTGTCAGGCCGACCTCCATCAGACAGAGCAATGGTAATAGTACGAGCGTGATCAGCCAGAACTCGGTAAGCCATATCAATGCCATCTTCATCTTCAGCACCCACTTTCCCAGTGTATGGACGGGCCCCTGTGCCCTGGAAAAAATACAGCCAGTTAGGAAATACTTCAACAATATGGACCTTTAAATAGAAAGTATTGGATCATCACAGCTTATTTGGGTCCAAACAAGTGCCACGGGCACAAAAAGCAGGGCAAAGAAACTGAAAAACTGTCAAAACACCACTGTAGAAAATGTAGCTAGAATTTTATTGGACCGGTAAGAAGATAAAGTACAATTATGACATAATCACTAAACAGTTCAACAGGTTAAGCTCATTTTGTACTTCTTACCTTCTGAATAGCATCAAAGTATGGAAGAAAGAGATCGGTGTCATAGTTTGACATCTTGTTCTGCAGGACAGACACCAAGCGTTCAAGGCCCATTCCTGTGTCAATGCTTTTCTTAGGCAGAGGCTTCAGCACAGTCTCTGACTCCCTTTTGAATTGAGAATATTGGAATCAGAATTTTTAAGTACAATGAATTCAAAAACTATGGAATAGTGTAATGTAAACTATGAAAAAAAAGGTACCGCATATCCATATTCATGTCCAGTAATGTAATTATATTGGGTTAAATGTACTTAAAAATTGTGATATATAAAAATTATACATTAAAATGCAGTTATAATACTGAGGTGCAAAATCAACTCTATATTTTTTTAAATATAACCTATGGAGTCACACAATTTCAACTGTCAAACTGGAAAAACTGGCATTTCCTGTATCACAGGGGACCGGTTTCTATTTAGTTTCTATTTAAAGCCTATACAAAACACATTAAGTATTAAGGGTATGCATAATAAAACTAGGTTACCATCAGAAATAAGGGCCATTTAGATAGAACAGTACCTGTTAAACTGGATGAACACCAAGTTCCAGATCTCCAAAACATTTGGGTCGTCCATGTTGACCAGGTGAGAGGCATCACGCCCACCAATGCGGTCATAGTGGATCTCACTGCAGGGTCCACAAGGGCCAGTGTCACCCATCTCCCAAAAGTTATCCTTCATATTACCAGGCAATATACGAGCCTCTGCAACACTGTCAACAGATTTACAATTGTATCAATTTCGATCATATCTAAAGTAACAGGAATGTGATTATATTAAAAAGTACGCTGTGTATTGCACAGACTACAGTTAAAAGCTCTTTATCTAAAATAAATAAAATCAGTCATACTAACCCAAGGTCAATCCAAATCTGTTTGCACTCCAGGTCAGGTTCTAGACCAGCTTCAGCACTTCCACCAAAGTAAGTGACGTATAGACGATCAATGGAAATTCCAAACTCCTGTGTAAGAAGCTCTAAGGCCATTTTACAGGCCAGATGCTGTAAGGAGAAATGAAAAGCACAGACATTCAGACACCAAAAACCAAGAACAGGAATAACCCACAAAAACTTGATTAAAATACCTTAAAGTAGTCTCCAAATGACCAGGACCCAAGCATTTCAAAAAATGTATGATGGTACACATCTTTACCAACATCATCCAGGTCATTGTGTTTCCCTCCTGCACGTATACATTTCTGTGTGTTAGCTGCACGCTTCAGTCTGGCCATTGGGTGAGATGGGTCAATGGTGTTCAGGAAGATAGGCTTGAACTTTAAGAATATAAAGGACTTAGTTTAAGTTTTTTCTTTTGGTATAATATGAGTCAAAGTCATTAATACTAGTACATACTTGGTTCATTCCAGCGTTGGCAAAAAGCAGTGTAGGATCATCAAGGGGGATGGTGGCTGATGAATGGACATACTGGTGTTCATATCGCTTGAAGAAGTCAATAAACTTCTCACGAATTTGAGATGCACTCAAAGAAGTGTCCATTTTCTGGTCTACAACAAATGCAAAAGAAAAAGCACTTTGTTTGAGTTGTTACCTGAAATCTAACAGTATTATTATCTACTTTATTCGTGGAATACCATTAAAATTGCATATAAAGCCAGAGGAACAATATCCTCGACACTAAACATTTAAGATCCTCCATCAATCCCATAGGAACATTCGCTGCGAATGGAAATCACACAACCGGTATCTCCTCTCCCTAGGGTTCTGACAAGCGGACAGTAAACAGTTCCTGTCCCCATCCTGACTACGAAACCTCCTCGTTGGAAACCACATGAAACCTTGTTGTGATGAGATGGAGGTGGCAGTTGTGTGCAGTTTGCTTCTCTCAAGACGTAAGCTTGTTTTGGAAAGGGTGAGGCAGCTTTGTTATCTTAAGTCAATGGCAGACATACTGATCGGTGTTCAATTGCACAAAAAACACAACTCACAGTCACAGTGAGAACAATATTGAGCTATCATCGGCACTATGTAGAGTTACATCAGCCAACTTGCAGATCAACCTGTCATTAGCAAGCTAGCAGTAAAATGTTAGCAAGGCTGTCCATTTTTCATTTTCCCCTGACAACCATTCTGTAATTTCTGCGTGACATTATCATCACTGAAACTACTGTCAATACTGTGTTAAATTTGATATTAAAGTACTCACAGAAACGGGTTTGGACGGAGAATGTGTGAGTAAAGGCTCCCAGTGACACCGCTCTGTCCACGCTGCACAACCAAGAGGAAAGCGCAGGAAAACGGCCCCGCCCCATAACCTTCGCTGATTGGACAATCCAGACCGCCCCGTCAAAAAGACTCACTCTGATTGGTGGACACAGACATCAATCAAAGTCGAGCCCGCCACGGCGTTTGTCATAAGTTTACCGGTGTGGCTGATGCAATGAATGGTACTGATTTAAGTCCCGTTTGAAAAATATAATGTCATAATATCAGGATAACACGTTTTTTTCCCCTCTGTTTTTAAACCAAGCACAAATATATGGACAAATTTGTATTGATATTGTAAGAGCATTGGTCATATCAATGGCTGAATAAATAAACAACAACCAATTTCTGTAGTTTTGTCTGTTTTCCCTTCAGACTAGTTTGAATTGTTGCTTTTGACGATTTTAGCTGCATGTCATGCCAACGCAAAACACACAAGTGGAACTATTGTATGCGGCGCATTTTCTGGGGGATACATTTGAGCATTGCACCATTCCGCACGCATCGGTAGAAGAAAAACACAGGTGAAACATGCCTACAGATACGAAACGTGTGAGGGGACCAGAGCTTTCCCAGAGTCCCTCCATTTTTCAGCGCAAACCCCAAACCACTGAGAGGCTCCCTTCACATGGAAAAAGAGAGGACGGCCGTCAGCGGGACCAGGTCGACGTTCGGCCCGTGTTCGTGCGCTGTGGGCTGGTCAGTCAAGCCAAAGGCTCCGCGTACATAGAGGCTGGAAATACAAAGGTGATATGCTGCGTTTATGGACCAAGAGAGACTGAGCGCAAAGATGAAACGGATATGAAATGTGGAAGGTATTAACTTTACTTATTCACAGTTACTTTGTGAGCATACACCTGTTTAGAAGTAGGTCGCTAATTTCTATTCATAATTGTCTTGTGCTCCTAGGTTGACAGCCGACATGCGCTTTGCTCCGTTCTCCTGTCCAGAAAGGGGCTCATGGATCCAGGGAAGTCAGGACAAGGACTTCTCTCTGATGGTTCTTGAGAGCCTACAGCCCGCGGTGTGCCTCCACAAGTACCCTCGCTCACAGATCGAGGTCAATGTAATGGTCCTGGAGAACAGTGGGTCAGTTTTGGGGCATGCTGTCACGTGTGCATCTCTGGCCCTCGCAGACGCAGGGATTGAGATGTACGACCTTGTGCTTGGTTGTTCCATGCGTCAGGATGGGGACTCTTTTGTAGTAGACCCCACATATTTGGAGGAGACTCATAGTGATTCTACTGGTCATGATAATCAAGGTGGCCTCACTGTTGCCTTCCTCCCCAGTCTGAACCAGATCTCCGGATTGCAGTCTGATGGAGAAATGACTGAAGAGACTTTGACAGCTGGGGTTCGCACCTGTATTGAGGGATGCTATAAATTGTATCCTGTCATCCAGCAAGCTTTAACCAAAGCAGTGCGTAAGGCAGCTCCACCACCTCCTGAGAGCTGATGTGTACTTTATAAATTTAACTGTTTTCTACTATGAAGACTTTCAGATGTTATGTGAAATGTATATTTTCCAACACCATTATTGGTACAGTAAGACATGTCCACATTTATTACATACATTTACATAATTTTTACATACAAGTTTCAATAAAACTAACAATTTATACAAATTTATTCTATCAATCTTCCTTTTTCTTTCATACAATAACCATACACCAAGTTCTCATACATCCCACTAGTTGACTGATTGTCTGGCAGTAAGATTAGCTGGTTTTAAAGAATATACAGTTTAAATGTAAATCCATAATTCTCATTAAGAAAATTGTCTTGCAATACAGAAAATATGATACAACATGATACAAAACCTGAAGAGGCATTTAGAGCTATCTCAATAAAGACTAAAAATCTTTCATTTTCATACAGCTAATTGGTATCACTGCAGCTCATATGGGCTTTTGCAGAATGTATCTCATTATCTTGTTTCTTATCTGCCCAGCCCATAAAGAAGTCCTGTTGGTTTTATAAATACAAAACACCAAATGACTTGACTAACTCAGTAACAAAATACACCTTTTTTTTTTTTTTTTTTTTTTACAATTGCACAAATAAAAAAAATAAGGCTTTATGTCTTCTATCGACATAAGTTGTAAACATTAAAGATTCAACAACAGCAAAAACAAATCAACCAAATGGAAGATAATGGGTCATTAATGTTAAAAATTGATTGGAAAATGCCCAGTACGCCCAGAACAAAGTATCTTTGTAAAACGGTTTAGTTGACCATAATATGAGGAAAAACATTGTGACATCTTCCTCACTGAAAGTCCTCCCTGTCTCCTCCCTCCTTGTCCTTTGCCTCCTGCTCCGTGTGCTGCCCGTCTCGATGACTTTGAGGGGAAGGGGGCAGCAGAGAGGACATGTCCAGACGAGAAGCAGAGCTGCTAGAGAGGGGCGATGGTGTGTCTATGTCTCTATCAACAGCAGAGCTGAAGGCAGGTGATGGAGTGGGGTTGGTGGAGGCTATGGATGGCTAGAATAAAAAGGAGACAGCATAACTTTCTACTCTGTGAACTCCGTGGTAATGTCTAATGTCTTACCTGTAATGAGATGCTGGACTTGTTTGTCTTTTCTTTCACTTTAGCCAAAGCTCCTCTGAGTCCAGTGGAACGCTCCGTCATCTCCAGAGCTGCTCTTAATAATTTGGGCGTCTCAGCACGAACTGGAGCAGTGGGGACTTGTGGGTGCTCCTTGGCCTCTTCTTTAGGCTCAGGTTTCTTGCCTTTGTTAAGCATCTTCCTGATATTTAAACAAGAAGCTTTTGTTACTTAATGGGAAATACAGAAATGTTAAGCATGCCATCATGTCTAACCTGGCCTTTTTGCGAAGCAGTTTCTTCGATTCAGGATAGTGAACCAGGATTTCATTGAGATCTCTCTTGTCCAGGATAAACAGATTGGCAAATCCATGAGCAATTACATTGGCTGTGCGCCGGTTTCCCCCGCCAACTGCCAGCAAACTGACAGGCAGATGCTCACTTTTACATTTTGGACATAAATAATTTAAAATAAATTAAAATGTGTTATGACCATTTCATAGTACTGTACCTGATCTCTCCAAAGACAGACCCTGCTCTGAGAGTAACAAACACTGTCTTTCCATCAGGTCCTCCAACCACTTGAACTTCTCCTGCTTTTATAATGTACATCTCTCGGCCCACCTCTCCCTAAAAGAAGAAACCAGATTCATAAATTATGTACATTTTGCTAGAATAGGCAATATAATAATATATGTAAAATGTATGAAGATACCTTTTTGCAAACATAATCCCCTGGAAGGTAGACTACAGAGCGCAGACTTTTTAGCATGTCAAAGATCATCTGTCTGTCACACCCCTGTTAATGACATGAACACAACAGGGAAAAATTATATTGGATTATAATAGTTACCACAAGAACACTTTCTACAACTGCAGTACTACACATTTAACACACATTTAATTTGATATACCTGAAAAAGTGGAACTTTGCTCACAATAGAGTAGTTCACATCTATAGCAATATCCATCCGCATTTTATCAGGCAACTGAGTCAGGAGTTCCTGCTCATCTGAAATGGAACAATACTGATTGTAGTTAGTGAAATGAACTTAAGCACAATTTATGAATAAGCATATATTCTAAAGAGAAAAAATATGTAACTCATAGACTGCTAAATAATCTAAACCCTAAATAATCACACATTCTCTTAATTAACCTAAAACAGAATGCACATAATAAAACATTAAATAGAACAAAATGCTCTCACCAAGCATGCCCTGTGACTGCCAGGTGTAGTTGTACCAGGTTTTGACTCGGTTCTGAACATCCTTTGGGATGCGATAGGATGACATGTATTTGATTGTGTTGTCCATACAAGTGCGGTAGTACATCTGACTAGCTGTGGCTGCACCAACCACATCACGCATCTGAAACAAATTCAGAATTCAAATTCAAATAAAAAGTTGTACATAAAAAACAACAACAACACCCAGAGTTGTTGTACTTACTTGCCCTATCATTATAGAGAATGCAAAAACCCCAACAAAGTAGTTAATGAGTTGGAAGACAATCTCAAAGAGGGTGGTGGGATCTGGAAGACCTCCAATGGTGATCAAGGTCTTTACAGCAAAGTAGTAGCAGCGAATGTAACTGTAACATTGGATTAATATTGCATTAAACATGATTACAACAAATGATTAAAGGTGAATACAAAATTATATTAATAAACACAGTATTTGGGTTCTTTTGAATAACCCACCTGTTTCCTTCACCATTGTAGACCCACATAGTTGATCCAAGTCCTTTGAAATCTGAGCCCCAGTAGTAGAGACAGGCATTACAGTGGAGACAGTAAAGAAGATATGTTGTGGTACGAATCACCCTGAACAAAACAAAGGCATTTAATGTCAGTGTACTAGTATTTGGACATTGTGAAAATAATAATTATGATTACAACGGACCTATAGATGTAAGCTTTGGTTAAAATTGCCTCTAGGCGCTCATTGAATACAAAAAATGAGTTGATCTGAAAAAGAGAAATTGAAAAAAGTTTTTTTCTAAAGTAAAGTCATGACTCAAGAGTGTAGGTTACATTTTCATCTAGTCAGCATGTTTAAAGTGCACCAGGTCAGGTCCCAAAAGTGATTTGCAGAGTCACACCTTTAGCAACCTTGGCAACCGAAGCAGAGGGTTGATTCCAGTTTTAAAATAGAAAAGCTCCAGCGGTAACAGACTAATCACATCCAACTGAAATGGAAGAGAAATTACAAAAAAATACTAAAAGTTGTTTCAGTAATGATTGGGACTTTATGATCACTTACCTTGAAGCGCTTTGTTTTCATATAATTCTTCCTCATCTCTGTTTTGTCACACTACACAGGGGAAAAAAGTGTTGTAATAAGAGTTGCTTATTATTTTGACATTTGACATATGAATTTTCAGAATTAAAGGTGGAGTATCTGCCATCTGCTTGTCTCCATAGAGACTGTTAATGAGATAGTTAGATTAGAGGTTTTGCTTTATTATTGCCTGTCCTGTACTGTATTTAACTCTTGTATCTCAAGTTTAATGCAATACTGTAGAACATTAAAGGTAAAGCAATAATACCTTCAAGGAAACAAGCAAGTGACAGACCATCCACCAGAAATGTTACATATTTACATGCACTCTGGAGTTCACTCACCACAATGTCCCCTCCGCGAACAAACTGCAGGCGTGGTTGGAAAACAGTGATGTCCAAAATATAAATGAGGTCACATATGTAATCGGTCAGCAGCCAGTAGTAAATATTGTCCGGAGTCTGGTATGGAAAAGCCCAGCGCACCGGGATGAACCAAACATTCCAGTTCCACGCCAAAGACACCAGGAACATCCACAGCACATACATCAGGTCTGGGACAGAGAGAGAGTTTATTAAACTGTATTTGTAATGAAGTTAGTTTAACGGTTCATATTACATTATTTTCTGATGTATGTTATAATGTTGTTTCCTAATCAAAAGTGTACCTGGAGTTGTTTTGTTTCATTCACACATGTTTTACACAGAAACTCTGCATATTTAGGCGTGAGTTTTTCTCTCAGATTACACTCTGCTCCACCTTTTGATGTCATGTGGTAATACAGGAAGTGCTCCACTGCGCTTTTAAGCTCCATACACCTTCACTAGAATCACTGGATAATTTCAGACCTTGAATTGCCAATCTCAACTGAGCAAAAAGTGATAGGTAGCTGTTAACTTGAAAACTACCACTATATGACATCACAAGGTGGAACAGAGCATTTGAAGCTTTGGAGATGTTGACAGACTAATAATAAAGGATTAATCAAACATGAAAGAAACAAAACACAACTCCTGGTAAGTTTTTGATCAGGTAAAAACAGGTGATGCTACCAGGCCACATTACAGGCCAGATCTTTGTAGAGGTAACAACCCTCACAGTAAGAATTTATGGTTTTCAAGGCATTTCTTTAGCAATAAAGACAGGCATAATTGAAAACATGCAAGATGAAGTAAAAGCATCTTCATGGAAACAAGCAGGTGGCAGACTCTCCACCAGAAAAGTGACATGGTGCATTTTTAAGTTAGCTCATTTGAGATTCTTCAGCTACACAAATAAAAAGAAAGTCTAAATGTATGTAATCTATCTATAGCAGGAATGAATGAAGGAATATAAATAAATAAAGGAAAATAAAGCTGCATCAGTAAAAAGGAAAGGTTTTGACTACAGCCGCTCTAGTCTAGTAAACAAAGTATAGCATCAGGCTTGTTTGGGTGTCTGTGTGACTAAGGTGGAGGCTTCTCACTGGTGAAGGGGTCGATGCTGGTGGGGAAGCGGTAGTGCATACAGGCTCTTATCCATCGAGGGACTTTCACCTTGCAGCAGCCAGATTCTGCATCTCCTGCTTCTATATTCTCTTGTACTTCTCCAGATGCTCCTGCTGGGGGCGCTCCATCGGTGCTGTTCTCCAGTTGAACACCAGAGGGCACTGATGTTGGGGCCTGAGGAGGAGCTAAGGCACAAGAAAGGGAGTTCTGAAAGAGAACCTTCACAAATGTTTGTAATGTATGTGTATAGCACTCACATTGGACAACACTGTCTTCATCTGAGCTGTCTGGGTCTATAAGTTTCTCTTTGGCCTTCTCCGTTCTCTCTTTGAACATTTTGATCAGCTCCTGAAGACGCTCATTGACCACTGTACTGGTCTGACTAGCTGAAGATGTAGGCCGCTCCTTGAGACTGGAAGGACATAAAAAAATATTTATTACACAATGCACAAAGGCCTGTCAAGATAATACTATATTGACTACTATATAGTTCAGTATATGATAGCTCAAACAATATTTTTGGGGGGCAGTATTTATCGAGTGTACTTTTTCTTTGTACTACAGGGAAATTTTGGGTTACATTTTGGCTATACGATAAGATTTAAGCTATAAAAATGTTCAATTAATAACTTCCATGACTCATTACAGTTGTAAACTAAGTACTAAAGTGTTTCATTTGGCTACTTATTTATTGCAGCTCATGATTTTAAAATATTGTACATTTAGAATTGTTTTTATGGTTTAAATCTGCTCTTGAGTTAGTGTATCATAAACTAGTTTCTGTATTATCGTTTATTGTCTTTTCCTCAGCAATGTATCACACTTATATACACATACATATATAACATTTGTTATTGTGACAGGCCTAAATACTCATTCTTATCTGTGGTAGAAAGACGAATGTTACACTCACACATCGTCACTGTGCAGGCTGGACTGACTCGGCCAGGCTCTGACAGGGACGCTTCCCTCCTCTTCATCATCTTCACTTTGAGAAAACATTCTGCCAGTTTGGAAAAAGTTCAGTTAACAATGAAAAATTGTATGCTAAAGATCCTAAATTACATAAAATAGGTTCTTGTGAGATTTAAGACATGTTATAATGTTGACACCTCAGCAAAAACACAACTTCATGTTTTTGATCACTAAACAACATTATAACATAGATGAAAGAAAATAGCATAATATAGGCCTGTTAAATGCAAATTATGCAAATGTTTTAAGTTTTGTGTACAGAGAAAATAGCATAGTAAGTGTTATAACTTACATTCGACTGGCAAAAGTCCTACGACGCTTTCCACTATTGTCAGTGATATTTAGAAAAAAAGGTTAAGAGTCATATTTCAAAACACAATTTTAAACATTTAAAACATGGTTTATAGTAATAGTGACAATACACCTACAATTTAGATTTGCATCTGCTTTATTTGTCTTTTTATATTCATATGTACACAATAAACAAAAGCACATCTAAAATCAGCACATGCAACATTTACTCAAACCAAAAGTGAAACATAAAACAAAACAGCAGAGTTCCCAAGTGCATAGACTCTGCAGGACACATCACACACAAGACATATGTTTTGGTCCAAAAACAGTGGTATTTACCGGTAGAAATACTATTATATTTAGATTTAGTTTAGAATAATTTATATGTGATCAATTATATAGAGTAAATAGTAGTAAAAATAAATTGGATTTGATTTTGGATCAAAACAAAGACATCATGAACCACATTAACAGACACAATCTATAGGATGTAGTTTTATATTTAAACATTGCCAGTAATAAGCTTGTGCAAACAACAACACTGCATGAAAATGGTTTTCTTACTCTTTATCCCCTTTGCTGCAGATGAAAAATGAAAGAAGAAATAAGGAGAAAAGGTTTAAAAATATATACGTACATTCATTATTTTTATATTCACTATTTGGCTTTTGGGTTTTATATTAGGAAAAAAGAAAGCTAAAAAATAGGGTTGTTTTATGTACGGATTACCGTTACCTTATTTTTGTTTCACAATACATATTATATTTAGCTTCATAAAACTCCAGGACTGAAAAGTGTCTGTACATCCAATTAAAGAGAGGAGCTCACCTCTGGCGACCTCCTGCCGGGGTCACTGGGACTGTGAGTGTTGTGAGTTTGGGGTCTTGAAGGTTTGGGGCACTGGGCTCCTCGGCTCCCCCTGCACGCCCTGGTCCCGCTCGCTCATGATCCGAGTCCACATCCTCCACATTCACTGCAGGACGGAGACTGATGGAGCTTTCTGGAGGAGAACATCAGAAAAAACTTTTCACAAGTAATACAAGTTATGGAGCTCAACAGTGACTGCTCGCTCACTGTTCTGGAAGTAAATTTTCCATTAATTTTTCCATAGATATTTCAGGAAAAAAACTAAAGTTTAAAAGGCTGTTTAAAATGCAAGATTCGGCAAAATGTTGTTTTAATAAGTAGGCAGTTTATAAAGTTTCAGAAACAGATTTTTTTTTTAATTATAAGTCTTGTGGTCATTAGTTAACATGTAGCTGATCACCCCTTTTAATGAATGGGTTATGGGGTGTGTGCAGCCACTGTTGACCTCCATTGTGTTAAAAAGAGTTCATGCACACAGCAGAGGGCAGTAAGCAGCAGAGCAGGATTTACCATAACCTACATAAGACTAATGCAGTGGGATCCACTTCTGAACTGGGGCAGAAGAGTACAGCTGAAAGGACTACATCTGCTGGTCAGCTAATCTGTCTGGTACACTGACACTGTTCTGTCAAATGTATAACTTCAGAAAGTATTAGACATTACAGTAGCTGTGTTTGCGCATGTTGAAGATTCTTATAACTAACGGGAGATGGGAATGCACAAATATTCCATTTAGAGCACTTAATTCGCATAAAGCATTATTCATTTGCTTCAGGTGGATTTGATTTAAGCACATAACAGTTCAAATGCATTTTGGAAGGTGGAAACGCATTCAGTACCAACAATATCCATAACACTGCATGTTCAAAATTACACACTATTTACAAGAAGAAGTTTATACATTTCAATAAGTAGTTTTCTAAAGATTCACCTGCAGGTTTGAGAGGGGAGCAATCTGAGTCATCCTCAATGAAGAAGGCGGGGTTACTGAGCCCTGACAGCTGGCGGGACTTGAGGTGCTTGGATGGCGAGCTGACGATTGGGGGCAGGCGAGAGTAAGAGGGCACATTGGGTAACTCCAGATTGCTGCCATTAAGTGAAGAGGGAGATGGGGAGCGGGACTGTAGGGGAGAAGGGTGTGCAGGGGTGAGGGGAGATCGCCTCACAAGTTTGTTAAGTTCTACATCTTGCACATTGCTATTTTGTTTTTGCTGTTGTTGACTTGGTTTTTTAGGCATCTTGTGGCATAAGGCTGTTGAGGCGGTTGCGAATGCTCCCCAAGTATTGTCCGGTGCGGCTGGGAATCTGGGATAACTTTTGTGGAATATTGGATAAGGTCTGCGTGAGGCCAGATAAACTAGGATTGTCTGAACCCTCTGGGCTTTTAGGCAGGAAGTTGCTCACTGTCTGGGCAATGTTTTGGGGTATTTGGGTTAGTCTTATCCTGGGAAACTCTTGCGGCAGTTGAAGAGGGAGGGAGGGCAGGTACTTTGTGACTTCTGAGAGCTGCGTAGGGCATCTAGGCATGGAAGAACATTTGGGGAAGGAGATGCCGTTCTCCTTGAAGAAAGCGTTGATGTTGCCCAAGCATTCAGAGTTGTGAGGCAAGCGCATCAGGCAGTTTTTAAATGATTCACAGCTGACTGGAGCTAGAAGTGGGACAGGCAAACAAGAGAGCAAATCAAGCAAACTGGTGATAACTGTTGTAAAGATCAGATCTTAAAAATAAGTTGCATTCACGTGATATTACAACATTCTATAATTCTCCCTATAGTTTTTAATTGAACTGGAGGATAGGTCTATGACAGAATTTCCATTTGATTTAGATTTTTTAAACCTGGTTTATGGTTAATATCTGCAATTACTGGGCCAATCCAAATGAAACTAAAACTGACATGAAGTTCAGCATCTTCTCTGTCAGTACAAATGAACAAGATTGAAATTATATTCACTAGTTTCAGAAAGTGGTGCAACATTCATATTTCTGTTTGGATATTTCTTTAAAAAACAGTAAATCACCACCCACATAGTTACATAAGCCCCTGTCCTCCATCTGAATTTATGACATCAACAAAATGTAAAACATAAACACAACCTATGTGATGTAACAAATTAGATTTGTACATACCACCGCAGCCATCCTCAGCTTCTTCCTCCTGTAATCAATAAAATACAAGATTTACATGTTTAACAAATTTAGATATTTATTTAAATTTAAGCATATTATTACCTTTTCAGCAGGTTTTTCTGTTTTTTTGATTTGGCCGTTTTCGTCTGCTCTTGCTTGTGGCTGCTTGCTTACTGTTTCATTTGATGAAGTGGCTTCTTGGACCTCATGCACAGACTGTGGCTCTGGGGGTGGTTCAGGGAGGGGTTCAGGGTCAAGATCTGGAACAACCTTGGACTCAGCCTCTGATTCACTTTGTGGGGGCTCTGCTTCAACTTCCTGGATGGGCTCTAAACAAATTAAATACACATGGTAATCAAGTAAAAAAATAAAATAAAATAAAAAGTTCTATATAGTGTGATTCATTCTGTTCTACCTGGTTCATTTAGAGGGGCTTCCTCAGAATTCTCCGACTTCTCATCCAGAGCAAGTGTTGTTTCTTTTCTGTATAACGAGGGGCACAAAATATTTTAACGTAATAGGCTAGTTGTCTAAGATTAACCAAAAGGGAAAAAAAAGAGGGGGAAAGGGGAGGGAAATAGTGTCCGGGCTAGTGTGATGCACGTCAAAGAGCCAGTAGCCAAATCAACCTGTTGCGCTATGAAACATATACACTGGTAGTCACATTGAAGGAAAAATACAGACTAAGTGATACAATTTTACAAGAAATTTAACAAGAATGCAGATGAAGCTACTCACTTTTTACATGATTATTTCCGACCAACTCCGATACTAATCAATACAGCATTTAAAAGTGACGCGCCATGGTGCGTTACCTAAAAACATCGTCTCAGTAATCTGCCCTGTTGTTGTTTTCGTCCATCATGCGCGCGCGAGGATGTTGAGGGGAGGGTGCAGGTGCGCGGTTACCAGGGCAACGGTGAATGCGAGCACTGTTGCTAAGTGAAGCTGCGGTTGCTAAGGAGCCGCGTGCTGATGCGAAGGATGCGAGAGACATTGCAATCTCATCACCACCCCCGGGAACCAGAGGGAGCGACAGTCAGGTCAGGGCATGGTGCCTCCATGATGGTGGAATCAAAATACGACACTGAGCGTCAGAACCTGACACAAACAACAAGTGCCTGCGTGGGTGGTTGAAGTTTCGCCTGTTATTGATACTTTGCAGTTGATGTCATCAACCTTCCCTGGGAGGAGGCTGATGCTAATGTAGGCACTGCTCTGTCTGAAGCTCTGTTACTCAAATTAGACTTTAGTCTGAGTTTTATTTTAGCACAGTCTGATTAGATTGTATCAATATGCAGGGGTGGAAGGAGGAACTGTTGAAAATATGTGTATAAGTTAAACTACCCTACAGTTACTTGGATAGAAAATGTACTCGATTACAAGTAAAAGTAGGACCTACTGCTACACTTTACTCAACGTCTTACTCTGAAATTTTACTTTGCTCCTCTTCAGTTTCTTCTTCTTGTGGGACAGGCGGCCTAACCACATAAATTGCCAGTTATACAGAGTCAATTTAACAAGTGTCTTCCAGGATTGCTGAATAAGTTTGAGGTTATATGAGCTTATAGATAAAATAACTTGACATGCAATACATTTAAACATATATATATATATATATGTCAAAGAGTGTTTTGGTAATAGAAAAAATGTCTCACTTTGAAATTTTACTGTGCTCCTCTTCAGTTTCATCCTCTTGAGCCACTGGCAGCCTGACCATGGCATAGACAGTCACTGTCAATTCAAGACATGCAATAGCTCGTGGTAGTTAAACAAAGAAATAAGGCCTTACTCAACATCAGGCTCCTCCAGAAGCTCTTGGCTGCTTATTGAAAATTTAATAGACTGTCCTTCTGAGGCCATCTGCCTAATGGCCATCTCAGCTGTCTGCCTGGCCACTTCTTCAGCTATACGAGCCATGTCCAGACGCTCCTGCAGCAGCCTGGAGACAGAGCATCAATAAAGATCTGGACAGGTTCACAGAGAAGAACCAAACACACCCACTGCTTTACCGTTCCTCCATTGTAGCCAGAGCCACATCCTCAGCCTCCCTCTTGATACTTTCGATAAAAGGTGTCCAGCGGCCTGTCTGGGTCTCAGCGTCTTCCTGGGAGGCTTTAGTGGGACTTGGAGGTACTTCTGCTGTTGGGGTGTGGTGTTGAGTGGCAGGTGAAGGGGGGGTCAGGGATGTGGCTGGAATAGCTGCAGTGTTGGAGCTTCCCTCATGCTTGTGCTGACATTCAGTGTCTGACTCCACATCCTCCAGCACCATGTCAGGCTGGAGTCTGGAGGATGCTACAGGAAAATAAATGACACGCCTGTATCTGAGATCTAATGCTTTTTAATTGCAAGTCTTATTGATATTATTAATGGTACTATATTACACAAAATTTAAAACGTGTTAGAGGGGTGTTACCTCCTCAAAACATGCCTGGAATTGTGTTTTGTTTAGTTCACACCTTTTAGTAACCCTTTATTATTAATCTGTCTACAACTCAAAGCTCAAAATGCTCTGTTCCACTTTGTGATCTCATGAAGTGGTAGTTTACAAGTTAACAGTTCCTTTTCTATTTAGTTCAGTAGAGATGAAAAATCTCAGGGTTGGTATCATCCAAATGTTTCTAGTGAAGGTGTATAGACTTTAAAAAGTTTCTGTTTGAGAGATGAACTCAGCCTAAATATGAGTAAATATGGGTTTGTGTGTTAAACATGTGTGAATGAAACAAAACACAATACATAATATGGGCTCTTAAAAAAAGAAAAAAAGAAATGCATTTATGAAAAGTCAAATAATGTAATATATAGTTTATATTTTACTGTGTATTTGCTAATTGTGAATATTTTCTTTCCATCCATTAACCTTTAGAAAAATAAATATTACTTTATTATACTTCTTATCAATACTAGAGTACAGGGCTGATGTCAGACTAAAGTGAACTCACAAGAGGAGATGATTCTCGTTTATCTGAGTGAATCTTTATTTTTGGCCCAGTATCTTTACATAAAACTGATGTGCATTAGAGAGCAAAGAATGACAACCACCAAATTTCCAGGTCACAATTTTCAGATCATTTACAATCAAGTGGATCCAACAGGAGGTCTTAAAATTTTTAAAACATACATTTTGGGCAGCCAGGTGAATTCATATTATAAACATAGACTTTTCATAGCTATAATTTAAACCTAACATACAGGAAGTGGCTGATACAGATTTCCAGGGAAATATAGGGGAGTAAAATATAGGGGAGTAAAATATATGGGAGTAAGTAAAAGTAAATGGTAAATAAAATTTGTTTTATTTAATTGTGTTTCTAATTTTGTAAATTGTAAAAAAAAATACACTCACACAAGGGTTATGTAGAATTAAATAAAAATATGAACAGAACTAAAACACTGCAATAAATTATAATACACACAGAATGCTGCCTTGAGTTTATAGTTACAGTAAGTTATGTTTGTGCACTTTGTAGATAAATGGCAATTACTATTTCTTCTGTTATACAGAAAATGTGCAAATGTTCAAAATCACTAAAATATCAGTATCACATGAATACAGTACATATCTATCTTACAGTGGTAAAGTACATTCACATATGACTGTATTAAATACAGTAAGGTGAGTTGAATATATAAATATTCTTGTGCAGCTGCCTAGTTTATGTGCCAACACCACTAAAATAGAGTTGGTCTTTTTGTGGGAAGCGTTGGTCACACAGTCGTCTTCTCCTGCTGTTTAAGGGGCTCGCAGCACCTTCCCCCCTGAAACAGAAGGAGAAGAGGGACTGAGTTAACCTCCGAATGGCCCACCAAAACACCCAGGAAAACTAGGAGCAAAGGACAAAAAATTCTAAATTGTAATTTCAGAAATGCTTTGATACACTTGATTGAATGACAGTATATTGTGACACTGGAAAAAGGTTTATACAACAAGCATAAAAATGATAACCAAAAAACGTACCTTTCTGTAGAACCTCTGCTGGCCCCTAAAACAAAATATAAATTAAAATTACACTTGAACAAATGTTAACATAAAAAATAAATGCAACTTACATCTACACCGTCTTTAGATGTCAAAGCAGGCTGAGGCATCTTCAGACCAAAGCCTGACACAAACCAGCCAACCACACTACAGGGAGACAGACTGTTACAAACATGCCTGCACATTTATTTATTTATAATCTAATTTAAATGGAGAACAGAAGTATTAACCTTCCCACTTTGCTATCAGTATCCAGTGAGATGCCACTTAGAGACTCAGGAGGAGGAGACAAGGCTGCAAAAGAAAGATCATTAAGTTTAAAATTATTTGGTTTATTCCTAGTTGTGAATGAACACAGTTTATTCTTAAAGGAATTTCAACTGATTGCATGAACTTGATTGTTAAATTGTACATACTTTTGTCCAGTGAGGAGGGAGAGTTTGAAGTTTCAGAAACCACTGTACCAGGTGGAACTGGCTGAGGCAAAATTTGTTTTAACCAATGGCCAACCCTGTAAATTACCAAAAAAGAAAAAGAAAACACACACATTAGTTTAATATTATATGATGTGATAATTTACATGTCTAAAACTTTTGGTATGTATTCACTTACTTTGGTGGGAATGGACCTGACCGATCATGAACTTCTTCATCATCTGATACCATCTCCACCACAGGGATGTGAGATAGGGGATCAAAATCTGCAAAAATATAAATACAAATAATTAAGGTAAAGCAGTATGTAAAACACAAACAACTCAAGCGTTGTTTTAATTATATTTTGTAATACCTCGAACCACCATACCTGGCATTGCTTGCACATCATAAATCTGGAAACATGAAATTTATGAATTAGATATTATATACACAATACTGGTCCTGATTTTAAACTTGCTGAGTGTCTTGCCTCAGTCTGTTCCTCTGTGAAGACTTCGGGACTCTCTCTGTATTTCTCATCAGGCTGAGGGAGCATATTGTTCAGGCCCTGGGACACCCACCCAAAAACTCCTGATCTGCGTAACATTATTCACAACAGTTATTTTTTTATTATTTTATTATTTATTTTATTATTTTCACAGTCATTTATGACACTTACCCCTTTTCACCCTAGAAAAAGGAAAGAAAAATCACAGTTGTGTTAAGACAGTTTAAAAATGATACTGATACTTCATGATACAACTGATATCATCAGCATTCACTGGGGGTGTGAAGCTAACTGAAGGCACTACTCTGTTAGAAGCTCTATTACTCAAATTAAGCTTAATCGGATTTTTCTCTTATAGTTTATCTGTGATCTGGGTGAGCATTCCCAGTATCTTATTCTTGAACTGAGTTTTATTTCAACACAGTCTTATTCTTAATCTTCTTTATTTTAACACTGTATTTTATTCTTAATCTGATCTTTATTTTCTGGCCAGAAAGAACGGATTTCATTGGAATTACAACAGGTGAGATGATTTACGTTGTTAAACAAGTCTCTCACGCATAAAGTTGCAGTCACAAGTTTTTCAGTTAGTCACGTTCAGCGTTTTAGTTGAAAATCAAACACCTTAACAGGACCATGAACGCTCGCATTGATTACAGTTTTCTGAAAATGTGTTTAAATTCATTATAGTTTTCAAACTATATTAAAACTTTTTTTGTCTGTGTGCATGGTAAAATGCTGAATATTCTGCCAACAGAAATATGTAGAACACCCCCAGTCTAATGTCACTGAAATTATCAATAAGCTTAGTAACTCACATCTGCCCTGCTGAGTCGGGGGGATCCAGCAGGCTGTGGCAGTGAGTTGACAAAGCCATTGGACAACCAGCCCAAAACTCCACTCTGATTTTGGCTGGAGCAGATAAACAAATAAGTAAACAAACAGATAAATAAATGAAAAGGCATCACAGTTTTCCTGTACACAAAAGCTCACCTGTCTAAGGAAACTTCATCAGTATTCTTCAAAGGTGGACTCTTTACTGGGGGAACTGAAACCCAATTTAAGTTACAACAGCTTCACGTAAATTGCAAAAATATAAAATAAACATGTCTTACCTTCTTTGGGTTTGGGTGGAATCTTCACCTAAAATGCAAAGTAAAGTGATTTTTCTATTTAGTTATCTGGATTAGTTTTCCACAATGTGATTTAACTGTATTACTAAGGCTTGTTCTATCAGTTAATGCTAATATCTCAGCAATAGCACTCGTATTTACTAAATTAGTTAGTGTATCTATCCTATTCAAATATATCCAAGCATATGGTAAAATATTGTTTGTCTTACAGGAGCCTTGACAGGTTCTTCTACAAGAGGGGCTTCTGGGAGCTGAGGGACCACTTTCACCACCCAGTTGAACATACTGGTAATCAAACAAAAACATAATAGTCTTTCTCATCATCAAATAAGCTTGATGAAAATAACCCTTAAACTATACTTAAGCACCTGCTTCACTCAAATGGAGTGCATGAGGTCTAAGAAAACAGTATTATCAGTGAATATGGGGCGTCTCATGGGTTAATATTTGATTCATTTTGATCTTCTGAGTCACAAATAAAAATATCTCTAAGAAATATTAACAAAACCATGAGTGGCCTGTGTAGTCATAGTCAAAATTACATGTTGGTCAATATCAAAGATGCTTCTGTCTGCATTGTGCACCGATCCCATGGTTCAAAAGTCAAAGGCAAGCCTGATATCCCAGGGCCAGGCCATAAGGTGATTTAGTTACCAGGTTATACAGGGTTCAAGCTGTAAGCCAGTTAAACACAAGCACATAAAATCCATGTATGACAAAAACACACAAGTTTGTCCCAAATAAGAAAGATGCATGAGAGTCAATTCCTCAAGGGATAATGATTAATCTGTAACGTGTGCTCCTCTTTGACAGTTTCTTGGCCTGTTGGACTAATCCAATAAACATAGACGCTATGATGAGTTCCCTGAGCACAACACACAAGTAATTGTTCAAAATAAATTCAACAACAGTTTATCTGTACATTCTACCACTAAATGATTCAACAACACAGGTTATAATCTGAAAAAAATCTGGGTCTGGAAGAGTGCCTCCAAGTTTAACAAGGATAAAGAATATAAATCTATAACTATAAGACAATAGGCAGAGAATGGAAATTCAGAAATGTGCAGCCTAATAAAAAATAAAGGACTTTTTGAATCAATGCATTATTGGAATCAGCTCAATTGCATGCTCTTGTTCCTGTCTGCACATCTGATTTTGCTATGTATTTTATCTTATATTTAAAATCTAAGCACAGCGACTGTCTTGTGGGTTATGCAGCTTGTTTAGCTATTCTTACCTGCTGTCCTACAGGTGGTTCGGCATACCGCTGCTGCAGAGCTCCAGAGTGAGACACAGTCACAGCTCTGCCTCCACTACGGCCTCACTCATAACAGGATTAACCAGCAGCACCTGAAGGTCAGCGGACAATCCTAGTCGTGAGCATTCGCAGATTAGTGACAGAGAAAGCTATCGGACATCACCCATAAACTGCTATCACTGCCCACCTGGAGCCAAGCAGCAAGTATTATGTAATACTAGACCTCTCATTCTCAAGGCAGCCTTCAGTAAACAATCAGTCCAAATTTAGGGTTTTTCTAATCATTATCACCAAAGCTTTATTTTGGATATGATCCATAGAGTCAGTGATGGACAATAAACTTATTTATGCTGTTTAATAGCTGTTTAATAACTAGCATATTTAAACATAAAACAATGAATAGAAAACAAAAGAGAAATGTGTCTAATGTACTTATAATGTACATAATGCAAGGACAGGGCAGTGTGGATGGAGCTAGAAGGATAACAAAGAGGAGGAAGTAAGACAGCGTGGCATGAGGCCTAAAGTGATTAGTGAGATCCAGCAATGCCCTCATTAACAAGAGCTAACTAAACACTGAACAATTCATGTACTGTTTACAAAACAATACTATGTAAATCTGTCACAGAATTAAATCACAAGCATTTAAAACTGTCTTTGTGCTGTTACATAATGTAAGTGAATATTAACCACAAAACAAAATAGGATTGATTAGAGAGATAATGGCTATCATCACACCACCACTGTTGTTGTGCTGTTTAGAGGAATGAGCAGTTTGTGGCACATGAGGAAGGAGGTAGATCTCATAATGAGCTCAAAGGGATAAGCTGGACTACAGGCCTATGACACACACCCTTCACCCTGAGGACAGGGCTGGGGCAAAGAGGACAGAGGCAAGCTACAGAGATGGCCCCATTCCAAGGAAACATCTGGAAGACACACTCCCCCTACAATGAATTTATGTAAAGCTAATTTGAATAATCTCACATTTACTATACACATTTACTACATATAAGGTTTGGAACAAAACAACATACTGGAACATACTTAAGTCTCTGGGCCAGACAGAGACTTAATGTGGCTGTCAGACCAACTTTCCTCGGCCCCCAGACTTCCTGGTGAACTGGCCCACATTACCCTGAAAAATTATTTTCTTCTGCAAGTTTCTGTTATAACTTCATTAATTAATGTCTGTGTGAAAGACAGACCTGATATTAAAGTCCAGGCTGAATCAAGATGTTGGGGCACTTAAAAAATCTCTGATAATTGCAACATTTTAGAACAATCCACAATATTGACCACCAGCCTGTTGTCCTGTGGCTTTCAATATGTTGTTGAAAAGTTTGGACACCCCTGGTTTAGATTCCAGAAGAATGCAGTGCAATACACAAAGCAGGTAGAGTCAATGAGAAAATGAAGAATGTGAAAGGCTATAGGTCATAATTAATTTCTATGAACTGCTTCAGTTTCTTTCATGCATGATTTTGTTTGCTGAAAAGTATCTGCTATTTTTGGACAGTTCCATTTATGTTGTAGCCTCATTAACAGTTCCCTCTTGTGGCTAAAACAGGAAGTGCATGATCTACTTCCTGAGAAGACAAAGAGATGTGTGCATGACCCATCATGTTGCTTTTGAAAGTTAAATTTTATTTAAAAGATTGCCGTCTACACATATGTGCAAGCCAGCAAGGCCTCCCATAACATGCCCTGCATGCTTTAACATGATCATTCTTCAAAATAATTAAAAAAGTATACTTTCCTTCATGGTATTTTATAACCCCCCCCATAATCACATACAAAATACAGGCTGAACAACAACTACAATCTAAGTTTACACATTAGTACAGTGGCTTAAAACTCAGACAGACCTCTCTCAGTGGAGGTGGAAAGCTATGGACATATAAGATCAGCATCCTGTACAGGTTCTGCATTAGTTACCCATTCAACACTTCCTTTCACAAGCAGAGTAATAATACATGTGGAAATACAGTATCAAAGGGATGTGGGGGTAACGGAGGAAGTCAGAGCAGCACCAGAGAAAAGGACTAGGCCCAATGTAGGTCAGGAGGCACGACGCCAGCGTGGCCCCTCCCAACTCTCTAATACTCCTCCTTTTCCACTCAATACACTCTCACTCCTCTATCTGCCCTCTTTTCTTTCCTTCAGTCTTTCTTTCAATTCTGTTCTTTTCCTTTTCTCCCCTTCTGCACCACAAAATCAGTAACATGTGGACCTAATGAATAACAGACACAAACCTTACTTTTCAAGTCTTGTACATACATACTTATCACAGGGTTTGCTATTTAGTGTGAACATTCAACACAAGGAAATCAGTTTTTGTACATGAAGACAGAAAAAGTTTTAAAGAACACAATAGCTCCTTAAAAGATGATTTAACTCAAGTCAATTTACAGTCATATTTAATCCCAAGCCTGGCAGTGGTCATATATGAAAAAGTCTGCATTAGGGCCAGTCTGAACAGTGAAGGAGAAGTCTATATGGCCCGTAGTTTGAAAGCAGATGTGCTGGTTTCCATAAAGGCGCAGATGAGAGATCGTGTGACGCAGTGTGTGAGTGGGACAACTGAACGGCCTCAGAGGGAGATGGAGCGGTCATGGGCGCATGCAGCTGCCTCACATTCCTGCTCTGCTCCCAGGAAGAACTCCCCATGCACAGCTTACCAGTCTAAACAGTATGGACCAAATTGCATTCTCGGCTGCATTAAGAGTTTGAATGTGCAATTTCTCTCAAGCAGCATAGACAAGCATTTATACGTAAAGGTGCACGGTGTAACTTTTCTAGTGCAGGGTCCACCATCAGCTCGTCTCCATGGAGATGCGGTGCCTTGTCTGGAATGTCCCAGTATGGCATTAAACATGTCCATCTTGCATTTACTCAGTAACATGGGTTTTATAGGTTTGCCTCTCCGCAGATATGACATGTGACTCAGCCCTGCTGTCTCTAAAAAGATGAAGAGAAGTCACCATGGAGAGAAGCAGGTGACAGACCCTCCACCAGAAATGTTACACAGTGCATCATTAAGATTGCCTTTACCAAATATACTTTTTTTTTGAGCTTACATTGGCCATCATACTACAATTATTTTCCTACAAAAATGCATTTATGTACACTATGTATGCAAGATTTACAGCTGAACGAAAAAGAAAAAGCAGTTTGTCAACAGCTACATTCATCTGCACTTTGGGGGCAGCTGCGATTTTTTTTTCTATGGCTCAAACAAATGAACAAAGGTCAAAATTAAGCAGTGGTATTCTAATAAACAGGAGCAAAGGTGCTTCTGGAAATGTGCATTGTTGACTGCATTATAACACTATGTTATAGCTTTACTAAAAAAACAAAACAATCAAACAAACAAAAAAAAACAGATATTTTTCCTCAATGTTGGAATATTTGAGAGAAATTAGAACAATTAAGGCACAAGGTAAAACGTACGGCTAGCCCCCTTTTTCTACTTGTCCTTTCCACAGTGGCACAAAGTGAGTTTAAAAAGTCAAAGTTTCTTGTATTACACCCACTCCTGTAGTGAGCGTTTGCAATGAACTAAAGCCCTGGGCGTCTCTTTGTTCTGCAGAGTCCTGAGGATAGCATAGATCAGTATAAGGATGCACAGGATCAAAACCAGTGGGACAGTCACCATGATCAACGTCATGACTTTAGAGTGACCATCGGCGGGGGCCACAACCACATCCATCTCTCTGTCCACGTCTTCGTCCTCCACGGGGACTTCTGGATTCACACCCACAACCTCTTTGTCCGAGTCTCTGTCCCGTTTGCCTTTGTCCTTTTCTGTGGGGTTTACTGGTTTCACTTCTGGGTCTGGTTTAGGATGCGGAGCCCCTGCACAGCCCATGAAATCTCTGAGGATAGAGCGAGGGTAGCCTGGATCTGCCTCTCCCCGCCCGTTGTGGAACCTCCAATAATTAGCTCCCTTGTAGAAGTACGTGTAGGCTGCAAAACGATAAAAGAGGCTTGAGTCAGCAGCAAAAAGAAGTACTAATTTCAGTCCATCATCAGGAAAAGGTAATTCTTTGGTCCCACCAATGATGGTCAGTCTGCAGGAGTTGTAATTGTTTAAAACCACCTGGCAGTAAAAGCAGGCATGCAGCAAAGAGGTTTGCCATGATTACAGGGGCAAATTGAACAGACAACAGGCTGAAACCAATTAGATCATTCAGGAAGCAAGGCTGGTGCAGAGACACAGTCTTAATTTTGTATTTGGACATTACTATGTAAATAAACAAATACAGTAAAAAATTTATCTATGTGAAATAAAGAGGAAATACAAGATGCTGACATGCATATGCATGCATGCATCCAGATTAAACTAACTTCATGTAATAGTTAAAAAATGCAATGTTTTCCAAATTAAATACAATGGAATGGTCTAAAATCCATACATACACAGATCCTTAATAAACTGGCAAATAGGATGTAGTAATATGTTTCATATATGTGTACTAGCTCAAGATTACACACAGATGCCTATGAAATCCTTCTGTAATACAGCTCTGGGACTGTTTGGTTCTGAGGGTAAAACCCAGGAGACACCGGAGAAGTCTGGGTGGATATGGGACGTGAGTGCTTTTAGAGCACACTGCCATAAATCTAATTTCCAAAGGAAGGATGGGCCAACCCTCAAGCCAGAGCCCTTTCCTGTATTCTCTCTCTTTGTCTCCTCATTCTCCTTGCCCTGCTCTCAGTTCTGTTTGGGTCACTCTAAAATGCATGATTTTTTCCCCCTGTCCTTTGCACTCCAATACACCCTAATAACCTTTCATTATTTCCTTTGCTCCACCCTTTACTGGTCATCCTGTAGTCTCCAGCATGGCTACATTTTGTATATAGGTGATTTCCCAGACCAAAATCTACCCAATATATCCACATACTTTTTTTTAACCACAGGTCTAGTTAGATACAAACATTTAGATTTCACTGTGCATATGCAAGCCTCTACGCCAGACCTGTGCATAACAGAAGATCAGTATTAAATAACTTACCACCATCATCACTTAGGAAAGCACCCTTTGGCGATGGAGGGATTTTTCCCCACCTACTGATTGGTTTAGGGAAATCTGCATCTGTAGTACGTGTTTCTTCATTATAACGCCAGTACCTGGAAACAGAGATGCATGGGTTCAACTCTGTAATGAGTCAAACGTTGAGCAAAAGGCATAAAAAAAAAAACAATCGTCTTGGAAAATAACTACTGTGATTATTAATCATTATCTCAGCAATGTTATAGTTGAGCTGTTGAGAAATGACATCGTATCCTGAAAAAACAAGACCAGGATGTAAACAACCCCGTCTGGAAATCTGATCATAACTTATGGACTGTTTGTTTTGCTTAAACAGTTCTATTTATGTTTTCTTTGTCATTAATGTCTCTATTTCTTTGTCTTGGCATAAAAGCATAATTATAGGATGGGTACTGCAAATTCCCTCAAGCTTCAAATTATGCAGAAGCATGTTATATTCATTCTAGTAAACAAACAAACTAGAAGAAGAGGGGGTAATGTATGCTGGAGAATAGATATGTTTGGTAATGCTCACCGGTCTCCTTTGAAAAAGTATGTGTATTCATTAGGCTCCCACCAAATGGCAGTGTCAATGCCGTGTGTGGGGATGCCTCGTCCGTACGCGTGCAAAGGCTGTGGGTATCCTGGCAACACATCAGCCTCACGGAACAACCAGTACCTCTCATCTGCACAGACAATAACAGGCTCATTACCCTGATGTTTTGGGTACACCAATAAACAAACTGTAAAGAAAATGAAAAATTAGACATATGGCCCACACTCCCCACAGACCAGAGGCAGAGGACACACTATTTCGGTATAACGTTTATTTTCCAAGATTCCCCAGCACAAGTCCAAGTTCTTTTGACACATTTTAACATCCAGCTCCTTTCCACCACCTCTGCCAGTCAACTGCATAAATATGGTGTAGCCTAATCAAACTCACTTAAAGCATTTTCTCTTAAAATCTAAAAGTTTATTTATGATCTAATCAAATGAAATAATAATAAGAAGAATAAGAATATGAATGGACTTCAATGATTTTAAGTGGTTTTATATTTATACAATTAATACAGAGGTAATGTTTTGCAATTAGATTTATTTTGTTATCTACTATGTTTGCTACCACGGCAACGGGAGAAACCTCAGGGAAAATGCATTGTGGTTAAAAGAGTTAGAAATGCAAAAGGCCGATCACAAGTCACAGTTTGAGCTGTGTAAAGTAAATGGTCTGCAGCTCTCCACATCTGGACCACTGCCGTGTTAAACAACTGACGCAATCCTCATTACTTTGAGTTTCTCTCCCAGGGCCTCTTTGGCCTCAGCTGTACTGGTGCTCTGCTAGCAGCTGCTGCCACGCTGGTGCAGAGATCAGCAACACTTTAAATCATGAGCAAGCAGACACACATACAATGGAATTGAGAATCATTGTAATTTTTGTCTGTGGCTAGAATTCCTGGTTTCCCCTGAGTTTCACTTTTACATAATAATGTAGGCTAATGCTTTTGAGATTTACAGCGTGCCAGACACAGTTATGGGAGTGTTCCATTATAACCGCCCTTCTCGTAAATCACAAGTTAGGAATCTGTGCTTACGCAGCAGCTTTTTCTGACCAGTTCAGATCAAAAGTGCAAATATTTCCCCAAAGTGTTTACCAACAATATTTAAAACTGATTTTTGATTCATCTTGAGAATAAACTAAGAACTAACTAGATTAAAAACTCCTTTTTTATCCACATACCTTTAAAGAAGACAAATTTTCCATCATGGCGTTCATAAGCTGCATCTATGTCATTGGGAAGACCCATCCAGAACAAAGATATGGGCATTGGGTAGTTATCCAAGACACGATTCCTGCGTACTCGCCAAAACCAGCGGCCCTAAAGAAATGTAAAAACAGGCAACTTTGTAAATACACTGTCAAACTAAAACAATAAAACTAATTAAACTTTTTGTTCTCTTCTAACCTTAAACACAAACATTTCCCCTCTCAGCATGGTGACCGTATCAAAATTCCCATCACAAATATTTGGCGGTTGTCCGTCTGGTTTCTTTGGAGGTGACGGTGGACGTGGTGGGGCCCATGTTGGGGGCACAGGTTTTTTATGAGGGGTGACGGGCACTGACGCCCACTGGGACTCTGTCGTTGTGGCTGTAGATGGTTTTGTCGTATCAGGCTCTGGGTGCACAGTTACATCAGGTCCTGCACTGGGCTGTATTTGTGGGGGCCGACTGGTCAGAGCAGAGGAGGTGGGTTGTTCTTGCTCAGTGGTGGTGGAAACAACAGTTGTGTGATCATCAGGAGGCATTAATGTAGTTGGCGCATCGGTCATGAGAGGTGCGCCTATGGAAAAAAAGAAAAAAACGTAAAGCAAAATTAATTTTGATGTTCAACGAGCCGATTTCAGACTATAATAATTTTCATGAGAAAAGTTGGTGCTTGTTACTATGGGAGGAAAACAAACAGTTATGTAACGTTTAATGACCACTGCCTAAGGATCCATTAAAATGCATATGGAATACTGTACATATACTGCTACACTAACTTACTAATAAGACAAAACATGAATATTAGACTCTAGTGTTTTTGTCTGTGTGTTGCAATAAAATGCTTAGAAGATCTTTCTTACTAAAGTTTTTGGTCTGTTACTCACAGCATGATGACAGATCCAGTGCTTTTATAAGGAAATGTAAAGTGCTGCCTGGAATGTGTCAATGTGCAGTGATATATATTTATTCCTTTGGGAACTAAACATGTTTAGTTTCTTTGATTTTTAGATTGCAGAACAGTTCCTACTGAAGGTGAGTTCTGAGAGAAAGCTTGAGCAAAAGAAACATAAGCATTTTGATAGCTAAGATATTTGGTCGTTACATAAATGTTTCTACGTGTTTACTTCTTTGGGAAAAGTAAATTCAGCCAAGTCCTTTATTTATAATCCACAGCTGCAAATTGCAAAATCCAGTCAAAACTCATCTAAGCACCTTAGTGCTTTATATTTGTTCATTAAAAGGAAACTATTGTGTAATTTTCTCCTAAACATTTGTTTTACTAGATTTACAAGTCATTTACAAGAGATATCTACTATAAAAACAAGGTCACTGGGTCAGAAAACCAGCTGAAACATGCTTCATATTGGGCATAAATATAAACAGCATTTGTTCTGTTGCACAACAAGGACAGCAGAAAAGCATCAATGTTTTCTAGATTATGAAATCATATTAACAAAATATCTACAAAAGAATTACAATGTTGATAATATTTTCTGATGATTGAGTCATAAACAAAAGGACAAAACAGACACGTTAAACACATGTGGTCTGTCTTTGGCCGAACACAGATCCTATCAGTTAATAACAATGTCGTCTATTCAGAGGGGAGCAATGAGGGCACCAAAATGCTATGTGAATATGATGCTCTAAATAGTCCTGTGAACTGTGGAGTGAAGCTCGTCTACACTGAATTCAAGGTTATTTAATCATTTTATTTAAGAATAAAACAGTTACTACATTAGAATTAATTGGTTTGATTTGACTGGACTGTTGACTGGTTTTGTATATTGTAGTTGTACAAGTGACACTTCATTACAATGTGCAGTTAACATGTCCTCACCATATATGTATTGTATTCCTTTGATATCGTCCTCGTGCAGAGTGAAGTTGTGACTGGGCACCCACTGGTAGAACGGCGCCATGATGGCATTGGGGTTATCAGAGTGCTCCAGGCCGAGAGCGTGGCCCAGCTCGTGCACAGCCACCAGAAAAAGGTCTATTCCTGCAACAAAGACACATCTAAATGTGCTAATCTGAACATAAAACTAAACTAATCTCATTCACTGACCTCGTGGATTATGATTTTCCAGTGTCCAAGGCTCATCAGCATCAAAGTGTATGTCTCCACCCATTTGTGGCCCAGGGTAGTAGGCGTGTGCCAGGGACCCCCCCTCACCATCGAATAAAGACATATCTCCATGAAATCCAGAGGCAAACAGTAGGAGGATGTCAGCCAGTTCAGACTGACTACTGTTGTTAACAGCTGGTAATTCCTCAAAAGTGAGTGGGGTGACTCTCCTCCAAACCTCAAAAGCTTTGCGGATTGCCTCAAATGTCAGCTCTTCTCCCAGGGAGGAGGGTATTTGCTGGTTCAGAATGCTAAAGAAAAAAAGTAACATTGGTACATTTTCTCTCACAAACTTGATTTTGTGCATCAACTGTAAAACCTGTAAGTGATATGGTCTTTGTCCCACTGCTGTCCAGTGAGAGCGTAGCGCTTTTTTCTTTTCTCATCGTGTTCTTCTGGTTTTCGGTCCGGGACACCACAGCGAGGCCGGCGCATTGCACTAAACAGACAATTGTGAAAATACATTATTCAAACTTCATTAAAACTTCATTCTGTGTTCACTTTTAAACTATTATTTTGTTAGACAGTTGTGAGTGTTTACCAGGTCCCATTGTTTTTAGTCAAACAACGGGACCTGCAGACCCCTGATTTTAAGAGCAACTACACTTTATCTTGTATACATACAAGACAAATACTTAATTCAGATAGAAGTCTTGAATAAAAAGTGATAGTTTTGCTTACAAAACAGTAGAAGGGTCCATTTCCCCTGTGACCTGGAGGCCGTAGAATCTTTGCATGTCACTGATGGCGTTGGAGAGGATCCGTGCAGACTGCATGGTGGACATCTGTCTGCTGCCCTGAGAGAGGTAGCCATACTGACGAAGCCACGTCTGTGAAGACCAAGTGTACCGTCAGCACAGTCTAACATGTGTCAGATGCTGTGTGTACATGTATGGTGATCTGAAAACAAGCTGCTGTCTAATAAAAATGAAAGCTGAGGAGCTAAGGAAAAGGAGAGGTGATAAAGGCCAGATGTCTTCCATTAAACAGAGCGTGGCAGCTCTCATTCGTGGACCCTCTGCACTCAAGAAAAAAGCAGCCCTTGACAAATATGAAACTATTTCAAGGCATGTGATGGCCAAGGAGAGGCTCTCTGACTTCTGTCTGCAGGGTAACTTTTTCAAGCTCAGGAACGAAATCAATTAAGACATGTGGAGCCACATACATACAAGATCAACCTCCTCAGGTAAAAAAAATAAACACCAGAATGGACAGAGAGATAACAGGTTTTAAGCAGCATACAAGTTTGCCAAAACTAAACCCTGAGGTATTTAACAATCTAACATACAGAGAACTATGATGCATATTATGGTGTGCCACATGGACAGCCAGGGTAAATCTTCCTTTAGTCCAAGACTTAAAAGGAAAAACAAAATATTTAACAATTTTGGTGCATGGTTCAATTGTCCTTTTTTTCAAGCAGGGACTGTGTTTTCTAATCAGATGATTATGGTCCTCAAATGCCCAAGTGGAAACCAAATCTAACATGACTTAAACACAAAGTATTGAGCAATGTTACTTCAAAGAATGGCAGAGGTTTGTTTACTACAGCATTGCATGTTATTCTCTGTGCGTAAATTTTTATATAATCTCTTTTTTTTTTTTTTTTAATCTTCGTTTGTTGGCTCACTTTACAAATAAAGTAGGCATTAATGTCCAATATAAGAGTTTGAGCCTTCTTACCTCTGCATTAAATCCTTCCTCTTCTGGGACTTGTTCCTCAGCACAGGATAGGACCAGGGTCAACACTGATGTGATTAAGATGCGTGAGCAGAGATGCTGAGGTGCCATCTTCTGGAAGATCTGCTCCCTCTTCTCCACTTAAATAAAGCACGTTTTCCAGAGGCAGAAGTAAATGCACCGGCAGCGGGGGACAGCTCTGAGTGCCCCGTTTGGCGTCCCAAACTTCAGAAGTAACTCCTCATGGTTGATGATTACAATCTCAGTAATGAGCTACTGAATTTAGAGTTAGTTTGGAACACTAAACGAATTTTATTTAGAGGCTACAAGTCTGGTTTAGTCATGCTAGTCTTATTAGCCTAGTAGTTTTTCAATGCAATCAAATGGCGCAAATAACCCCCTTGCCTGCTCGGAGATCCACAATGACAGCGGTAGATCGCGGTCAGAGTACAGTGAAAGGCAGCAACAAGTCTCCACCATAAACTCAAGCCTGACTCGAGCGGCTGCTGCAGCGCGTGCTCAGGAGCGCGTGAAAAGGTCAGTTTCCAAAGTCTTTATGGCATGTCCCCGTCTGTTTGCCTCAGGACGAACATCAAAAAGTGCGCAGATTACGAAGGCCATGAGCAGAGCCCTAAAGTCTTGCTTAGCCAAAGTGAATCCCACCTCCTCAAGACAAGGGGAAATCAGTGTGATTAAAATGGCATGGGCGCCATCTGCTGACGTTATTAAGAAGTACAGTTAATATACAAATAACAGTTGATGAAAGAATGGGTCCAGTTTTTAACTGTCATATTTGCTTTTATTCACATCGACAGTAGTTATTGTCAGCTGAATACTTGAGCTGCTCTCCGGTTGCCCGCCTTTGCCACTATAATGAGGAGAACTATAAAAAAGCCAACAGTCCAAACTCCAGCTACAGGCAGCACCACTGTTGTCACGATGTCTGAAACACAAGGACGACTTGCATCAATGAACCGCCAAATACACAAATGAACCATAATGGCAACTCACTGGACTGAGGTTTTTCTGACACATCCAGCTTGATTGGGCCATATGAGAGGAGGCCATGGGTCCCATCATCCATGACCGCTTCCCTTTTGATTATGGAGTTGCAGTTCTAGAAAAACAATTATTGGTATATTATATAATAAACATACAGAATAGGCCACAAAGCAGTACATGTGCAAAGTGTTAGGCCCTTTTATAGCCTTACTGGTATGCAGGTCCTGTGATCCTCTGGCTCACACAGCTGAACAGCACAGTGTAGATACATATCATAGGGCTCTTCTGCAAACCTGAACATTTCAAAGCTGTAGCGAACAACAGAGCCTGCACCATTCCCAAAGTCTGAGTTGCTCTTGTTAAGAAAGGTAACCGTGTCATCTTCAACACATCTGTAGCAAATAAAGAAGGATCATCAATTAATAATCAAATAGAATAGAGATTTGGGCAGTGAACACTGGTGTTTTCTGACCCATTCTGGAGGAGTGTATGAACAGAACCAGCTGTGGAGTTAGGCTGTGGAGTCTGTGTGGCCCAACACTCATCGACCCGAAGTAGAAAAAATTCTGCAGGTTCAGTCACCATCACTTCCACAAACACCTAATTAGTTAACAAAAGGTGTGTGAGGGTAAAACTGAGCCAGAGCAGGTGCTTAGGCAGATGTAGTTAATTATCCAAGAGTCAGTCACCTTATGGCCCAGTTCAATGGTGGGGGCAGTGCTGTAGGCCTCAGTGTAAGAGTGGTCTGTGTAAAGCATCATCTGGATTTTAGCATCAACTTCATCCACTCGCACCACAGTTTCACTAAAGGGAAAAGGGCATTCAGAAGTAAATGCTTTGCAATGTTGCTTGAAATTGTATTTTGTATGTACTCTAATTTTTTCCATTTGATTATTTAATGTAGATATATTTAAATATATATCAGTCAATTTAGCAAAACATCTAAATGGGAAAAGGTGGCATGATCTTAAATAGGATTTTTTCTTTTGTGTGTGTGTATACAACAATAAAATTACCTGAAAAATGGGACGATGGGGTATTTCAGGCTGACTGTCCGGAGGTATGGAAAGACACATTGGAAGTCAAGCTTAATGGCAGGTTCTCTGATAATGTTTCCAGTGATCCGTGGGTTTGACATCAAGGTTAACGAATAGGCGATATGAGTGATGTTTTTCTGTTAGTAAGCACATGATGGTAATGGGTACGAGACCTTTTCTAAATGCATGATAACTGAATGTATTAGATCATACCTCCAGTGGTTTGCCTCCACAAAATAAGTATTGTTTTTTGGAGACCTTGGCCGTATAATATGCAACCCCATTGATCACCTCTCTCTGAGCACGACATGACTCGTTGGGCAAATGCAAAGAGTTGAGGGGCACTCTGAGGTAAGTGAAGTAACTTTCTAAAGCTCTGATACTGATGGAGTCTCTTTCACAGTTCACTTGAATATGTGCACCTGAAATGTTAAAAGGGGATTTGATCATTCAGGTTTTTATAAGCATAAACATACATACATACAAAAACTAAAACTACTACCTAATAATGTTACATTTTATGTATATTCCACTTTACATTTCAAAGAAATGTTCTACAGCAGGTAGATTAAATCTGAGTGGCTGCCTAACAACGAGAAGGTTTCTGTGTGGAGTTCCCATGTTCCCCCCATATCTGGGTGAGTTTCGTCAGAGCACTCCAGTTTTCCCCATCAACCCAAAACAGGCACAATACGTAAAAATCCTCTATGGCAGCCCTGATAAATCCTAACTCCAGAGCTAGAGATGACTCAGTCCAGGCACAGCACTGCAGCACCCACTGCTCCTGACTTTTTATCCCAGCGACTAAGGGGGACAATAAAGTGTAACCATACACAAGTACAGGATCGTAAGAAACATTAAAACTGATAAAAAGCACTAATGGGCCTTTCTGAAAAAAATGTCTTTAGACCTTTTTAAAGACTTCCACACTTTGTGGGACTCCGGGAGAACATCCCACAGAGTGAAAGGCCCAATTTCCCACAGTGGAGAGTTTATTCCTGGGCTGATGGAGGCGAAAACAAAACTGCCCAACAGACTGGTAAAGGTGCTCTTATAAGCCTAATGAGCAGCATATAATCTATTATCAGGCAGACCACTGAACTGCAAAACAAAAAACCTTCAAAGATGATTTGCAAATGCATTCATTGAAAGAGTTGATGAAGCTTACTTTGGTCACAGCGGTCGCCATAATAACCCTGGACACACTTGCAGCTCCTTTGGTCTTTGGAGACAGTACAAGTATCGCTGTTAGTACAGTGCCGCACACTGCAGAGACCTATTTGAAACGAGCACAGGGCAGACTACATTAAAACTTGAATCTTTCACATTAGAGCAGATATGTCTTCAGGATACTCACCATTAACAGAGTTTCTGAACTCGGGTCCAATGAGAAGCACAAGGACCACGCCCAGCTGATTGAAAATAGAGTTTCTTTCATATAAACTACAACCATATACTGTCTTTTACGGTCCTGTTTCCCTTTGCCTTGTCTGTGGGCTACTTACCTTCACAGCTGTGTAAATCATTTTTTCCTTTTTTTTAATTATTTTTTTTATGTCTTTCAGTTATATCGGACAATGGGCACTCTCCTCTGACGCCATTATCCGTCACGTGTTGCTCCAATTAAGCACACCTGCTCAGCTGTCGCCACTACACATGGCTCTTATTTGAACCCAAGTGATTTTACCTGGATTACAGCGCTACTGTTATGTATCCAAGGCAGTATACGCCAAAAATGTGTATAAAATAAAATAAATAAAAGATAGCCTAGGTTAGGCTCTAGGCTTCACTGTTTTACTGATCCTCACCTAATGATGAATGTGAAAAATAAGGTAGATTGTACTGAAGAAAGACCAGCCAAACTGTACAAACTGAAGCCTGTCCTTATGCAGCTATAAATGGTTGCTGGGAGGAAACGTCTAATGGGAATGAAAGAACTGGGACAATGCGCTTCTTCAGCTGCCAACTGGTCATGACCACAGGCTGCACACAGGGCCCTTCTGTTTCAGAAAGCCATCTGTTTATAAAGGATACATCACAATAGGTTGTTCATCAGTGAAATCAGGGCTTACATCCCGCTGCTCGAGCCCAACCATGAATGAACTGTTTATTCTAAGAGGTCGGTGCAAAACTTTCTGTCTCAAACAGTGCAAAAAGACACATGTCCAAAACTTACATTGGCCTAATCTCAACATTGTCAGAACTGTTTTAGGTTGGTTGTGTATGATTGAAGGAGAAATAGTGTCATCTTCTTGATCTCGCTGACAGAAGTGGAGTGCGACCCTGGTGTTGTGAAATAGCCGGGTTATAGGCGGTGTCTGTCAGCGGCCTGATTCACAACACCAGCTGCAGCACACACACCAGGTTCACTTGATGCATGCGGTCTTCAGCTGTCACGTGTCAAGGCAATGTACAGTATGTCTCTAACACAGGGTGCGAACACAAACCCTTACACTGTCCATGGCCTTAAGCAAACTCCACATGTCAGTACAGTATATGGAGCAGCCAACACAGAATGTGCTCCCATCTGTCTCCTCTCAGGCCAGGCTGAAGGACAAACAGTGGACTACAAATTTACAGCAAGGCCTCGTGGAACACAGGCATGTCCTTAAATGCTTTCTTCAGACACAGAAAACGTTAAATTATGAAATAAAAAAGCAGGTTGTAATACAGGCGGCAGGATGTTATCTAATACAAAACACACAAACTCTTTGATGCAAACCCATCAATCCAAAAAAGTTTATCTATTTTTGTTGAAAGTCAATACTTCCAGAAAGGCCTAAGCCCCCCTCAAAGTGGACTGTCATTCTGAAAAATCTTCAGGTTTCTTTATTTGGAATGTTTTTTTCAGTTCTAACAATAGAACACGACTAAAGTGATTGTGTTGACCCACATTTTCAGCAAGGCACCTCTGTAGTCTACTATTAAAATATATCAATGACATCTGTTGTCTATAATAAGACTAAGCCAATACAACATATAATAAATGGCACATAAATAGGCATGTACCATGTTTGTTTGCAACAAAAACAAATAAACAAAACATGAAAACTGACAACAGAACAGAATAATGTTTTTTTATTCCAAATGATGCAAACATAAACAACGAAATAGGACAATAAGAAAAGGTGGGGTTGACAGGAGGAATGGATTGAAAGCAGCCATTTAACACAAAAATCAAAAAGCAATGTGTCTTTTTTTTTTTTTTTTTTTTACATGAATTATGTGTATTGTCTCAGTTCATTAGTAACTCCATCTGCACCAGCCTTGCATTGGTGTCCCCCGCCATGTTGTAAGGAATCATCCCAGCAAAGGTGATCAGCGCCCTGGCCTGGCTGCGCAGTTGCTGTTAAAGAAGTCAAGTTTGCTAAGTACATGCAAATAATATGTTTTATTCTCAATTATATACTTATATAATTAAAACATTTCCTACCACGTCTCTGTCATCTATGGTCCTTTGAGATCGTCCAGGGGTCCCTGCTGGTGCACCCTTCAGACGCTTGTATTGCGTAAACAAAATATTCATAGTGGCCAGTAGCACTTCTGACAAGTTATGGCGCACCTAATGTAAAAAAAAAAAAAAACTCAACATGTTAATAATGTAGTAGTCGTAGTAGTAGTTGTTTATTTGGTCATTTTGCAGCACTACAAAAACAAAACAAAACAGAGACTACAACCCCATGGATCATGACTCAAAGGGTTTAGACTGAAGTAATGTGATTCTTTGTCAAATCAAACTTTATTTTATATAGTGCCCATATAAAAAATATAATATAAAGTGTTTTACATTCATTAAAACAATCTCAGATGCCTTTCCACCTAAACACCCTATCCCCACAACACTGAACAACTCGAACAAACACACATGCACAAACACTCACAATGAAATAAATGAGATGAGATAAATGAGGGTGAATGATACTAGTGTCTCAGTATCAAAAAGTTATAATTTACCTCATCACTGAAGTTCCTGAAGGCAGCTACTCTCTCCTCCACACTGTCCTGACTGAGAGGTAAAAGCTTCAAACGCTCCATCACCTACAAATTACACATTGTATTTATTTTTGTATTTATCTCTATGGTAATTCATAACAATTAATAATGCTTTTAGCAAACATACATCATAAGCTCTGTCAATGTGTCCTGCATGGTACTCGTCAAAGAATGTCATTAGGTCCAAAAGCAGATAGAAAGTACTATCCACAGACTTCTCTCCTGATATACCTTGAGAACGGTACCTGAGAAAAAAAGCAGCCCGCATTATAAATCTCTTCAGAGGTTTTCCATTTGTTTTCACATGTTTTGCTGCTTTGTTTAGTAACCTTTCAGCTATGGCCACCGCTGCGTTTTTGAGTCTCTCCTTGTTGGACTGGGGAGCGCTGACCTGTGCAATCACTGGACTCAACAGCCTGTTCATGAGCTCCAAAACCTTATCTGAATTCTACACAAAGAGAAAATGCACCATCTTCAATAACGAAACACCACAAGCAGTACTTTATCAGAATATAACTTACTCTGGCCAGCTCATAGAGTTTGACTGCCTCCTCAAACAGACCCTTGTTCTCAGCCTCAAGGGCCACTTTACTGATGATGGCTCTTGTATCTCCAGCAAACTTATCTATGACTCCAGGCTAGAAAGGAAAATGAGAGAAAACACAAGAGTCTCAGTTAAAGGTGCATTGTGTATCTTTTCTGGTGGAGAGTCCGTCAAATGCTTTTCTCTGTGGAAATGTTATTCCAGATGTTATTGTCTGGAATGTTTCACAATATGGTATTAAACCTTTCTCTCTCCTTAGGGACCAAACCAGGATAAGTTACATGTCAGATCTGTGGAGAGGCAACCCCGCTCACAATCAGAATGCCTATTTTTCTCTGTATTTTTGAGCTATAAAACCACCACCATAATTTAATAAATGTAAGTTAGAGGTGTTTGATGTCATATTGTGGAACATCCCAGGCAGAGCAATGACATACTAGAAAAGTGGCACATTGCACCTTTAAACAAAGTATTTCACATTGCATGATTCAAGAAATAAGGACAATAAAGTAGTGGTTATACTGGTCTATAACTTCTATAACAAAGTAAAGACCTACCTTCCTGCTTCCATCTTTTTCTAACCTCCCCAGCAGCATGTCAAACTGGAACAGACAAAGTCACGTAATCCAATACCGTTTTAAATGCAAATGTAAACTATAATAGCAATAAATCAAAGAGTAATGGCTTAAGTTTTATCAGGTGCCCTTGTATAATAGTATCACTCACCTCACGGCTCTCAATAACAAGTTCGCTAACACAACGCATAAACATGTTTTCTCCTTGGCTGTCCTTCTCATTGCTGGTCAAACACATAATAGAAAGCAATCAGAATAGACAGGCCTTACTGTAAACATTGCACGGTAGTTTTCTTCACAACTTAATCCAAGTCACAAAAGAGGATCACTATCTTACCGTAAGAAATAAAAGTACTGGAGCGCTTCCCGTGGATCAGTAGACTCAAACTTGCGAGTGTAAAGCATAAGCAGGCGAATGAAGTTAAGTCGACGTACCATAGGGGGATCGCCGGGTTCTTGACTTACTGTAGACAAGGACAGCAAATAGGAGTTTTTAAATGTCCTATATTACACAAAATTGACTTATTAGTCATGTTAGAATGCTGTTACATCATCGAAAACATATCTGGAGTTGTGTTTTGTTTCATTCAAACATGTTTCAGTAACCTATTATTAGTAGTCTGGCTCCAAATGCCCCGTTCAACATCATGAGCAGTAGTTTTCAAGTTAACAGCTACCTTTTATCTTTTGTTTAGTAGCAGATGGCAGTTCCAGGGCTGAACTTATCTAAATAATTCCACCAAAACAGTATGGAGTTTAAAAACACCGAGGAGCAATTCCATACTACAACATGGCATCACAAGGTGGAGTGTTTTCTGTATGAGAGAAGGACTCCGCCTGAATTAAAGTATTTATCTCACTCAGCCACTTTAACTGGCACTTTATACACAGACAGCTATTATGGTCACTTTAAACTTCAACTGCAATAACTTTTCTAACTGGATCCGTCTCAGAGATGTGTGAATGGATGTGTTGTGGCGGGGGGAGGCAGGGGGCTGTGAGTGTGTTTTAATTATGTTCTTTTTTATTGATACCTAGAGAAACACAATTTCATCTTGTCTGTGCTACAGTTGTATGTACAGCAACATGACAATAAAGATTGATTTGATTAATATGCATTAATAAACATTTGTGAAAAAAAAAAAAAAAGCACAACTCCGGATATGGCTATGATGAGGTTAAAACACTGTAACATAAATCAGAAAATAATGTCATATGGGCCTTTTAACTGTGAATGAGGATTGTACACTTACAGAGCTGAGCACTTTGCCCTGACGCCTTTAAAAGCAGTCGTAGCTCATAAAGAACCAGAGCAATGTGGACGGCGTGGCTGCGGAGCCTCTCAACACGAAATAAGAACGCCACAGCTGCCTCAAATTGAGCCGTCAGGAACAACACTTGGAAGTACAGGAAGGGCTGCTGGCTCGCAGAGAAATGAGACTCTCCTGTGGGACCAAGGACAGAAAAGTGAATTATAAATATACAACAATAAAAAGGTCTGGATTTAAAGGTCCTTGTGAACTTTAAATCATGTCATAATGTTGTTACCTCCTCAAACTCATACTTGGGGTTGTGTTTTGTCTTATTCACACATGTTGGAGTAACTTTATTATTAGTCTGTCTAGATCTCCAAAGCTCAAAATGCTCAGTTCCACCTTGTAATGTCATGAAGCTGTAGTTTAATGTAACAGCCACCTTTCTGGTAGATTCGCAATTTCAGAGCTACAATTATCCAGATGATTCTAGTGAAGGTGGAGCAGAGTGTTTTCCGTGTGAGAGAAGAACTCAAGACTAAATATGCAGGGTTTGCGTGTTAAACATGTGTGAATGAAACAAAACACCACTCCAGGTCCATTTGCGATGAGGAAACAACATTATAATAGTAACAGACAATAGAGTGATACAAGCCCTTTAAAGCTGCATTGTGTAACTTTTCTGATGGGTCTACCACCTGCTTGTCTCCAGAGAGACCCGTTAACAAAATAGGAAAGGTAAAAACATTAACAAAATGAAATTATCCACAGAAATGTGCCTATGCCTGAGATTCATTCAGTTACAGGTGTCTATTGCTCAAAAATAACAAATTTTTACTGTGAACGTATCTGACTTGTAGGCCTGATGATGTTACCGGCTTGTGTCCATAGAGGGAGATAATTTACATAGTGAATAAAAATTTAACTTGTGTTTGTTCATTGGTAACACAGATGTCTAAACAGCTGCAAAAACTTTTCTGTTTCTATAGCAACCACCAGTGTGTACAAGGAAACATTTTGTGTGGTGCAGGTACTTAGTCATCAACTTTACTTTTTTAATTATAATTCTTAATCCTCTTGCTGGCTAAAAAGTGTGCGGAATAGAACAGGGTGGACCATGTCAGCCATTTTAGAGGCTTATCTCAGACTCACAGCACTTTAGTTCAAAAAGCGGGAGCGTACCAGAGAAGAGAGGGAGAGAGTGATGAGGAGAGAAGGATGGAGGGAAGATAGATAAGAGTGTGGGAGTATGCAGGCAGCAGCGGCAGTGTGCAAACAAGAAATCAGGAAGGACAAATCTACAGAACAGTATGTTAAAATGGGCAGAAACCACAGAGTGAGGAGAGGGGGTTTAAAACGATCAGGAACAGAGGAAGAGAGATGTAGAGGACCACTGACAAGGACACAGGGACTAGACCAGTTGGCAAAGACTGACGCTATGTGGGACAAAGAGAGAGAGAAGAGCTTCGGGCATTGTATCCCGCTGTGAGGCAAGATGGAGGACAACAACAAGAAGTGCACCAGGCAACGGGAGGGGGAGCGGGGCAGCAGAGAGAGCGGGGCTGTGCTTCAAACAGAGCAGAGTGAGAGGCGGAACGGACACAAGAGTGAAGCCTTATCTGAACAGCGCAGGAACGGGCCAATAGAGCAGCCAGCACCCAGGGGAAAGGACTGTGCGGTCTAAATCTGGGCTACACAAGGCCCTCACGCTCCCCATTTTTACACACCAAGGTCACGTGAACTGTTTACTGTTCAACTTTGAATTTTTATGAAATGTGAGCATTTATCTGAAAAAAAAAAAACATGTTACTTTTCTGCTTCTCTCCATGGAGATGTTATTTCTTTACTTTGAATGTTTCACAGTATGGCATGTAGAAAGGCATGTATTTTCCAAGGCATTTTTGTTCTCTAGTCAAAACACCATACGTTTAATGCCATACAGTGGAACACATCAGGTAAAAGCAATTACATGGACAGGAACAGAAACCAGAAAGTTACATGGTTCACCTTTGTCTATGGAAAAATATATTATATTATATATATACATTTTTAATTTTAATTTTCTTACCATAGTCTTCAAGAAGCTGTTTTTGCAGCTGTGGGAGAGTGAGCCGGTCCTGGGGAGAGCTGCTATCATCATCAAAACACACCTGGTTCAACTGTTAGAAGACCATAGTTTATTAAAAATACAACTTATGTTTGAAACTAAATAATGATAATTTGAGGCACACCTTAAGCCACAGATAGTCTTCGGTTTTGTCTGCCACCTCCCCATGGTTATCACTGATATCACATTTACCAATCAAGCAGTAGACAGCTCTCTTGTATGGGTCAGCACAGTTCCTCAGCACTCTGCGGTAGTGAAGCCGAAGTTTGTTTTCAGATGTTGGAGAGAGCCTTAAGAACAAACAACAAAAGGGCATTTAAGGGACAATGAAAACAAAAAATGGACACAGGTAGTAAATAATAGTAGATGGAATAATGATAACTGAGAAGGGTAGTTGATGTTTCAGTTATCTTTGTATCTAGTTTACTTTTGTTAAGTAAAAGCAAAAGAAAAATTAAATAAGAGTGGCTTCTGCAGTTTTCTTATTTAATATTCAGCTTTTAGCGGAGGAAAGAGGAGCAGCTCATACCGCTTGTCAGGACTGTGCATGTACTCCTGAAACCAGGTCTTGAAATCTCCGAGCTGATGCTGCACTCTGTTCACCACCTGCATGGCTGCGTTCAGGTCTCCACAGCGTAAGCAGTAGTAAATGACAGCCCACACTGGATGGCCCTCAATCTCACCGTCCTGTAAAGCACCATAAGGTTAATCCAGTTTGTAGCCAAGTGATTCAGCAGTTATTTTGTGATTTACCTGCATGCCAGGCAGTGGTCCTGGTAGTTTGATGTTGAGAAAACTGCGGACAAGCTGGTATGTTCCTGGCACTCCTCCCAGCTGAGCTTGATGAAGGTTTCCATACACAGTCACCATAGTGTAATTTTTGTAGCTACAGACAAAAAGGAACATTCAGATGTACAAACACTGAATGCTCCAGGTAAATATGACTACACAAAAATGCAAATAACCTGTTTTCCAAAAAAGTGAGTGCCTTTCTGACAAAAGCCAATTGCATTTCCACAGAAGTGCGACTTTTAAGAGTGTCTTTGGCAGGAACGAGCAACACATCAGTCATCTGTTTCACCATGGACCAGAGATCGGACACATTCTAAAAAAACATGTTAAGACAATAGCTGTGAAATAATGTATTATCTTAATATGGCTGTAGTTGTAAATTACTGTAAAATGTAATGACTGCTAAAAAAGTATCTGGCTAAAGCACAAAAATATACAGCTTACCTTGTCATCAAGACTTTCTGCGACGGCAGCACACAGGTCCCCGAGGTTTGGCTGTATGTGGCCATTCACTATCTTCTCATTGAAAATGTAGATCTGTAAAAAGATATAAACTTAATTTCACTTCGGTTTTGTTAACAAAGTTAACTTTTCAGCAACCGTAATGCAAAATCCTAACCTCAGCACACAAAATAAAACTTCTATGCCCACCGGGTGAAATGGTTCACAACCAAAAATATTATAAAAAGTATCAAAATGTTCCACAGATCATCAAATAAGATCACAAAAACTAAACAAATGACACCACAGGCGATGTGGCGGCACATGGTCAGAAGCTTTGACTCATGAGCAGCTCAGAAATGAACAAGAAGGTCAGACAGGACAGGGTGGAGAGGGGAGGGCGGAGACAATGCCACAGAGAGAAAATACCCCATGTGCCCCTGTTCGCTCTAGCCAATCAATACCTTTGATTTGTAACTTCCTGCTTCACTGTGTGACCCCATTAAAGCTCCATAATGAGAACAAAACAGTGACAAGAAGCACAAGCCAAATCATGACTACCTAACAGGTTTGGTAAAAATGTAAGTATTTAGATAATTTTTGTTTATTATATACCTGCCGTCCATAAGCCACTTCTGTACTATCCAGGGCACTTCTTCCAGGTGCTGAAACTTCGCTCACAAAGCTGGGCTGTCAGAGATGATAAAATAATGAAGACCACATAAATTATTTGCATAACCAAAAAGAGCATGTGACTAAAGTATTTTGACAAGTGATTTCTGGGACCATCACAAAATCGGGCACAGCTGAATATCAAGATTTGGAGAAGTTTCAAAAATAACCTCCCCACATCTAAGGTTAAACATTGGTAGCTCATTCAGATAAGACAAAATTAGCCCATGAAAATATGATTTGTGTGAATGTAAGCTATTAATATCCACCAACAACAGTACATTTGTAAACTTGACAGCTTTGTTGAACGATAATGAGAAACACAAAAACAATGTAGTCATAATATTATTCATTCATTATCAAGCTAATGAAACTACTGCTTTTCATTTTATAGAGGGTATACCATTTATAATGTTATTCCCTCATCAAAAACATGCCTGAAGAAGTTTTAGATGTCATCCATGCATGTTTGAATATTTTAGCAATCTTTCCAGGCCCTATTCAAACTCCCCTTATGGTTAGAGGTAAGGTTCTACCCCCTGCTCAGCCCACAAGCCTATGTCACTCACGCTCCTACATGACAATTCTCCATAAGTATAGAAAAGCATGATACAAAACAATACACTACAACTTGACAAACCTGATGCCTTGTGCAGTAGTTTCATTAGCAGAAGGTAAGCAGATTTTAATGTGATTGCACTGTGAAGGTGGAGTGACTTTTGACTAGGAGTGTCAAAAACAAAAGTACAATTTATAATGAATATTCTGATAAATAAAATAAAATAATATAACAGTAACACGGTGATCTAAATATGTTATATGTTAGCAGTTAATACCCCATAGAGTGCAATACCTCCGTTTGTAGCACTGTTATTTTTGACAAAAGACACAGATGGACAGATATCAGATGTCATTTTTATAGATTCAATTTTTATATGTATATATTTATTCTAAAAAAAAAAGTACCTCCACATCTTGACTGAAGTCCAGAGCGTCTTCCCCTTCTCCAAGCAGTGTGTGTAGAACTCTCTGCTTCACTTGTTCCCACTGCACAAGCATGGACTCCCGGTGGTACTCCTCCGCCAGCAGGAACGTCTGATAGTGATAGAGTTCACAAAGACACCTCAGGTTACGATCTTCATTTACACGGACACATGCCAGCTGTGAAGAATATACTGAAGAATATACTGAAGAATAGAGATCGATCAATGTGGGTTTTTTCTTGGACGATACTGATTGTTTAGAATGCAGAGAAACCAATGGCCGGAAAGGTCTGCCAATATTTTTAGTTCAATATGCAGGGGCAATTTTCATAAGAGCTGTTATGTAGTACAGTCTTTGGTCTTAAGTGTTCAAATTTAGCTTTATATTATACATATATTATTTATGCATATTTCGGCTGCTGGTTGGGCTAAACAAAATACTGGTCACTAATGGAGATTGAAGGCCCATAGCCAATATACCAAAAAGTGTATCAGTCTGTCTCAACTGAAGAATGTATATAATATTTGAAAAATCATAGGTAGCCTGGTATACTTTCAGCTCAAATGCAAGAGGCTCTTCCCCATTCAAAACCAAATGATACATTCTTCTTCATTTGTACCAAAATGACTGTGCAATGCTGCCAAATCCTACGTGTATCACAGGTTAAAAAATAAAATTGGAGAACAAAGTAAGTACAGAGCAGTGGGCATATGGAGGTGGAGGTGAATATGCCTTCTTGAAGTTAAAGCCGATTTTAAAGATTACTCAAACATGCACGAATCATTTCAAATATAACTTTGGGCCGATTTTGCATAAAAGGTCCGCTTTGAAAACAGCTGCACAGTACATTTCCTTATTTTTATTAGCATCTTAGTTTTGACATAAATTGACCATGTGTTTCTGGCTAATCTGCCTGTTCATGTCCATAGGAAAAGACCCGATCTCCAGTTATATGTCTTAAAAATATGTAAAATGTAGGAAAAGCGTGTAGTCTTGACTGGCCTATCACACAGGGATAGAATGCTCCCTCCTTAACAAATTTGTATAGACCCACAAGGGCACCTGTGAGTCTAATTTAACCCTCCACAGAGACTGAAAGTAAGATAATGGGATCATGAGATAATTAACATCCAGCTCAGGGAGTACAAATCTAGATTGAAAGTACTTTTACTGGGTTAATTTTGTCTCTGCACCTTCACTGTGCATAGTTGTTATATATGTGTTGGGGGAGGGGGGGTAATGATAAATGTTTGTTACTTTTGAAATAAAACATAAGGGCATAGTTCTGTATATGTAATACAAAGGCTAACGTAATTAGCAACAAATAATTACATAATATAATAATTGTAAACAAATTTAATATCATCTAATGTCACAATCGGAGGTGATTCCTTCTTCCTCTGGGAGCAGCGAGAGTTAATACGAACAGCAGCTAATTAACCATGAGTCCTATTAGATCAGCACATTAGGGAAGCCATTTTAAAAGCATTCCCTAAAGGCAAAACCAGACAATCTCTTATGCACCAACTTTCTGCTAGAACTTGTGTTTTAATGTTGTGGTTTGGGGACTGGATTGAGTTTAACAAATTATTATTTTCCCAATTACTAAGAGACATAAGTTTTATACTTCACAATACACGTTACATTACAATAAATGCAGACTATGGGTCAAGGCCAGTACTGACCCGGCGCCGGGATTCTTCGATGGCTGACAGGAGAGCATTATCCCTTTCATTCTTTAAGAAGCCCTGTGAAGAAAAATAGAAATGGAAATCAATATACATTCAGAATACTGGCCCAAGTCAAAATATGAACACAATGAAAATATGAGCTATTGTTTCTGAAATTGAATAATTTGGACGATTGTATGAGCAATGAGTCATGGACGACCAATTGAAATTCCAAAATGTTCTTCTTTGAAAAAGACAGACATCCACAAACCCAATATGAGCAACACACCACAGAGAGTAAAGTATTTTACTGTATGAATGAGATTTACTACTATAATGGTCTGTCTATTCTTAGAAGGGTGAGAACAGATTTACATGTATCCAGTCAGAGATCAGGACAGCACAGAAGAGAATATATGGAGTGTTTTAAGCTATGGAACAAGACCTCGGGCCACAAGATCGACATGTTCAAAATACCACAATGTAATTTTTATTTAAATAGCCATATTTGGTCTGAGTATGGTATAGTACATTGCATTAGACTGGATTAGATTTAAACAGTGCAAAATAAATAAAACAGTAATATCATGCTGTAACCACCGCTTTCACTGAAAATTATTTATAAATATATAATTTATACATTTATTTAAAAAAAATAAACATTTGACAATATTATAGATTATATCAAAATTACATCTTGTCTTGTTCGTCTAGTCTAATGTTTCATCTCCTATTTAAACAAACTATTAAATAGGGCTCAACATTTTTTGAAAAATAAATCTAACTGTGATGTTTCTGATGGGCATTACTTATTTATTACTTATTAAAAGTAGAACTCTGATCACAGTGTTCATTTTAAAAGCCAAATGTGCTTTTTAAGAACTACAGCAAAAGTCAACTTCATTTCAAATCAAAATATGTCATGTAGCTTATAACATGCAATTTAAGGACTGAATTAAAAGGTTTCTTCAAAATATTGAAAACTGTGACCAGTGGTTCCCAACCCTTTTCCTTGAAGCCCCTCCCCACTTGTACCAGAGACTTGCTGGGCCCTGAAGTCCACAATTGTGGCTCCCAGAACTGCATCATGATAAAAAATATTCCTAACAAGCATTATTTTAGACAAATACCAATTGGAATACATTTTACTTTGTAATTTGTTTAAATTACAAAGTAAAAATGACTGGTCAGAACTCTGAGGACATCCTGACATGTGTCGCGTCATGCCAGGATGGAAACCACTGGTCTAAATGACATTTTAATGTCAAATACAATAGATAGTGTTTTGGGTAGATAATAAAGCATTGATAACCAAAAACAATTAACTGCCAATTTAATATCATTTTCAAGTTGCAATCTACACCACCGACAAAAGCTGAAAATATAAAAACACACAGGCAGGGAAACCAGGAATCATGTTAAAATGCTCATACAACTATTTCCTCCACTATGCTAGTGCCCACCAGTCATGCTCAGACAAATGCAGCACATTAATCACATACAAGAATCATATTAGACCAAATGCGGACAATAGAGCAGCCGAATGAACAAAAGACAAAATATGACGAGGAATAATACTAAAAACATTGGCAAAAAAAGGTTACGGAAAGCTGGTTTGCTTCACAGAAAAAAGGCTTTCTGTCCTTACTTGCCTTGACACAATGAACTGACTACCTTCCAACTACTGTGTGAGAGACAGCAACCCCACCCTTTACAACGTCACTAACTATACACAAAATATAATTTAAGGTTTGTCACACACATTAACAAAGCTTAACATTTAAAAAAAAATACTCCTTTTCCTCATTTGTTTATTCAGTCCATTCATAGCATTTATTAAAAGAATATAATAAAGGAGTCACAAAAAATATAAAAGCACATCTTGCAAATGGTACATGTGCACGAGAAAGTAAGTAATACTCACATTGGATCTGCCAGCCTCCAGGCTGGAAGTCAAAAAGTCAGGATGTGGTGTGGTTAAAAATATAGCAGTTTTTCATTTTATTGTCTATAGTGAAGCATTTAGGAGACATGAATGCCCCTGGTGCCCGTCTATAACTGTGCATGGCACAGCAAAGGGCTCCCCATGGCGATGGATCTCCCATGTTAGGTTGAAGTGCTTCCTAATCCACGTTCGGCTCTTCCCTTCTGAAAAGTGCACTAGTGACTCTTGTTCACAAGCTGGAGAACTGAGCAAAAGTGCCACATCAAGAGTCTTCGGAGGTGGTTTTATTGTCAGAGGATTGTACCAACTTAGCAGCCAGACACAGGGGGGATTGGTGAGAAAGAACCATGCTTCATATGGATGATCACTTCCTACAATCAGGTGAGACCCCTCTTCCCCAGACTTCATGCTGCATCCTGCACCTCTCCCTCCTTCACTTAATCGCAGCATCTCTGACAGCCCACTGCCTGCCTCCAACCCCCCCCTCCCTCATTCCCACTCACTTTCCTCCCTTTTTATCCATCCATGCATCCTTTTCTCTCCTCCCTCCCTCAGCTCAATGCAATTATAGTAATGGATTTTTCAACCCTCAGTTGATGGCTTCCGACATCCTGTCTTGAAATGAGGCTAATCATGCTCTTAAGGGTCATGTTTAGTTAATGAGGGGTTTTAGAGGCACATAAGGGAGGGCCCTCCTATATGCTCACTGTCTGCCACGTTTACCCACGCAGGGTTATATACATGCCATTACATTGGCTATATTTTAATACACACAGCACACACCCATTCACAAAGTGCCATAGGCTCACCTACGCAGCTACTACAGCATGTAATCCATCACAGCAGACATGCATGGAAAAGCAAGCCACGTGCGGCTAGCTCTACGCTACACATTCATTCATAAGAAAGAACACTGAGGAAAAAAAAACAAACTGTCAGCAGTTACAATCCACATACTGTAGACATGGTCAGGATGGTATGTCCACCAAACCCATAAAAGCATTTGTCTATCTAAGCATGCTGAGATGCTCTGGGGTTTGCCAATTGCATCTGCTGAAAGCATACCCTCAACAATAAAGGGTGCAGGGGAAAGCAGACATTTTAAGGGAATATAAACAGAATGCATATGATAGTGAGCTAACAAAAAGCGAACAGCTCAATCGAGAGAGGAGCCAGATGGGAGAGTGAAAAGTGAGACAAGGACAGATCAAACCTAAGCCCGTCGCCATTTTTGCCAGCTCTGTTTTCTCTTTCTTCACAAACATATTGTCATGTGATCTCTGCCTACCTAGTGCCTACATTGCCATTTATCTCCCACCATCAGTGACTATATTCTTAAAGGGTTGCTAAACACCTCCTTACTTGGGTTATGTAAATTAGTGAAATACGTAAAGACCAAACCACGACTGCAAAATCCCCCTATAACTCAAACAAATGCTGACAGGCCTTAAACAACGTATTATTTTGCTAATTGCTTTACTCGCAATTATTCTTCCAATGAATTGCTTATTTGTTTGATTGCAAAAGGTCAGCGAATATGAGGTATTTAGTAGCTCAAATAATTCCACTCAAGGACTTAATATATATTAAATATATGGAATAAATATATAGATTAACTGTACATGTTTTCTGTGTAATATTGGTGTAAAAGTACTTTGGTTAACCTCTGAGTAGCACATGACATAATTTGGATTGTCATCTACTACAGTAGATGACATTCCTAATAATCGATCAGTTGTGATTAATCAATTATCTTTGCTTTAAAACAAAGTAATGAAATCTCTACAATCAAACAGACAACACATTTGACAGTCTAATAAAAAATAAAAATAAAAGATTATTTTACCATTTTAATATTATATTAATATTAAAATTACAAGCCCCACTGAATGTTCGTAGACATCATCAGATGGATGTTAGTGGCTTCATGATGGAAATGGCTGCATGTAATATTATGTTCCTGATAATCAGTTTTACTTAATGAAATTTAAGCCAAATTAATTCTTTCCTACATTAGCGGTATTTGTAAAAAATAATTCCATTAAATATAAGCAAGGTCTTCAGTTAAATGTTTCCACAAAATTTCATTTTTTAGATAAGCACTTCCCATGAACAAAAATCAGTTTTAATGACCAAGACCAGGAAGTAGAAACCTGATCCTGGTTGATTAATGGGCAAAATGCAAAAGCCTATCCCGTAGATGAAAAGAGAGTATAGGTGTGGTGTTAGGGTTTTACCGGCTGACTTTAAAAGAGGTCCAAAGTTTGTCTTAGAACTACTTGGTAGTTGGTGGGACAATGTCTCAGTAAGTGCGTGAAAAAAATGTTTTTAATAGTTTGGTCAGCTGGAGTGAGGTGGGTGGGTTGGTAATTTCAGACATTCAGGAGAAGTGATGTTTTTGACACTCCCCAAGCTGTTTCCATCCAGGACATAGATGTTACACTGCTTTTTGGATCATAGTCACAAATTACACCGCCCTTCTCTGAACTTTTTATTCACACATTTATTGATCAGGCTAATCATGTGCCTTGCCTGAGAACATATAGACAGTATGCACTGGTTTGAGCTGCTGTCTAGTAAAATACTGAATAAATGCACACTTGTATTCCTCTAAATATATTCTGGTACTTGTTTCTAAAGCACATGGATGACTGGTCCTTTATGAACCATTTGTCCTAATAAGAATAGTTTTCTCATACCTGAATGTCTGTATCTTTTACTGGTTCCAGGGGTTCAAAGGTTGTAGCAGCACTCAGGGTTTCAAGCCTTTGTGAAATGTGGAATATATCCAAACCTCTGGAACCCAGGAGAATTGATCTGAAATTGAATAAAAAAAACTAAATATATGGATAATATCTCAGAAGTATACTTTTTCTTTTTATTCCACTAGAGGGCAATACAGTCAAAATTCTAAATTAGGCAGGAGGGTTGGTTAAGGACAATTTGGAATATTTCTCCTTATGAAAAAAATCTATGAAATTACAATACTACATACATTCAGTGCACTGCTCAATAAAGTATACTAAACAAAATTATATCCATTGCAAAACATTCTAGACATCACATTTTGTAAGTCCCCCTCATCTGCAGCAAATAAACCTCTGAGGTACTTCCTTTAAGCTGATGGTAAAAAAAATCTGCACTTTTTACACCATTACAATACAATAAAGTAGTAATAATCAATACGATAAAAGAGATAGGAATAAAGTTATCAACAAGGAAAAATATGCCTGTACTGGCTTTTATTCATATGCTAATAATATAAAACAATGTCATGATACATTTAATATAATAAGCAAATGTGACTGTATTCTTACGCTTTGACATCAGCAGCATCCTGAGACGTGCGTGTCAGGGTGCGGGAGCGCAGCCTCTCTCCAGCCTGTTGGATCTCCTGCAAGTTTCTCTCAACGTGAGGCAGCTCTGACACGGCTTCAGTCTCCGCAGCAAGCTGCTCTGCCTGCTGCAACAGCTCTCCAAAGCCCTCAGCATCCATTCCTTTAAACAAACAAGTATGTTTACAACACAGTCTAAGTCCAGCATTGGGCATTTTAGCACTAATAAGGGCATAATTTACACATAAAGGCACAGAGAGAGGTGGGTAGTACACACTTATTTAATTGTAATCTGAGTTGTTTCCAGACACCATGCCCAAGTATTTAACAAAGTCTTACTTGACCTGAGTAAAAGTTTTGATTAGACTTGAGAGCATGTCAAGAAGTGAATAAATCATATTGAAAAAAAATATATATATATATTTGTCTTACTTTGGTATAATTTAAGCTACTCTCCCCACCTCTCTACAATAAAAAACGTAGATCTATCAGTCTATTTCATCACTAGGAAGTCTTATGATCAATGTCTATCAAATTGTTAAAGTGTTATTATACCCTGTAGGTGTAGTGTTTCTGACAGCTTCATTGCGCGCCCTAATGTCCATCACATTAGACAGACTTTAGCAGAATAACAAATGTTCCACCCTAGGTTACACACTAAGTTATACATGTCCTGTATTATAATACGCAGGTATGATTAGTATAAACCACCTTATCTTTAAATCCAGTTAAGTTTAATGTTGTACACACAAAATCACAGGCACCACGCACATGCTAGCAGGCTAAGTTTCGCATGCTTACCGTTCAGTCTTTAAAACCGGAATAAAGGGAGATGTAATATGAACCCGATGTGAATTGTATCCTGTATTGTTTCTAAAAGTTTGAATGCTTCTTTTAATTGATTTTAAAAGAGTACACGAAGCATTTTATCTACAATGTGTTGTTTGCCCCGGTACTTTTGTGCTGAATTATGATTGGACAAAACATCCCACGTGATTGATTCTTTTCTTCTTCAATTACTTTGTGTGAGAAGGCTCAACAGCGCCACCGTGCGAAAGGGAGGACACCCAAAACTAGAAACTGGTGAAAAGAATGACAGTGACATGGATTTGTCCAGCCCTGATTTAATTAAAAATCCTGAGGTGTTTATTTGGGGCAGGCTGCTGGTTAGGGTGCTGGTACTAGCAGAGGAAAGTCGTCATCATGCGCCTCTGACTAAAATGTCTGTCAACACCTCTAGACGACAGACTCTCCTGTAGTGAACTGTCCATGTGCATTAGTCTAGTCCAGAAGGCTTTCGCATAGTCATATACATAGACTGTACATATGTCATGTATACAGTTTATGGTCATATAGTATGTACTGTATGCATATGCATAATATGCAAGTACCATTAAAAAAGTCCATGATGCAACATAACCTGACTTACCACCTTCATATTTTGGTCCTTTTTTAATTACGCATACTATTTTGATATTGTTAATAATGAATATTGTCATTGTGTCATTGGACAAGACTCTTGACCACACTAGTGTATGAATGTGTGAAAAAGTGCTATATAAAAATGTGACCATTTGCCATATTTTGATATCAGTATAGATTTCAAGCATTCATCATTATTTATTCCGTTTTCAGGAAGTCCTTTTAATCCCTTTGGGCAATATAGGCAAGAATGTCAGACAGTTTTCAAACATGTATACAAAATACCTGTGTTGGTTAAATGGAACCTATTGTAATTATATACCGTAACATTATTACAGATGTTGTGACTTGATGGTGAATTAATGATTATGCTCTATTACAATATACCCCATGAGTGGCTGGGATGTCTGGACAACTGAAAAACTACACCCAAAAACAAATATTCCAAAGGCTAGATTTTAACTGCAGTATTGGCATAAAGGAACAGTGCCTTTCTCTGTGACTGACTGTACACTCAAACACGCAGTGTAACTTGTCTGCATGTGTGCAGAGGATTCACTCACAGTTGGTGTGAGCTTCTTTTTATATAATTAAAACTAATTAAACTTGACAATGTATTAAAATAGATTAAACAACCAAAATAAAAAGTTACAATGGAATGTGCAGGTTTTCACAACAGGTGCTTGCAATTACAGAAATGCCCAAGATCACACTGATCTAACAAGAAGAGGAAACATGGAGTCTTTTTTTTATGTAGAATACAAAACATATAATTTAATTCCTTATACAACAGAGTCCAAATGAAAAATAGGCCAACCAATCTATGGCTTAAAAACCTCAAAGATGTTGTTCCCGCTTACAAAGCCTAGGAGGATCAATATTTTAAATGCTCATAATATCCGTAAAGTCCTCTCTTCTCACTTAAACTGGTTGTCAATAAGTGTTCCCTTCATCTTTGCCTTCTTGGCTTCCAGCTCAGCCAGTTCCTGTAGCCTTTTTTTGCTCATGCCCTTCCTCTCCAGCTGCTTTTCAATGACTTTGGCATTTTGAGCGTAAGAGTCTGCCACTTCTCTGGCTTCGATCTCCTCCTCCTCTTCATCGATGGTGGAGACTGTGACCGAGCTAAATTTGCCCATGTCTTTGGTTCTCTTGGTCATCATCACTCGCACCTTCTTGGGGGCCTCTGGTTGCTTCTGGCTGTAGACGCTGGTGTTTCCAAAGCCCTGACCAAACTTCACCACGGCGCCGTCGACGATGAAAGTGGCGGTGTTGTTTTTCTCTTGGTGCTGGTAGAATAGCAGCAGACCACACTTGCCGCATTTCTTTCTAAACTGCCTCTCTATTCCAGCTTCTCTTTTAATGTAAGCGGTCTCGTCCTGCTCCACGTTGCAGAACTTGTGAGCGTGTTTCGCCGCGTCTATAACTCTGGCTTTATCCTTGGGTCTCATGGGCAGTTTCTCGAGTTGACAGTCCAACACCAGCACCATCTGTCCGCAAAGACAATAATAGACATGTAATGGCTTCTCCCCGTCATCATATTCCTCACGATCCCTGGTATCAGAGCAGACAACGCTCCTGGACACGACTTTTGGCATGATTTAACAAGAAACTTCAAGCAGAAACATCAACGATGGTTTCACGACGAGAAAAACACTCCCTGTGCGCTACGGTGCACTTCCGGTGTGCACCACTCAACACAATCCGGCAACTGGTCCACTTGAATTTAAGTTCCGGTCTGATGAATTAATGACATTGTCAAATATTCAGGCTATTAAAATTAAACAATGGGAAACTACACCCACAATTACACAATATCACTTATTCAGGCAGGACATTTGTTCACTTTCGTATGGCCTTGGTATGAAATACTTGCAAACACTAATCCAGATTACAGAATTCATTTTCTTTTGTTATGGATTCTACTTGGAAAATTGAAGGCTCACACAGAAAACTAAAGTGCGGCTGCATTTTAAACAGGTCTAACGATTTAAAATATTCCAATGGTTTGAGTAATTTACCCTCAAACCACTAATTGAGACCATCCATTGCCAGGTGTTTGTAATTCAACAATTTAGAAAGCAAATGCCAGAAGCTTTTTAAAGTAATCATTTATTAGTAGTACAAAAGAAAATTACAACATGGGTTACAGTTTCATCACAATAAATCAGGACATTATAGGCAACAGGATTTTATTGACAGCAGCCAGTGTCACAAGTATTCCCTTTGCACACACACCCAGAGGCGCACTTGCTGCACCCAGATGGACAACAAGAACAACAACCTGTAGATTAGAACAACATTAGTTCAAGAGACTTGGATGAGTGGCATTTTTCTACACAGGCAAAATATTTCTGTACATTTGTCAAAATGGGTCTAAAGTAAGTCAGTGCTTATGGGATAGAAGCACTGACCACACAATCAAGTTCAGAGGTTATTCAGCTCATAGTGTGTACCCACATTACTTTTAGCCTAGGGTGACCAGACATCTCAGTTTACCCAGACAGTCACTTTTGAGCCCGTGTCCCCTGTCCCAGTATTATATAAGACATGTCCCATGTGTCCCTTTTGACCAATATGACATCTGCCAACAGTAAAGAGGCATACATTGTCATTCATTTAGGTTAAATATAGAAAAGCCGTTTAAAAAAAAAAATAAAAATCACCAAAACAAAATGTGACTATATTGACTCATGCTAGTCATAAATGGGCCGAATGCATAACGATTTTCATTAATTACGCAATTGTTTCACTATTTTACGATTACAAACCACCCCAAACCGGGGCTGTCCGTTTTGATTTTGAAAATCTGGTCACCCTATATTAGCAATCTATTTAAAACAACAAAGATGAATTTAAGATACTCACTCTTCTTGCAGCTCGTGCAGGAGCAGTTCTTGCACGCGCATGATCCTTCGCAGGTGCAGTTTCCAGCTAAGAAAAATACACCAGTGTCAAAATGATATTACCAAATTTTAAGATTAAAATGTTTAAAAGAAGAAAGCCCGACGACAACTTACTCTTTGAGCAGTCACAAGGATCCATCGTTTCAAATCGCTGGCTTTTCGTGATCAGTGCAGTAGATGTGCGTCTTCCTCCGTGGTCAAGTTAAGCTGGTGTGATGATAATGATGAGTCCTGTCGCTTTTATAGGCCATGATTAGTAGTAGGACCGGGTGCAAACTCTATAGAAATGAGTCACGCTGCACGCTGCACGCTGGAATGGTAAACACAAAGAGCCTGTGCACACGATGTGGTCACCCAAGCACACGACGCGGAGAAAGACGTGGAAGATGCAGATGCTCATTACATAAGACCACCAGAGCACAGAACATCCCATTTTTACACAGAGCTCATAGCCCCGGAATAATTAATTATGCTGGAGGAAAACAAGGTTATATAATGGAGTCTAAACAATAACGTAAACAAAGTAAACTTTTCTTTTACATAATACGTTAAACATTTGTGCCATCAGGAGTATCTATACTATCGACTGTTAGAGCAATACAGATTTTAAATAGAGACGTCGTCGTTTAAAAACATTGATATCTACTACAATGATTGATTAGTTTATTTTATTGAAAGATTTTAAATAGATACCTCGTTGTTTTAAAACATTGGTATCTAGAACAATGATTGATTAGTTTGTTTTGGGTTTTTTTTTCTATTTTTTTTTTCATCAGCGAATCACATATGAACTCAGATAACCCCTGCAATAAGAATATTTATATTCTATTTATTTACTATTATTATTATTGTAATTTATGTATTATTCTTTACTTCACCCAATGGCTTTAGAACGTTATTAATTTTATTATTGCTCATCTTGTGTCTTGTATTCTTGTAAATTCGAAGTTACTTATTTATTAAACAAAAAAAAAAAAAAAAAAAAAAAAAAAAAAAAAAAAAAGAGCTCTGTCTATGAGCTCTGCACACGGTACACAGACAAACCGCTCCCCACGCGCTGCTGCACTCGGACAGCACTCGTGAGCAAAAATCACCGCCTCTCATGTGTTGTGTTCAAGTTCCCCAGTGTAGTAGGATATTTTCACTGATCTTTTTTTATATACTTTATATGTTTCATAAGTCGTTAGTATTATCATTGTTGCACTGTCTTCCTACGACCTCTTGTATATAGCTGAGATTTAATATTTCATTACTTATTTTTCTATTTTCTTCTATTTTTCTTGCACATAAACCTTTATATAATTATGCCCTATTTGACACCGGTCTTTTGCTATCTTTTTTGCGACTTATTTAGACGTTATTATTACCATTTATATTTGTTATTATATTATAATATGATGTGTGAGCTACTGTGTCCAAATAATTTCCCTTGTTGATCAATGAAGTTTGTCCAAGTCTGAGTCTAAGAGCCTATTGCATTTTTTTCTGATTCACATACCAAAAATATAAAACAAACAATTCAGACAGCCCATACCAGAGTGCATTCGTAATTTCTTTTTTGCAATGTCACTACCTATCGGTGAAAAAACAAAATAAGCAACAATAAGTACACTTAAAAGGTTCTTTTATTTTATTATGGTCAGTCAAAAGGTTTAAATGGATTTTCCTTCTTTATTATTTCCATGATTATTTGCATTGTAAAGATTCTCACATAAGGCATCAAAACTATGAATGGACACATATGGAATGCATACAAAAATAAAGTCATAATAACTCAAAACTTGTTGAGGCATTGTCGTCAGTTTGCTTTGAACCCTGGTTTCACTTTAACATTTCTTGACCCTGACAAGGCAAATCTGTGTAGAGAAACCTTTTTTTAAATGTACTGCATATTTCAATGTATCTTGCTTCACGTATAGCCAATTTGCGGTCTTCCCTGTACTGGTATATATCAAATGTAGAAAGTAGTGAGCATTAACACAAGAAACTAGAAAAATGCCAAGGGCTGGAGAAGATCTTGAAGCTGAAAGCATCAGTGGTTCTCGTGGTCACTGGAGCACTCAGGTCAGAGACCCGCAGACTGGAGGATTGGCTACTGCAGACCCCAGGAAATAAATCAGACATCACAGTCATGAGAAGTGCAGTACTAGGAACAGCTGATACTGCGCAGAATCTTCAAGCTCCCAGGCCTCTGGTATAGGACCCAAGAACATGCAAGGATCTTATTTCGCCAGAGCTGACACATAAGGCAGGACCCTGGCTACAAGGTTGCATTAGGCACAGCCAGTTTTTCTTCTGCAAAGTCACAGACAGTTGATCCCATCGGATCCCCAGGTCAGTTTGACTTTAAAGCACACACCATGCAGTTGTGATTTGAGGCCAAGACTTCAATTAGACAGGAATTAGAAGGCTTGCATTAAATAATTAAACTTTTTAGAGAACCATATGGTTGTTTTTGTGTGAAGATACACATGACAGTAATTTTTCCCCTGTTTACAGTTTCAGACATGGATCATGTACTGAATTTTATGGATTATTACATCTTTACTCCATTGGTTTACCCCGTTTCCTGGCCAGAAAGTGATACCCAGCGACAAATTCTCAGTCTATGGATGATTACAATTTTTGGAGCAGAACTACTTTACCTGGGATTTGGTGCTCTTAATTTTTACTGTGTTTTTAACCATGAACTCATGAAACATCCACAATTTATTAAGGTACAGTGTGTCATTAATCAGATATTTAAGTTCACTTTTAATGCTTCCTTTTAATATTTTTGATGTGATTTAAAATGACAGAATCAAGTACAAAAAGAGATTAAGCTTGGACTGGTGTCTATATTCTGGATGAGTTTTCCTACAGTGGGTCTCTTCTATTGGGAGATTAAAGGATACAGCAAACTTTATGACAACATAAGTGAAACCTCTCAAGGTAAAATCTTAAAAACCTTAGTTACACTTTTTTTTTTAAATCTAGAAATAAATAACATATTTCACTGTAAAGGTAATTGTGAAATCAATAATATTTATGACTTGCATTCAAGGCTTGTCTGATGTGTTGATGAGCATAGCTGGATTTCTGCTCTTTACTGACATGTGCATTTATTGGATCCATCGCTCTATGCATAACAAGAACATTTACAAGGTAAACCTTACTTATTAGCTATATTATGACACCAACATTTTACCAATAAAGGTATATATATTTTGAAAAAAACTGTATGAAACAGTCAACATAAGGAGCTAGCAGTACTTAAATGTGTACTTTGAGTCTCAGCTCCAATGGATTCTTGTCTGCTCAAGAATCAGCCAGCATCTCTATTTTTTCAGACAGCTTAGGTTACATGAAGTGGATAAGAATGTAATGCTGATGTTTTACATATAGAGCATGTGTGGAATCAGTTTTAGGTTATGATATGTCGGTCAAATGTAAATCACGGATTTTTTACCTTGACTTAAAGTGTTCATTTCAGCAATTTTTGAGGAGACTGTTAGGAAGCTAAGCAGGCAGGTGGCCAGTGACCCAACCGTGTTCTTCACAGTCAATTTGAGCTGAAGCCATCAGGCAGAAGGTACAGGGTCCCAAAGTGTAAACTGAACAGATTAAAAGATTCTTTTGTGCAATTAGCCATTAATCTGCTAAACTCAGCAAGCACAGTTTAAAAAATAAAAGCAAAATGTTTAGGGAATCTGCAATTAAACTGCAGATAAGCTTAGGGAGTGTGCAGTTATCAATGAAATATAAGATTGTGAATTGCTTGCTTATATAGAGTGACCTAAAGGTCACGTTGGTGTATCAGTTGAGGTCATAGTTGGTCTTTTATTTATGTTCTATGGTTGAAGTTTGTATGGTGTTTATTTTGCTGTGTTGTCTTGTCTTTGTGATTCCCTGTCCCAAGACAAAAATATGACAATTAAGTAATAACTTATTCTTATCATCAGACCATAAATAAAATCATTTGTCTTTGTCTGTTTCAGCATTTACATAAACAGCACCACACATTTAAAATTCCTACACCTTTTGCGAGCCATGCTTTCCACCCCCTGGATGGCTTCCTGCAGAGTTTGCCTTATCATGTTTATCCATTCATCTTTCCACTCCATAAGGTGAGAAATTTATTTCCTTTTGGCTGATCCAGAGAAAATTGAAAAGCATAATTAATATTACATATTTTCAGGGGGTCTATTTGTCACTATTTGTCTTTGTCAACATCTGGACCATTTCAATACACGATGGGGACTACCGAATTCCTGGACAACTAATCCACCTAATCAACGGAGCTGCTCATCATGTAGACCACCATCTGTATTTCAACTATAACTACGGACAATACTTAACACTGTGGGACCGTCTAGGAGGCTCCTACCGTTACCCATCAGCCCTTTTAGGGAAAGGACCACATGATGACGTTCAAAAGCTTGAGTGAAATTATTATTTTTTTCCTTCTTCAGTCTTGAAGTGAATGGCACATACTGTTGCAAGATAAGTGGTGGTAATATGATTTTGTGCACTGTATTACATAAAATTAAATTGCATCAGTATTATTTTAAATGAAAATGTAATATACAAAGACCTCTTGCTACTATCAATGTATTGGAAGTTTAGTCTCTCTCAGCTCCCGGTGTTTGGTGTATTTTCATGAAGGCTTTGCAAGGCCAGGTCAGTCCACTTCATCTCTTGTTCTTTCACTGACTCTGTAGATCCACCGTTATCCTGCTCAGCTTCAGGAAGTTCACTCTGGCAGAAAAATAAGTCAAAATAAACAGATACTTTAAATTCAGTAAAATGCCTCTCCTGGGTAAAGGGTGAAGGTGTTCTCAACAAATAACTAAACAAATACTTTTTATTATCGCAACAATAATTCAAAAAAATGTACGACACACTGATAGAACAGTGTATTATTTACCAGAGGGATAGTGACGTCTTCATATGGAAGTCTATCCTCCCTCCAGGCATCATCGGTCAAGTCCAACAGTCTTCCATCTCTCTGAATGGCGCTGTCCATTTTCAAGCCGTTATTTTTAGGTATTTTAGGTATCTCTGTCTCGACTGTTTCTCAAAATAAGTTTCTTTTCTATGATATCAGAGTAAAAACGACACTGTCTTGTTAAACTCTGAGGTGTGTTCATGCGCTGCAAATATATTGGGCTATCGGGTTGTGTCGCGTTCATTTGACGTCACACGTTGGCCACCTCTCAATGATAACGTGTCTAAGTTTTCATAATTAATAAAAGGTTTAAAACTAAAACTACTACAAACCAGTGCCTAGTTATGATATACTATTAATAACGGTATTTATTTTATTTATTTATTTGTGTGTTTATTTATTTATTTATTTTTAGAAAGGTTTATTTCTCATGTTTGCGGCTGCCATGGGAACAGGCTTCGTTTCAACTTGGCCAAACAGAGGAACATAAGACGGCTTTTAAATCATAAATCGTCAAAGTTGTGTTTTATCAAGAGACCATCGGGTGAGTGGATGTGAAAATTCATCATCATCATAATATTATTATTATTATTATATGGACATTTAATGGACATGTGCACTGGAGATATGTCTTGCATGGACAAATTCTCCAACCAGTCACCGCCGCCCCTACGTATTTTTCGAGATAAAACATGAAGATATATTGTTAACCTAATTTAATCATTGGGCTGAAATTGTGGCAACCATAGACAAGGTATAGCATGCCACTATAAAAATCATGTTTGTAGCAATAAGTAAATTAAGTAAATGTAACATGTAACATTTTCTCAGAATAATAAAATGTTTCTATTTAACACAGATATCGAAGGATGTCAGACTCTGAGAAGCACAAATCCCTGGTCGAAACAACTGGGACTGGAAGTCTTGTTCTGCCGGTAGTTCCCCAGTTAAAATACAAGGATCTTATGTATAAAACCACCTCGAGTGACTACGGTCGCCTTCCTCCAAGCTTTGAAACGGCCCCATGTACTTTCCACCCAAAATCTCAAAGATTCTCTGAAGAACTGGGAAGGAGTGGGATGTATTGCAACAACTCTTTTAATACATCTTTGGACCAAAGCAAAGTTTGTGATTCTCACAGTTTACAGTGCACACTTTGAATAATTAAAAGTTTTTGAGTGTTGTTATATTTTATTGCTATCAATTCTTAGATTTATTCATTCATATAAAAATCTGTTTTTTGTGATTACATTTGGATTTGTGTTTTATGATCTCACAGAATACTGTTTTCTGCATGATTGATAATTTCTAATAAATAAAATGTGTACTGTAACGCGTATTTCCTCCATTAATGAAGCTACTTGTTGCCTCTACTGGACACATCATAGGTGAGCCCACAGCAAAGCACACAGTGTAAGGTGAGAGTTTATCATAGGAAGGTCGGATTTTGAAAACTGAGTTTTCTGTAGATGTTCTCCTAATCCCATTATACTTTCTGCTGGTCATTCTGTGCGAGCCCCACTTCCCAGATCCACACCCACAGCTGATTATGGCTAACAGTTAGCACAGCGCTGACGCTACGGAACTTAGCTCTGTGCTCCTAACAATAGCTCACAGTGGTGTAGATTAGTACAATAATGTTAGCACCTTATCACTTAACATAGGTTTATGCTTCAGACGCGCACAGGGAGGACTGTCTGTTCACTTCGCCGGCATTTGAGGACCTCCCGCTGTTAGTTTCGTGCTAATAGTGTTAGCCCAGTGGTGCTTGACAGGAGTCTGCTAACTGCTAACTGCAAGCAAGTCTTGGGATTTGTTTTGCTGGAGGGCTGGTGCTATTGTGCTAGGGTGCTACCCTATTCGGACTAGTTTATGCTGAATTACCAAAGACTTGAAGAACGTTTGTCGTAAGTATGTGTACATTTGTTGTGTCGTCTCATGTTCCCCGTCTAGTTGATTATAGTGGTTATTTTTACCCAGCAAGCAAACGCTTGTGGTAATATTATGGATAGTTATCTGTTGGTGTTATGCTAACATGCTAAGTAAAACACTTGCTTGATAACATATTATAAGAACATTGAATGTGCAAATCAACTACGCTGGATTGATAACTTACAAAACATTAGTTGGCTAAGAACACTACAGACAAAATACAGTGGCTGCCATGTTCGTTTCATTTTGTTGTTGTAAAAACTTGATTTTTCAATTGCAAATGCAATATGTGATCAAGTGAAAGGGGATGAGACAACATCACGTGTGCAGCTGACTCTGTTTACTTTGGACCGAGTTTTGCTTATCTACTTTGCTTTTTTCCCTTTTTTGTTTTTTCAGGCTTGTGATTTGGGCTGGATACAAGATATCAACTATGTTTGAAACACCGTTTTAATGAAACCTTCAGCACTTCATGATCCATATAACAAGACTGCTGGCTTTTATCTTTTTATCTCTACATGACAACAACATGATTACGTATGCTGACCCCACCCAGTTGATTGGGACAAGTATCCCACCAAATCCAGCTTTCCAAATGATATGATAGTAGCTGCCTGGATTACTTTTTGTGCCTGCAGAAGCCTTGCACAGGTTCTGCTTCGCCTTTCCTCCTCTAATTCCTTCACTACTCTTTGGGGGACCCTTGCCACTACATCCATGGGAAACAGCTGTGTGTGCCGGGATGACAGTGATTTCGAGGACCACCACCATGGGTCAACCCGGGCATCTCGGGGACAATCTAGGCGTGTTGATCACGGAACCACAGTCGGCGCTGAGGTCGGAGAGGCACACAGCAGCCGGCCCAGGGATCCCGTTAGGCCTCCTCGCAGAGGGAGAGGGCCCCATGAGCCTAGACGCAAGAAGCAAAATGTGGATGGCCTAGTGCTGGACACACTGGCTGTCATCAGGACACTTGTAGACAAGTAGGCCCTAACACCGAGAACACTGGATAGGCACAATGCATTTTATTTATTTTACATGCATGTACTGTTTGTGATGATTTATTAATATTAATCATTTATTATTTCCAATTGGAGCATTGACATATCATATTATTAACACAATTGGTATTGAAAACAGATAAACCCAACTGCAATACTTTGCTGTTATGGGTTGACATGACATTGTTAAAAAATGTTTTACTAATGGTTCTACACCTAACTCGAGTTTCTTTATTGTTTTAACAGTGACCAAGAACCTCCTTACTCCATGATAACTTTGCATGAAATGGCAGAGACAGGTAAGAACTGTACATTTACAATCAATGTCTATCTGTCTCTTTATCTTTAAATCTCTAAAATGGATTGCTGACACTTTCACAAATGTCAAGCAAAGTTACTGAGTCATGCAGTAGAAAAGAAACTGAGACTTCAGACTGAGATTTTGTTACTAATTCAGATAGTAATTAAGATAGGTTCAGTTACTGAGTAAACTTTTTTTCTGTTGCCTTAGATGATGGCTGGTTGGAGGTAGTCCAGTCCCTTATTCGAGTTATCCCTCTGGATGATCCCCTGGGTCCTGCAGTTATTACACTTCTTTTGGATGAGTGTCCCTTGCCTACAAAAGTAAGTGGAACTTGTAATTGTTCGACATTTAAACTTGTTTTTACTCAAAGTTTGAGATGTAGTCACAACTGTGTGAAATCATTATGTAATGCTACAGTTACAGTAAACTGAGCTTTAGGCTTTCAGTATACACTTCCAGTCAAAAGTTTGGACGCCTTTTGTTTCTTTACTTTCATTGCTTATTTGAGCTTTGTATGATATTTTTTAAATCTGTAAATTATGTTTGTTTGGCTCTCAATAATCAGATTTCAGCAACTGATTTGGCATTTCACATTTTAATCAGTATTCACCAGACTGTTACTTTGTGATCACATAATTTGCCGAAGACATACAGAAACATGAGTCATATTGAAAGTACAAAACATTTTTTTTATTTATTGTACAGGATGCATTACAAAAACTGTCTGACATGTTGAGTCTGAGTGCAAGTGTAGCAAAACAAGATGCTTTATGCCCTGCAAAACACAGAAACACTACAGCAGTTCTCGGGTGCTTGGCTGAAAAACTGGCAGGTAATGCTGACATTTGCCCACTACTACTACTTTCAATAAATTAAATGTGTTTACCTATCTTAATAAGCTGATGGTTTTTGTGTTTTTTTCTTTAAGGTCCTGCAAGTATTGGCCTGTTGAGCCCAGGAACCCTTGAATATCTTCTAGAAAGCTTGGTACGCATAGCTGCTTTAATGGTTCAACAACCAAAGTGTAATGTACTGGGGAATGACAATTTTTTTCTTTTTTAATGTTCAGAGTTCAGAGGCTCATCCAACAGTTATGCTGTTTGCTCTCATTGCCTTGGAAAAGTTCTCTCAAACCAGTAAGTTTTATTGTACAAAAATAAGATTTGTCTTCAGAGTTTTTTCTTAATATATATATTTCTTTTTTTTCCCTAACCTCATCTTGACCAGGTGAGAATAAATTGACGGTGTCTGAGTCTTGTATCAGTAACCAGCTTGCTGTCCTTGAGTCTTGGGCAGAACACCCAGATTACCTAAAGAGACAGGTTGGATTCTGTGCCCAGTGGAGCCTCGACAACTTGTGTGAGTTCCAGTTTATGCTTTGATGTCCACATAATACACCAGCTCCATTGCTAATAGAGATATTTTTTCTTTTATAAATTTTTACAGTTCTAAAAGATGGACGGCAGTTCACATATGAAAAAGTAAATCTCACAAATATCAATGCCATGCTCAACAGTAATGATGTCAGCGAGTACCTTAAGATCTCCCCCACTGGATTAGAAGTAAAAAATATGGTGTAATTTTATAAGAATATGTCTTTTGAACATGTGCCTGTTTAACATATTTTACCTCCTATAGGCACGATGTGATGCCTCATCTTTTGAGAGTGTCCGCTGTACGTTCTGTGTAGATTCAGGCATTTGGTACTACGAAGTAACAGTCATTACATCAGGAGTCATGCAGATAGGATGGGCTACTAAGGACAGCAAGTTCCTCAACCATGTATGAACCTTTATTATTTACTAACTATTGAGGCATCAATGTTTCCTCTTTGTAATAACTCAAGTATGATCAAATGTACTGCAGGAGGGCTATGGAATCGGAGATGATGAATATTCATGTGCGTATGATGGCTGCAGGCAGCTCATCTGGTATAACGCTCGCAGTAAACCTCATTCTCATCCTTGCTGGAAAGAAGGCAAGCTTCTTCAAACATGTAGTTCATGGTTCAAATGGAGATTACTTTATTGATATGTAAAACTGTAAATTAGACTAAATCCATCTCATTTGTGATTTTTAGGAGATGCTATTGGCTTCCTGTTGGACCTTAGCAAAAAGCAAATGATTTTCTACTTGAATGGACATCAGCTTCCTCCAGAAAAACAGGTGTTTTCATCTGCAACGTAAGTTAACAGTACAGCTTAACATTGTGTTCTTTTAATTGAATGGCTTTTGCTAAATAGCTTTTTTGTGACAGGTCTGGGTTCTTTGCAGCAGCGAGCTTTATGTCATACCAACAGTGTGAATTTAATTTTGGGGCCAAACCTTTCCGCCATCCTCCATCAGTCAAGTTCAGCACCTTTAATGATTTTGCCTCTTTGCTGCCCAGTGAAAAGATTATTTTGCCCAGGTATAGCTTGTGGTTGAATATAAAGCCATAGTGTTAATAATCTATAATAAGTACAGTATGTTTCTGCTATTTCATGTGGGGGTTTTCATTTTTAATTTATTTTCATTTCTTGTTTGCAGACACAGGCGCCTAGCATTATTAAAGCAAGTTAGCATTCGAGATAATTGCTGCACGCTGTGTTGTGATGTGATGGCTGACACAGAACTGCGACCATGTGGACATGGGTAAGCTTGAAACAGCATTAAAGGGCCCATATTACACTATATTCTGATCTGTTATAATGTTGTATTCTCAACAAAAACATACATGGAGTTGTGATTTGTTTCATTCACACATGTTTAGCACACACATCTTGCATATTTAAGATTAGTTTTTTTTTGTCAAACGGAAAACCTCTGTTACCTATATACAGGTAGTATATACAGCTCTGGAAAAAATTAAGAGACCACTGCATTTTTTTCTGAAATCAGCATCTCTACATGTATGACAGCCATTCCATTTCAGCGTTTGTTGAATTCCAACACAGGCACACCTCATTTTGCCTACTGAGGTACTGATTAGGTGATCACCTGAACCAAATCGTATTTAAGGAGGAAAAGTAAAAACCACTGCTGTGTTCATCACTATCCTTTTGCACTAGGATCAGCTGGATGGCAAAAACAGTGCTAGTAGTACCTCAAAAATAATTGGAATCAAGTAATAACTGTTGACCATGCCAAAAGAGTTGAAAAGAATAGTTTTGAGTGAGGAAAAGAAAGGTTAAATTCTGGCTTTACTGGCAGAGGGATACAGTGAGCGTCAGGTTGCTTCCATCCTTAAAATTTCGGAGACAGCGGTTCATAAAAACAAGGTCAAGCAGCAGACACGGGGGACAGCAAAGCCACAGACTGGCAGGGGGCGGAAATGACTCGCTACTGACCGGGATGACCGTCAACTCATTCGAATGTCACTCAGAAACCGTAGGATGACATCAAGTGACCTAGAACAAGAATGGCAAATGGCACAGCAAGAACGGTTCAAAACACGCTCCTTGGGGCAGGACTCAAGTCGTGTAAAGCTAGAAAAAAGCCCTTCATCAATGAGAAGCAAAGAAGAGCCAGGCTGAGGTTTACAAAAGACCATAAGGATTGGACCGTCGAGGACTGGAGTAAGGTCATCTTCACCAATGAGTCAAATTTTCAGCTTTGCCCAACACCTGGTCGTCTAATGGTTAGACGAAGAACTGGAGAGGCATACAAGCCACAGTGTCTTGCACCTACTGTGAAATTTGGCGGAGGATCAGTGATGATCTGGGGGCGCATCAGCAAGGCTGGAATTGGGCAGATTTTGTCTTTGCAAAGGTCGCAGGAATCAGGCCACATACAAAGTTATCTTAGAAGAAAACTTGCTTCCTTCTGCTCTGACAATGTTCCCCAACTCTGAGGATTGTTTTTTCCAGCAGGATAATGCTTCATGCCACACAGCTAGGTCAGTCAAGGTCTGGATGAAGGACCACCAGATCAAGACCTTGTCATGGCAAGCCCAATCTCCAGACCTGAACCCCAATGAAAACCTCTGGAATGTGATCAAGAGGAAGATGGATGGTCACAAGCCAACAAACAAAGCTGGGCTACTTGAATTCTTGCACCAGGAGTGAAATAAACTCACCCAAAAACAATGTGAAAGACTGGTGGAGAGTATACCAAGATGTATGACAGCGGTGTTTAAAAATCAGGGCAAATATTGATATCTACACTCTTCCTAAGTTAAAACATTAGTATTGTGTTGTTTTAAAATGAATATGATCTTCTTTTCTTCGCATTATTTGAGGTCTGAAGACATTACATCTTTTTTGTTATTTTGACCATTTGTCATTTTCTGCAAATAAATGCTCTAAATGACAATTTTTTTTTTTTTGGAATTTGGGAAAAATGTTGTCAGTAGTTTATAGAATGAAACAAATTTTAAAATTTTACTCAAACACATGTAAGCATAAGTAGTAAATTCTGAGAAACTGATAATTTTGCAGTGGTCTCTTATTTTTTTCCAGAGCTGTATGTATGAAAGTATGAAAGTATGAAATCATCATATCAATCAAATCACATCAAATAAAAAGGTTGTTATTAACTTGAAAACTACCACTACGGTATATAACATCCCGCACACTCAGCATTTTGAGCTTTTGAGATGTAGACAAACTAAAAATGCAGTGTTGCTCAAACATCTGTGAATGAAACAAAAGAACACCGTGTTTTTGATGCGGTAACAACATTCTAACATGAGCTCACAAGGTTAAATTTGGCGTAAAATAAGACCTTTAGCAATTTGCCATATGTCATGAGAAATGCAACTAATAATAGTCTGTTGTGTTTTGTCAACAGTGGTATGTGTATGGAGTGTGCCTTACAGTTAGAGACGTGCCCCTTATGCCGCCAGGACATCCAGACCCGTGTCAGACTGATCACATGTGTCCTGACACTCCTCTCATCTTGCCTTCATCAAGGAGAGACACAAAACTTGCAAACTCCTCTGATCTCCACATGCCCAACTAGGCTGGGCTGGATGCCACAATGTTGTGATGCTGGAGTTCCCAGAGATGTCTGCACAGGGGTCAAAAGAGGAATAGCATGAGATGAGAAGAGGGCAACCAAAACTCATTCATCTCCTGTTTTTGTCCTTCTGACGCTCTACAGAAGGTACCTGGCCTTTGTTTGTAAGGACTCTGAAAAATGAGGAAGTGAAAGTTGAACATCTTTCTTCATCTACAGAGAAATGGCAGTCCTTTATCACATCTTGGATAATATTTCTTTGTGCTTTCAATCAAGGCTGCTTCTTTTTATGCCACACAAGAATGGGCTGGTAAAAAGCCTTTCATGCAGTATTAAACACAAGGTACAGAGATGGTGTTCCACATTAACGTTTTGTGGTGTCCATATTCAGATTTATGATGTTCTGAGGTAGCGGTTCCATATGTTGTACCACCTCCTAGTCATCAGTGACTGTAATTGTAAGCACTACTATATCACCCTTTTACCTGACCAAATTAGCTGTAACTTTTATATGTGAGTTTGATGCCCACTAAAAGTGGCAGAATGTTAAACATGGGCGATATATTTCTTGATAATAATTTTACTCTTCTGTTTACATAGGCAAAGAAGTAGGTAATTACTTCTCAATCTAATTCATAGTAGAAAATTAGAAACTTGAATTCACAATCTCCTATTTAAAGACAGACTTCTCACGTGCTTATTTTTTTAATGGATGCATCTTTAACCAAGAAAAATGCATACCTTTTTGAAACCACACAATTTGACTGTTTTATCAAAGCTTCAATCCAAGCAAATAGTGCATTCTGTTTTGGCCATAGGTCAGACCAGCCAGGAAAAAAAATGTCTTAAGCTTTGTTTGTGATGAACACTCTGCATTTTTGTTTGAGTGGCTACTTTGAATCCTCATGATGTGATTTAACTTTATTTTATAAGAAATTATGGTAACTGCTTTCTTAAAATATGTTGTTGATTTAACAGTGATGTTTCAGGTTTTGTTTAAATTAAATGTGAAATGTTAAAGTGAACCATGTTGTATCTCATTTAGTAGCAAAAATGGTAAAAGAGGAATTGATCAAAACAAATCCAGTGAAGTATAGACATGTGGGACCAAATTAATATTTAAGGATAGCCATCATGTTATTTTACATTTATCTATGTGGATGTGTTCTTCTTTTTCAGCCTTTGGGATACTCAAGAGAAAAATCTTAAATGAGTGCGACAGTGTGAACAAGATAATGATAATTGACTTAATTCACCCTAATTCAAACCCATTAATCTCTGAACAGATCAACAGTATGTCTTAAAGAGCTTATACTACAATTAAAGGAATGCATGAACTGGATCAGTGTAAGCTCACATATAACTAAATATATTACAATTATCCCTGCTTAAGATAAACTGCATCTTTTTGTGAAAATCTCAGTATTCTGACTTCTAGGCCTAGACTTGGAGCACTTGCGGTTGAGATGAACTGTCTTGGAATATAGATCAGTATCATGAGGAGAAGTATTTACATCTGCAGATAATTGTACTAATTATTTTCCAAAGATGTGGTTTACTTGATTGTGACATTTGTAATAAATTTGTTCACGTGAGATTGCTCAACAGTGTGATGATTGTCTCAGATGTGCTCAGTAGGAACCATGTATACGCCCCTGTGTTTCACTCGGATTATTTATACCGAAGGTTACAGTTTCCTTGGTAACCGATGTTGCGTTCGTTTTTTTGATTCGTTGTTGTTCGTACTATTGTGGTTGACACCATTAACGTTACGTGGCTATATTTGACAATATGGACATCAAAGAACGAAGTAAGTTACCAGATAATCTAAAAGTTAATGTAAATAAGCGTCAATGACTGAACAAATTCTACTGAGCACCATTTCCGTGACTTGGCTAGCTTGTCATGTCGCTAACTAACGCGGCCACTTAGCACGTCCTGGACAATAACTTTATTTTAATGCATGTATTTTGCAAAAAGGTGTATAGGTATTAATGTATTAAATTAATAATTATATTTTTCAGATATGCGTTGCACAGCGGACAATGTTGAAATGATTGACATGGACGAGGAGAGCTTTGCCATTTCGAGGTGGCATTTCATATAATTTATTTGGATTTGTCGGTTATCTCCTTGTAATGTAACTTACTGATATATTTGTTTATTTTAACCTTACGTCTGTAGTTCATCTGCAGCCGAATCTGCTTTTGATGTCGTGGTTGGTTGCATAGAGGACATTATTGTGGGTAAGACTTGTTACCACCATTTTTTCTCAAGATATTTCATTTGGTTAACAGTTATTTTTCTCTGTTTTTTTAGAAGATGAGTTTCAGCAGCTTCAACATAGCTTCATGGAAAAATATTACACAGAGTTTGATGATTCAGATGAAAATAAACTCACATATACACAGATATTCAATGATTATGTAAGTTGGACGTGTAAGAATATATCAATATATATATATATATATATATATATATATATATATATATATATATATATATATATATGTGCTGTTGCATTTCACTTGCTCCAGTGTGGCTGCAACATAATATTCTATGAATGTTTGTTTTTATAGGTCGATCTGTTGGAGAAACACCTGGAACAGCAGCTTACAGAGAGAATCCCAGACTTTAACATGAATACCTTCATTCAACTTCTAATGTACAGTCTATCTAATGTAATCCTTATATAAACCAAAACTGATTTGTTCACCTCAGCATTTCTTTTTTATGTATGTTTGTTTTGTAGGCAACACAAAGAGGAGGTTCCGGTCGACATCTTTGACATGTTACTCACATTTACTGACTTTATGGCCTTCAAGGAAATGTTTCTTGAATACAAAGCTGTAAGAAAGTAACATATTGGTCAATGTGGGGTATTAGGAGGTTATTAATTACTAATGCTGATTGTGTGTTTTAATAGGAGAAGGAAGGCAGAGTTTTGGATCCGAGCCAAGATCTCATGGTAACACCTCTGTTGTCCTCCCATACAAAACACTTAAGCTCCAGTAAATCCCAGTGACACTTTACACAGATCTGCCCTATAGTAATGCCTTGTAAAGAACCTAAAGGTGCTGAATTGGACCCCCAACGTTTTGTCCTTGAGGAAAGTCCCTTAGTCCTTTCTGTGCTATTAGTGTATGGGTAATATGATTGTTTTGCAACACCTGATCTTGCTTTTTACAGGTATCAGTCAAAATGTGATAGTTAATACAGAATAACATGTATTATAATTGTTTTCTTTATTAAACTGAAGTATTTAAAATGGGTGAGAACAAGCCCATGATATTGGTTTTCTGTTTATAAATGTAGTTAATACGATTAACTGAGATTCAGGAGCAGGACCACGCCTCAGCCGCCCTCTCCTCTCACCAGCGAACCACAACTCACCTCGACCACGCCTCCAATTTCCCAGAAGCCTATATGTAGCAGCCTTTCCCATCATCCCAGTTTGTCTCGGCTAACTCGACCCCACCCTCCCATCCCCTATTTTGTCTTTCAGTCATAAGACCCCTACAAGGGGGGTCCCGTTCCGGCTGGGCCAATTGTAGATTGAGACGGAGCCCCCACCCATAGTCTCAACCCAGCCATCTTTGCCTTGCTTCGTACATTATCAATAAACTTCTTCGCTCTATGTCGTCGTTGGCGTGGTCCTAGCTAGTGAAATGTATATATGTGGCACACTAGAATGGATGCCGAGAGAAGTAAATATTTCTTTCTGTATGTCAGTGTGGTGTAAGCGTTTGCAACATGACAAATCTCAAATTTTTTTGTTCATTTTGTTACTACACATTGCCTATAAGTGGTCAGTAAGCTTACTGAGCATTAAATAGAAAAGCAGAGACAGAATATAACAACATATAGGCACCACGGGGTTCTATAGAAATTTGTTATAGCCCAAGTTGTCTGATAATGTACATATATTTGTAATGTACATGTTATTGTTGTAAACAAACTTATATGTGACTACTGTATTTTTATGTGTTGTAAATGTGACTTTGGAATAAGTTTGTTAAGTAAATTGCATTTCCAAAAAGTAGTAAATGAGTCAAGACAATTACAAATACATGTATTTTAAATCATCAAATTTTCATCCTAAGATGTAAACAATATTTTAATATAAATCATGAATACAGTGATACAAATACTTATATAGGATAGACACGCAAAACTGGGTATCATTAAAGCCTTTCTACCACAAAGATTTTTTAACTATTTGAAATATTTGTATATACAGATAGTTACGTGTAAACAGTGTGGCAAGTCAGTGGTCATAAATACATAAGTGTATTTATATCTCTGGCAGGTACGAAAGGATGGACTGGACGTGAAGAACACAAGTTGTTCTCTCTGGGTTCCTATGTAGGCACTGTGTTGGTAGCAGCATTTCCTCCATCGCTCCTCCAGTCCAAATAGGCAAAGAAAGTACTCGCACCATATGCTATGGTCACCACAACTGCAAAAAACTGACACACAAAATCCTTAATATATTTCAAACTACTCTTGTGCACTATCCACCATTTAAAAATGTAGTATTGAGTTTAACATAAATAAGTCCTTGTGTCTTTCTCTCTTGTGTTATACTGTTATGGGCGGGTGTGTGGCTACCTTAAAAATACATATTAAACTTGTAAAGTGTAAAAATATTTAGTTCAGGACAGTTGTGTAATATATGTAAGATACCACAAACTTACCGCTGCAGCTCCCAAATGTCCATGGTAAAAAAAAAAAGGCACGTATGCTGCATTTGTGATGAAAGCAGTCAGATAGAGCACTGTGACCACAGCAAAATAAACCATTACCTGTTGGAGACAAAAACGTCATTGTCAGTGCCATGTGAAGTGTGATGTCAATGATACATATGTATTTACATGTTTTGTACTAATCTGCTACAACTTTAGCTGTAACACACTTGGAAAAACAATTACATGGACCAAAGTGCTGTGGAAATATAAATGTAGTATCATCACTTGGATAGGGTTGTTTGCACTAATGCAGGATTCTTAACCCTTGTGACCTCAGAGCCCTACATTTTCAGTACAAATTAGGCTCATGGGTCCAAATTAACATATTAAATTATTAAATATTATTTGTGTGGCCCTCAAGGTGACTATAGTTATGAAACATGGCACTGCTGTAAATTCTATTATTGTATTTAAAAAGGCTACTGTAATGTGTGCATGAAGTTTTCTTACCACAAGAGTCCAGGGTACAGATGAGAGGTTTCTCTGCACTCTGAACAGAATGATGAAGAATAGAATGAGGGTGAACAGCCATGAAGTGACGGCCACAAACAAGACCCAGCCATACGCAGCCGTGTCTCTGTAGGGAGTGCTGGCAATCAGAGCCCAGTGCAGCAGCCCCAGAACCTACAGGTGACAATATTTATATTTTAGTTCAGACAATTATAGGAATTTCCTGAATTACCAACCACTAAAGGTGCACTGTGTAACTTTTCTGGTGGAGGGTCTATCAGATAATTTTCTCTGTGGAGATGTTATTGCTTTGTCTGGAATATTTCACAGTATGGTAGAAAACTGTTCTATTTTCATGGAGATCAAACCAGATGAAGTTGCAGGTCAGATCTGTGGAGAAGCAGACCCGCTCAGTCAGAATCCCTTTTTCTCTAGGTATTTTTGAGCTATAAAACAACCTGTAATTTAATAAATGTAAGGCAGAGCTGTTTAATATCATACTGTGGAACAATCTAGGCAGAGCAATGACATATCCATAGAAAGAAGCAGGTGACAGACCCCCAACCAAAAAGTTACATAGTGCATTTTTAAACTATTGCTCACGCACATTGAGAGCGTACACACAGGGACTGTATTATGAATGCATGGGGGAGTGCCAGGAGTAAACAGCACAGACATCTACTGAATACAACATTGTAATTTCCTTTAGCCTTTTATCGGTACAGTCAGAGTATGTCAACATTATTACAACACCTGAATGCCCTGAATCAAACAAAGTAAAAAAGGGTGTTTAAACAACAACTGGATTACACTGATTTACAGCATCATGACAGAACAGTTGGTCCCAGAATAAAAGCGTTTTGTACAGGTGATGAATCCAAAGCACTTAACTCATTAGGCTAATACGTTACTCAGGCTTCAATGATTATTAACTGCTCAACAACTGACATTACCAAAACGCTATCTAGTCCACGAAATATAGTGTAAAATGTACTGACAACCTCACAATTGTGTATAAGTGGCACAGATTATATATAATTTGGAATAGAGAAAAGCCTGCCATCAACTACATGTTAATATGGCTTAAGTTCCTCAAATTGTTCAAACTAGAAACATTTCCTTTTTTCAAAAACAAGATAACACAAATGTTTAGAACTGTGATTGGCCTAAGTGAGGCGATTATCTGCAACTATAGAAGCATTGGCCTAATAAAGATAAAATATAAAATCACACAGCAACTTATTTAGACAATAAAATTATAATACATTCACAGGATTTAACATATAATAACAAACACTTTTTTAACTCCACAAACTCTATGGTTTAGTGGCCTTTTAAAGATCAAATAAAGTTTTCTGCTCATTAAAAAGAAAGTAATGTTTAACAAAGGCAGCATTAGCGTCTGTCTTCGAAATTCACTAGCAACAAGGTAATAATAGCATGGTGTTCAGAGGGAGACATAAGCTGTGGGCCATAGGGGACAAAGATCTCATGGGTTTGTAAGTCATTTAGCAGATCACATGTTATCTTGTGTCGACATAGAGCCTAACCCAATGCAAATATGCTACACAAAAGTGCAACTAGAAGGGACATTATAGGAACAGATCTATCCAAAGCTGTAAAATGTGAGTATAGGGTACTGATCAGTTTTTAAATTATCATTATAGGAGAAGTGATAAATGCACAAAAAGAAAATGATTCAAAGAAAATGTCATTTACACTGAAAATTAAAGGAGTAAGTTTGAGCATTAATTTCAGATGTAATTGTAAATAAAGCCTTTAATCAACAAATAGTTTTCTGTTTATCCTTTCAGTAATGTACAAAAACAGTAATACTGATATAATAAATATGATATACTTAATATTTATTATAATAATATGATGTAATGCAGAATGTGGTCTTTAAAGTATTTTTTTCAGTAGCTAAGTAAAGAATAGTGATAGAACTGTACTAATATGAATAATAATCTGGGGCGGGTATTAATATTTTCACAGTAGAAACAAAAACAGTTGAAAGAATCTTGGCACATTTTAATAAATTATTACTGATAGTTAATAATTATTTATGGAAATATGATAACACTGACATTCAACATAAATTATGTATGGATGTACCGACTGTGTGCAATGTGCTACAATAAACTCACAATTTCTGCGATCATGAGGATGGCTGGGATGCTCCTCACAAAGGAATTGTCCATGCCAGAGCTGACCTGAGTGGCCAGGCCCCTCAGACTGTTGCCCCCCTGATGCGAGCTCTGGGTGCTGGGGCTACTGGTCTCTGTAGTTACCTTTGATGGGAAGTCTGCCATGATTTCAAAAATGTGTAAAACAATATAAAACAGAATTAGTCCCAACAGTCACTAGGAAGTGTCCTCGAAGACTTGAAAGTTGTAACCCCTGACAACATTCAAGAGAAGAAAATAACAAATAAAAATCCACACAGTGAAGTGTTAAAAATAGAAGTAGTCTTCTTCCTCAAAATACACTGACATATAACTGATGTCTGGGTGGATGCGCCTGTATGCACCTTGCCCTGCACAAACACAAGTTCAGAATAAAAAGTCTTCAGCAGCCTGACCCTTTCACACCCCCACTCGTCTCTCTTTCTTTTTGTCCCTTGCACCTCCCATATGGTGCTCTGAAACTCACCTGAGCAACCAAGTCACTCATTAACATAAAAACTACAGCCAGGAAATGCTGGGATAACAACGTGTTATTACAAGTAAGCCAAGATTGGTAAGATAACGTAGACCATAATACCAAAATACAGCGAGTTTATAGCCAGGTACAGCAGCTTTTTTGAGCAAATTGTGTGAAACATAGTTTGTCTATTTCCTTTTCAGGGATCACCACAGCAAAGTACTCTGCACTACCCTGTCCTCTGCATCCTCCCCACCACCACATCCCCTTTTCCTTCACATTTTGACCTTTATGCCCACGAAAATTTTATTACCATTTTTACAAGAATGGTAAATCATTACTGGACTAGGACAAAGTGAAAAGTAATTCAAAAACGAAACGTAGACCTAAGAAGGACCTATGGTTTTAGTCCCTAAAAGTCCCCCAAACAGTACTTTTAAAAGTTCAAGTAGGGCTACTGTACAACCATATATACAGTCTATGGTACAAAAAGCATTGAATAGACGCTATCTAGTGTTAAAAAGATTTTGCTGTAAATTAAAGCATGTATTTTTTTCTTTATTTATTTCTTACCGAATAAACCCAGGTGAATATATCTGTGCATGGATCCATGATAGACAAACATATTGTATTTTCCCAGATTTAGTTGTACTTTATATTGATTTATTGTAGTGTAGAGAAATGTACATTAAGTGCACTGTATACATGCATACTTCTTGTGTTCATTGATCTGCTCGAAATAAACAAATGAATCTCATGCTGCCTACATAAAGTCAGAAGGTGGCAGTACAACGTTGACGCACTACGTAAGCCACCCGGCGCAAAACGCCGAAGAAGAAGTGTTATGGTCGGTGTTAACTTCAGGGACATCCGGTACATCACAGTGTTTAGGTACATTATAACAGGCATTATAACAGGCAGAGTCAAATAGAGAGAAAAAGAGACAGATAAACAGAAGAAAATAAATACCATGACTATTTGTTTATTTGCCAATGCTAATGTGGATTAACCTGCAATACAGAAAGCTGCCATGGACGACTCGTACAACGATGAGGACGAGGTGTCACCTGAACTTCCAATTGAGGTAAATACCTTGAGAATAAATTAAATTCACTGACCAACCATACTGATTTAGTTTAATTCTTCTACGCCCGATGCAAACTATTAGTATAAGGCGACTATACCATTGTGCGTTCTCGTGTCAGTCATAATCTGAGAGCCTTTTGCTTTTTGGTCATTCGCCCACACGGTTTTCTGTATTTTAGCTCAACAAATAACAATTTATGCTCCTCTTTACTGTTAGCAGGGATCAGATAAGTCAAAAAATTATGGTAGTCCTGTTTTAGTCCTGGTTTAGACCTGATGTAGTCCTGGTTCAATCTTAATTTAGTCCTGGTTTGGATCAAATTGGTCAAAAATAGGGACACCACCAGGGACATTTCTTGTATTAAACTGGGACAAATTACTGTTTTTGTATAAATCTGCTGGCACAGGGGACACAGGGCTCAAAACTGGGGCTGTTCCGGGCAAACAGGGATGTCTGGTCACTCTATACTGGTAGTCAGGCAGGGGTTTGCCTTTAATAAGCACATTTCTGTCTCCCTTTCTCTCATATAGATTATAGTTTATATCCTGAGCCTTGTCAGTGCTTCAGACAGAAAAGAAGCTTCACTTGTGTGTCGCAGTTGGTACTATGCCAGCCAGGATATGCACTTTCAGGTATGTTGTTTTTTACATTTTATGTGGTGTTTTCCATGTTCCATGTCCACCTTCCCCTTTGCTCTGTGCAGAAGAACCAGACTTACTCCTTTCCAGCTTCTGCTTCCTCCTTGGAGCTGATAAGGGGTCTTAGCAGAAAGCCACGCTGCAGTCTGGTCATCAGTCAGCTGGATGGATTTGGCATGTGCCGGTCTCTACTTTTGGAGGTTTGTTAAATTTGTTAGGCTATTAATACTAGTACTTGAAGGTGCACTGCGTAACATTTATAGTGGAGGGTTCGCCACCTGCTTGTCTCCATGGAAATGTTATTGCCTGGTCCAGAATGTTCCACAGTATAGATTAAACCTAAATCTATCACAAGGGACACAGGTTATAGCACTATGTTACATTACATTTCAAATCTGTGGAAAGTCTGCCTTTTCCCCCTTTCCTAATTACTAAATGCTAGATGGATATGTTTAATGTCTTACCATTGAAAGTAATAACATCTCCATGGAGACGTTAGTAGGTAGAGGACCCTCCACCAGAAAAATTGAGCAGTGCACCTTTAAGGTACTATTAACACTCAGCATTATGGAGTAAAAATTCAAAGTTTGAACATATCACATTTAACATCTGCTAACTAAAGTGTGTTACATGGAATTCATTAGAAATATCACATACACTGAAATACATTAAGTATTGTCATAAACATGGAAGGCCATAAACCTCCCCATGTTCCTGTCACATGATAAGAAGTGTTAAATGTTCACATCATAAGAGCATTTGCACTACAAAAATATTTCCACTAAACCAATAAAATACTGAAATAGCTTGCTACATGGTTCAAAGTACACTAGAGCATAGTTGCTCTTTTCTGTTTTAAAGGTCTTTTTTATGAGTCATTTCCTGATAACCTACTTGAGCCTAACTTTACAATTACATTAATTACAATTTTATGATGACATTTATGACACCTTTAGTGTCACATGCTTACTTACAGTATTTAAAGTGTCCTGTCCTTTGGTATTTAGGTGGGACTGTCTCTAGGCCCTAAGGTTGAGAGCTTGGCCCTTCCTGGCAGCAGTATCACAGAGGCCTCCCTGTTGGCTCTCCTGCCCCACCTCACATCCCTGCGCAGACTGGACCTCAGGGGCCTCGACAGCCTCTTCATGTCTGGAGCATTTCTGTCTCGAGAGGAGCACAGGCAGCAGGTGATGTGCACCTGATACCTGTTTGTTCACACTTTTGGTTAAAGTCACACTAAACAGGTTCTGTATAAAACCTTTGACATTGAAGAGGATTAATGAGCCCCAGTGCTTGCAACTATTTTGTACACTGTCCCAAAGAAAACAAGAATATGATCTGACGAAGGGTATGAAAGGGTAGATGAAATGTTATCAGAAATAATATTTAGTTTTATTTAACACTTTTAAACAAACATGACCCAAGGCTAATTCAGTGCTCAAGCCTTAAGTTATCTGACTTGAGCATATGACCTATGATGTCATACGAGTCTCAATAAACCCAAAGCCATATTACTCTCTTTATCCTAAAAGGGATCAGCTATGGAGGAAAAACAAAACAATTTATTCCACTCCTGTACTCTTATGCTGTCTCATTCTGTTCCAAATTGTATGCTTTTTAGTCCCACCCAGAATACTGCTGTGTAATTAATACTTGCTCTTTCCCCAGGTGCGGACAGCTCTGTCTGGACTCCAGGAGCTGGACCTTTCTGACCTCCGATACCTCTCTGACCTGACATTTAACCGCCTGACTAGCTGCACCACTCGCCTCCGGCGCCTCTCTCTGGCTGGTTGCCACATTGCATTTGAGTTTGATCCATACAGAGGCTGCCCTGTGGGAGTTGTAACAGATTCCTCTGCTTTGTTGTCCTTGAGAAACTTGAGAAAGCTGCTGACAGAGCAGAAGTCCACCCTAGTGGCTCTGGACTTAAGCCGAACCGCCATCACACCAGAGTCACTGCGGACCATTGCACAGGTTTGTCTAAACATTCTCTGTAACCTGAATTTAAAATGTACATGGAAACATTTTATATTTACATTCGGTTACAGGTCCCAGGTCTGGTTTTAGAGGAACTGTATCTTCAAGGCTGCAAAGAGTTGACAGACTACTCAGTGGAGGTCCTGGTCAAACATCAGCCAGACCTGCAGACTCTGGACATCAGCGGCTGCACTGAGCTCACCAGCAGATCAGTGACGGCCATTGTACATGGTCTCAAGTCATTGACGCACCTGTCTTTGTCACGAGACTGGAAGGTCACAGAAAAGGGTGAGCATATGCAGCACATCTGTACAAAAGTGCAATGGGCATGCTTGTATTTTGATATTCTTCATTGTGTGTTACGGGACAAACAGACAAACAAATGTACCAATTGTTATTATAAAGTCATTTGCACTTGTCATTTGCACTAAATGTTATAAAAGATTGCATTAGAAGGAAATTTAACTGTATGCCTCAAGAGTAAGGATCTTTGGAGATATGGTTGTTTTTGTGGGTGCAACCTGTGTGATAGGTGTTTTTCTGTAAATCAATCAACTGGACCAAAATTATTATAACTATTAATCTCATTGTTTGTGTCATCTACAGGAGTTGCTGATCTGCTCTCTGTGCCCTCTCTGAGAAGTTTGGACCTCTCGGAGTGTCTAAACATTAGCGGAGTAGAGACAGTGAATGGTCTAACAAGTTCCAACACAGCCAGAGCACAGCTGCAGACACTCCGTCTCAAGAGCTGCACCTACATGAGTGTATGTCTAAAACATGTTTCAAATATTATTTACATGTCTAGCTTGTATTAAAAACTAGGGATTTTCTGTTCCGATTCTGGTTTTGGATCCTATTGGCGCTGAAAAATGTGCTGGATTGGATTTCAGCTTCCAAATATCGGATCAGATGATATCCTTCTTAGACATATAAACCGATGTAACAAGACTATTTACTGGTCATAGTTGGTCTCAATGTTTGAACTATTATTTATACAAAGTTGTTCTGTAGTGACTTGAGAGACAAAAAACAGCATTTGGATTAATTTTGCCTTATTTTATTTTTGTTTAATGGAAATAAAAGCTATTCTCAGTTTCTGCACTGATATTGGCTAACAGCAGATCAGAAAGCTATAGTATAGATATAGAAATTGAAAATGCTGGATCATTGCATCCCTAATAGAAACTGAATTGATTTTATTTTTAGGATCTGGCAGTTTTCTCCCTTGTGCAGCTCTTTGGGGAGACTCTCCGTGAGCTCGATCTGACTTCATGCACCAATGTTACAGACCTGTCAGTGCGTGCCCTCTCCACATTCTCACCAGGGCTCAAGGTGCTGAGGCTTGGCTGGTGCAAAGAAGTGACCGACTTTGGCCTACTGGGTATGATGAAAGTTATCAAAAGTGATCCTGACAATGAAATGGTGAAAACTACAAATTACTCCTATCAATATTGTTGCATTTTACACAATGTATTTACAGTAATTTACTCTTCAGGGTGACAATGGTCCAAAGTTTACAAGAACTTTTGGGAACATGGGCTTCTTCAAACCTCCTCAGTTGCCTTTTGAGGAGAGGCCCAAGCAGGTGACGCAGACTACCTTAAAGCATCAGCCTGGTTCTTCACTCATAACTCTGACTCGACTGGAGGAGTTGGATCTGTCGGCATGCCCCAAACTCACAGACAGCAGCATCACACAGGTGGTTTGCCAAATGACACGGCGTGCACTACTTTAAAACTCATATGACAGGAACTACTCTTTTTACTAAAATACAGTTAATATATTTAAGATTTTGCTAAACATAAAAAAACATAAACATAAATGTAAAAAAAAATCTTACTTCCTGGTTGAACATCATTTTACCTATCATTCCTCGAATGTACACAGAAATTGTTTGACAAATAGAATGAAAACACATTTATTTTGTTTAAATTGTCAGACTTTTTTTTTTGTGTGTGTGTAAAATGTGTCTACATCAAGGATAAAATTCTCCCCAGCATGTCAATATGAAACTCTCTAAAATTGAAGTTCCTGTAATTTCGAACACATTTTTCAACTTTTCTTCATAAACTGCTTCCTGATTGGTGTAAAACAATAATTAATATTTACAAGAAGTATTATCCCACCTACTTAAGTAGAAATTAAAGAAAGGTCAAAGCCTGTCATATTCACTTTAAGAATGTGTGTATTCAGTTAACTTTAACAAATGTAATTTATTTTTTGCTCTTTGTTAATATATTCTAATGGAATGTGTGAGATGTGTGTCCAAGTAATTTCCCTTTATGATCCACAAGGGAAATTAAAGGAAAATACATGGTAATCAAATTCAGAGATAATAAAATTTGTAAAAATGGTATGTGAAATGAAGTGGTAGTGAAGGAGACACACTGCACAGATGACAATGCTGGCTATAGCGCAATACAAGGTTACCTATTAAATTAAGGTCTTTAAATTCATAGCTATCACTTCAAAACCTAACCTAAATGCACTATTCTCAAGCAAAAGTAACATTTCCTATTTTAATCTTAACTGAAACACATCAAACAGTTAATGTGTTGTTTTAGTTCTTAATTATTCTGTGTTCTTTCTTTTGTCCTTCATTCAGGTGTTGCAGTTCCCAGATCTCCAGCGCTTGTCCCTCTCTATGCTCCCTGAAATTAGTGATGCCAGTCTAGTGTCTGTAGCCCATCACTGCCGCAGCCTCACCCACCTGGATCTCAGCGGGTGCCCACAGATCAGTGACAGAGGAGTGGCTATAGCTGCTCCACACCTACACAGACTACAGCACCTCGCTCTCTCCTGTTGTAACAATATAACTGACAGGTTTGGATTTTAAAGCATATTTGTGTCATTTTGTGTATATTTATGTCTTTGTATTGTGTTTTCTAAGCTCCAGTTTTTCTTTTAGGTCCCTGTCCATTTTGGCACAACACTGCAAACGACTCAAAACACTGGACATCTCAAGGTGCAAAAACATTTCTGTCACAACTGTGGAAAGACTTCAAACACAGCTGCCCTTTATAGAGAACATTCACTGTAAGTTTATAGGTGGGACTGAGTTCACACTTTCCCTTTGACAGTGTGATAAATGTATTTTACTGACCAAAGCCTACTCCATCAGCCTTTCCTTTTGCTAACAGTACAAATGAAAGGTTTACTATTGCACTGAAACTATAAAATACAGAATACTATCTGTACATTGTACAGTGGTTAATACAACACACAAAAGTACCTTTTGTTGAAATGTTGACCATTATATAAATATATGCTGAAATATGCTGCTTTTGCTCGCTGTACCCTCAGGGCTAATTTATTTTATTGTGGTAAATCACCACAACGCATGAAGGTATTCCTTTTCTCTTGACCAAGATATATTGCTTTCTTAATGGTTAATCATGAAAGAACAGGTTTTAATACATTTTAAAGTATCCACTGGAAGTGTTATATGCACTATATAAAATAAGATAAAATAAATATTGACATTTTGACACTTTATTTCAAGGCACTTTTCGTTCTGTCAGAATAATGTATTTTTATTGTAACTGTTTGCTGCAAGTGAATACATGTATATCATGTACTTTACATAAAATCTTCAATGATTATTGTTTGTGTAATAAATTTTAATTAACAGACACAGGCAACCTTCCCATTTGTTACCATAAACAATTGTTTATTTCTGTTTAATGGGCAATGCTGTACAACACAAAGTATATGCATGTATCTGGAAACAAAAGCAGGAATGTGGAGCACTCAAGAATATGATTGTATTTTAGCAGACTGCAGGACACATTTTCATTATGACTGTACATCAGTAAAGTACCATAGTAAAACAGTGAATATAATTTTTAGGTATAAATGTATTATTCTGTGTTAAAATGAGCATTCATAATTTAAAACGCATAAGTCATAGTGGTAACAAATCTGGGTCAAATATGTACCAGAGACATTTGTTATTAAAAGTAGAAATTCATAAAAGTACCAAATTCTATATTTTAAGATAAAAAAAAAAAACATAAATATAAAGGATTTTGTATTTGTAAACCTAATGCAAAAGATCAGTCTTGAGATTTGCTAAATCCACAAAGAAAACTTAGCAATAAAGTTGACAGCCACACTATCTTTATCTGTGTATAGTAGCTGTTTTCAGAGATAGGCAATGGTGCTTTGGAGCAGTTATGAGCTTTGAATGTCATAGGTTTGTGCACATTCAGATACTAGTCCTGAATTATTACTGTGCCTTAACTGATTTCAGAGAAAGAGGGTGAAGGCCGATGAGGGGGTAGTGGTTGGTAGGCAGTGTGTTATAAAAAGTACCATATGGAGTTTAAAAACAATGCTGTGTGCACTGCCCTGAGCAGAATTCTCAAAGAATAAAGTGTCTCAAATGGATTGCATATTTAAGTGCAGTAATGAACTGAACCAAACTCACATTTCCTTTCACACATTCTGAATTTTCACTGATGACACTATTGTTCAGTTTGGCTGAAGTCGTAGCAGAAGTTGTAGTTGCTGGGTGGTTTGGGAACGGCTGGTGCGCGCTCAGGAATCTGAACGTTTTCCAGGTCCAGGAGGCGCAGCTTGATCTCCATGGACAGGAGGATCTCCAGCTCACTGCGCATGGACTCGCTGCTCATCTCTCGGCCAAGAAGAACGCTCAGGCCATCTGTCCATAGGCAGAACTGAAACAGGCAGTGAGAGGGATACACACCTAGTGACCACATTGAAACTAGACACACACTGCACACACACTCTGCATAAAGACAAAATACATGCATAGTAACAAGTATGTTTTATGAGTAGCATTTACATATGTTTGTCCAGTCATTTACAGCATATAAAAGTTATCTGGACTAGCTATAGAGCTGCTTTGAATAAGCTTCATCAGTTCTGAATTAATTCAATCCAAAGGCCATCAGCATTGTTTGATTGGACGATTCTGAATAGGGCTGCCAAGCTCCACAGCAGATAAATATATACAGACAATAAAGTAATTTTCAAGCCATCCCAAGAAAGGGTGCATTCTTGACTTGTTGGTGCACATGAACATTCAACATTTTACACAAATTAATTTACATTAAATAATATATATATAATACACACACACGACATATATGTGTGTATTATATTATATATATATATATATATATATATATATATATATATATATATATATATATATATATATATATATATATATATATATATATATATATATAATTTTATGTAAATTCATTTGTGTATATATAAAATATAAAATTTCAGGATTAAACTCACATCAGTTCTAGAGGGGGCAATAAAGTTAAGGCTGTCCTCTACATCATAGGTGATGCTAAAAGCCAGGTCCAGCACTTCCTGTATGAAAAAAAAACAAAAAACAAAGAAACAAAAATATGAATAATATACTACTACCTGTATATTATTATTATCTTCATAAAATTGTAGTTTTAGTTTTGAATTAACCTTTGTCTGTTTTCCTTTGTTTTCTTTCATATGAGGGCAGTCTTTTCCTGTCAGCAAACCCTTGATATCTGCCACAGGAACTACAAAAAAGCAAAAAAAATGAACAAAAGAAATTGTGGTAACAGCTTATTAATAAATTATAGTAATTTTGTAAATTTTTGGAAATGTATAATTATGCATGCTCAATTTTTACTTTAAAAAGTAATATAGTAATTGAACCATATTGAACCGAATTACTTTTTGTTTGTATTACTCAACTTAATAACAGATAGAATGGAAACATACTTTTCTTTTGTAGTGTTTCGATTGGTGGGATGTCAGTGTCCTCCTCCACATCACCATAATGAAGCATTTTGTGATTTGGTGATAAGCGGCAGTACCAAAGTTTATCTGTAAAAAAAATCAAATTGAAGTAATCTAAATTAGTCATAATAATTATTCTCTCATTTCATTTGTACTTTTCAGTCTAACCTTGTCTCCTCCGGCTGCTTATCTTTCTGAACATGGTGCCCTGACACAGCCGGTTCAGTCTCTGCTGACGAATCAAGTCCAACAACTCAGGCTTCAGGCGCTCCTTTAGCTCACTAAAACAAATACTATTATTAGTTCAAATAATTTCCCTTGTGGATCAATAAAGTTTAAAGGTGCACTATGCAACTTTGGAGTGAGGGGAACTGCTTGTCTCAGTGCTTCCCATTAATACAGACTATGGTGGTCCCACATAGTCTAGAATTGTCCCCCATAGTCTAAAAACACCCTGGACTATACTGACACAACAAAATTAGACTTTGTTGCTCATTATATTATCATAAACTTATTAATGACACTACACTGGTTAGAAATGACTGGAGAAAGAGTAAATACAGGCAGTAAATGACAACTATACAAATTGAATGAGATGACATTATTCAAATAAAAATAATTTGTGCCACCAGTCTTAATAAAATAAGTAAAAGTAATTGCTTTGCTGTGGAATGTTACAGTGTGGCATGAAATTTATCTATCATGCATTTATTCAATTAAATGTGTTTAAATAGTGTAAATATGTTGCATTCTTCTTACTGTGAGCAAAATCACCACTCCACAGACCTGTAACATGACCTGGTGGCATCGACTTGTTTCTATGAAGTTAGATAAACGCCATGTTGTAGATCATTCCAGGCAAAGCAATAACATCTCCATGGAGATTAGCAGATAGCAAGCCCTTCACCAGAAAAGTTACACAGTGCACCTTTAAGTCTGAGGTCATATTTTTAATCAGTGTAGAATAATATGTGTTTGCAGGGGCACTCACAGCACAGGTGGAGCCAGAGTTTCTTCCTGGTGTAGACGCTCTGTCTGCCGTAGTTTGAGGATCTCGCTGTAGTTGAGGGCATTCACTTTGTTTTTGAAAAGCTCCAGAGACGTTGGTTTACTGGACAGTGTCCGCGTGATCTGCTCCCTCACCACCTGCATCACCTGAGAGCACAGAGAGGTTCAGCCATTTATTTATTCAGAGCATCAAATACAATGAGCAGACATTGGTAAGAGATAGTAAATGTATAACTTTTATCTTATCTGCAGGTTACATTTGAAAACTAAAAAGCAAATATTACTATTTTCTGGTCTGTTATAACGCTGTTTTCTGTTTACCTGGAGTTGTGTTTTATTTCATTCACACACGTTTAACTCACAAACTCTGCATATTTAGGCTGAGTTCTACTTACTTACTTACTTAAATCCTCCACTGTGTTTTTCACTAAAATCATTTGGATAATTTCAGACCTTTTAATTTAATAATTTCAGAATTACCCATGACTTCTGAACTAAAGGTAAAAAGTAGCTGTTAACTTGAAAATGACCGCTTCATAACATCACAAAGTGGACCTGAGCATTTTCAGTTTTGGAGATAGACTCAAACATGTGTGAATGAAACAAAACAACTCCAGGTAACAACCTTCTAACATGGTTTCACTAGAGTCAATTTTGTGTAATATAAGACCTTTAAAGTGTTAAATATTAGATCGCCAGCTAGGTGCAGAGCAGAGACACAGTTTCTTCTCAGATTAGTTTTACTGACATTCATTCAGCTGGTCCCTTTTTGAAGGATGCCAGAAAAGTTTCCCTCACCAGCACTAGAAAGATTTACACGAACTTGAAATATGAGAGCAAAAGTGTAGTTCAAACAACTTTAATATTTACACAGCAAAAAACAAGACATGATCTTGTACTGAAATGAAAACCAATGAAAAAAAACATCTTTATGGTACTAAGAGAAAGCAAGAAGTTGATTTTCTTGTTGTTTCTTAAAATTGCCTCTCCAGTTGTAATCAAGTCCCAAAGCTTTCCCTGCTCTATCCTTACACATTAGAGGGCGTCCCTTCCCCAGCAAGAAACAGCAAGAAACCAGCAAGAAACCAGTTCTCCTATCTCTGCAGCAGTCGGCATGTGGAACACATTTACTTACACATTTATTAATAATTATAATAGTCAGACAGTAATGCCTGACAAAGAGCAGCTGTACAATTTCTGTATTAAAATGATACATCCCTATAGAGACAGTGGGTGACCTTGGTTACCCAAAAATAGTCAATATGTTCAAATATGTTCAGTGTAATTGGAAACATTTGTTAATCAGTTCTATTGCTTTAATGTTGTGGCTGTATTTTCAATTTCAATCTATGGTCTAATCAATAATGTTGAGCCGACATGTCCGACTCTGGCGCTGCCTCGATTGCTGACCTAGATCATTCTTGTTCACACCCATTGATAGATTATAAACAATTGGTGAACAAAGAGGAAATTGACTTATTTGTACATGTGAGATGGATATTCTATAGAAGAAACAATTTAAAATATTCACCATTTATACAAAACATAATCCTAATCCTGCATTATGGTTTAAATTGGTTTAGTTTGATCAAAAAGCATAAAAAGGACAGAGGACAATACTGGGCCTGTTCTTATTGGTATATTAACAGTATACTAATACCATTTGTTGATCACTGTCTGTGTAAGAAGCAGCTAAATAATATAACATAATAAAATAATATATAACATAATAACAAAGAACCTTGTGACTAGTTTCATTTAAGAAAACTATAAAAATATATTGTAATCATTAGAACCTCCATGTTACCTTACCTCCATGTTTTCTTCTTTAAATCCTCTTGCTTTTCTCTGTCATTTAGTTCTAATTGAAAATGATGCACTCTAAAATTGTCACTGGCTCAGTGAAAGTGAATGGCCTGTCACCTACATGACAGCAGAGGTGCAGGCCTGTGGCTGTTGTGTAAACAGACACCCTGTTACTGTCACAGCCCCTGTGTCAGATGCTCTGGCCAATAGGAGGCGGGGCTCCCTAAACCCTGCAGCACATGGACACTCTGGACTTATGTGAAGAATGACCGTTAGCACAGACTGTCCATACTTAGAGCATGAAAGCTGCTGCCAAAAAAAAGATCATTACAGAACTACTGATTAACATTTTATCCGCATTTTACCTATTCAGTGCTTTCTACTTTAGGTTCTGACCTTTGCCTTAGTTTACATCTCCTGTCTTGATTTGTAATTGCTACTGATGGCTTGGGGGCTTTGTCTGTTGCGCTTCCTAGTCCCTCTGTTTTTGCCGCCTACCACGCTTCTCTTTGTCCACCTAATGCCCTTTTGTCCTTGCCCCAGAGCAGCCGAGGCAGGGGGCGAGGGCCCAAAACAAAAGCTGCTCTGCTGTCATGGAGCACGGCCTGCACCTAAAGGGTCAAAGGGTGGCCAAGTTTTATAACTATCAAGAGAGTGCTTTGTGGCAGTCTGACGATGGGGGAAAAATGACCCAGGACAAAAGCTGAGTCATCCCGTCTTTTATGACCACTGGGTTTTCAATATTTCACCTGAACAATGCTTAAAGCTGGACTGACTATAAATACAACAATGTGTGTGTAAGGTCACCATGTTGTTCAGAGACACCGTCTGTGCTTTGTATAGAGGCATGTCAGGAGCAGTTAGCATAAGAATGAACTGAGAATACAAATACACCACAACAAACCCCTGTGTGACCAAATGCCCTTTTACTAGTGAGCAACATATTGTGATTCTGTTGTCTTGTGTATTTGCCTCAGTCTAGTCATGAATAATAACTTGTTTATTCAGAACATTGGTATAAAATAACAGCAATTGTAAATGTGTATTGTGTATTTTTGTACCTTATCAAAGTCCTCTTGTGTGGCTCTCATCTCCTTCCATGTCTTGTTGAGGAGCTGAATGCAAATACAGAAGAGCTCCTCCAAAAGTCGGTCCTGACTGAAGAAGATGGGGTGGTAGTTTGATCCTGTCTCTGAGGCTTTTGACAGAAAAAAATATTTGACAAGATGAGCTAAAACTGCCTATCAAAGCTCCCAGCATTTTCATCAAAGCTCTGTACTTACGAGGTTCTCCAATTCTAAGGATTTCACACAGGATCAACGTAAGCTGGATGCTGCTCCTGGCAAAGGGACACTCATGTTTGTCTTCTCTACTGCTGTTTTCAAGCACAAACTGAGAAAAAACGCATAATAAACAAATGTTATTTAAAGGTGGACTATGCAACTTTTCTGGTGGAGGGACCATCAAATGTTTTTTCTCTGTGGACATGTCATTGATCTGCCTGAAATGTTCTACACTATGACATTAAACAGCTCTACCTTACATTTATTAAATTAATGACTGTAACTTGGTTTGGTCTCCATAATGAAAGGTTTAAAACCATACTGTGAAATATTACAGACAAAGCAATAACATCTCCATGAAGAAAAGCATTTGACCGACACTCCACCAAAAAATTTACACAATACAGCTTTAAGTATCTGTATAAAATGAAACACATAAGTAAGATAATTATGCTACTCACCCTGCTGTATGCATCAGGATACCGTGTGGCAAAATAAAACATAGTGTCCAGCGCTAACAGACCAGGAGGTGTTCGAACCAAATCTTGCCCAGGATTACTATTGTTCTAATGATTGAAGAGGTGAGAAAATATTATAAGCAATGTTATAAATACATACATAATCTTATTTTTTATTTTTAGATTGAAACTCACAGAAAAACCTAATTTCTTGAACTCCTTTGCACACAGCGAGCGCCGTCTTTCATGGGTCAAATTGTTTTCAGGTTCTGTCTCAAACGCAGCCTGTCTTAAGCGATGGAGGATGTCTCTTTGGTCCTGATCAATAGGAAGAAAACATGATTTCAACCAGGTAAATATTCTGAACCTGCATGTGAAATGGTTTATCTAAGTTGCAAAACTATAACAGAATTTATTCATGGGTTTTAGCTTGGCCTATCTCAATAATTACTATAAAGAGTTATCGTTCAGTAGATGATGAGGGTCAGTATTTTTTTGTGTTTTTTGTTTTCCTTTGTACTAGAGGGGAACTTTTTGTTGTTTTTCAGTTCTGTGACTGGATTTGAGCAGTGAAGGGATGAATTAATAACTTCTATGACTCAAAAAAAAAAAAACCTTCAGAAAGAAAAGGGTTGGCATGAGCATTCCAGAGAAAGTTCCACAATATTATCATCGAGCTTACCTGGTTGTAACTGTCCAATGGCGTCCTCATTCTGGGCTCTAGATGATTTAATGTCACTGACTGGAGCACATAGAGGTAGTGGGCCATCTCATCCTGGACCGAACCCGAACTATGAATAATGTTCTGAAAATAAAAATATATGTTTTTAGTCCTACAATAAAGACATAATATAAACAGAATCGTTTGGATCATCTGAACTGCTTCACCTTATAGATATACTGCCGCAAATTCTTCTTATTTAGAAACTCAAACATGTCCTGGAAGAGAAAGAGGGCAGGTTGAAGTGCAATTGCATGCTTTTAACATGAGGTGGAGCTACAGAGTCAGTATAGAAAAAGGTAGGTGAGATTTGATTTAATTGCATTGTGCACTCAACCACACATAAAGAGCACGTCATAGGGTCAGGCCGATAAGAAGGGCGTAATTGTTGACCTACTGTAACTATGAGGAAGTGTGTAACTCACAGTGACAAAAACTGTGAGGCCAGTAATGAATGAGGGAACTGTTTTCAACACAGTGATCCAACAATACGAGAGGAGCAGTGATAGACCTAAACAACAGATCCACTGTCTACAGAACTGAAATGTAGACAAGTGAATTCTAAAACTAATAAATCAACACAAACAGTTGTTGTAATCTACTTGGTCAGTAAATACAACAGAATTATCTTTGGATTAAATAATGGGAACAAGAAGAAAATGAGTAGGAATTTGTGGCAGCAAAAAAGAAACGGAAAAAAGCCAAGTGGAAATATGAGTGTTTACAAAGGGATTAGTTCAGTCATACCTCTCTGTCTGAGTCTCCAGCAGTCTGCAGTAAAGCCATAAGCAGAGCCATGGCTTTGGTTTGTATCAGCTGGTTTGTCCTGAAATATAAACAAAATGTTAAGTAATTAGTAATTAAGTATAAATGGCACCTCCTTTTTTATGGCAAATCGGGCTGTTTATGTCATGTATTTTGTAGTTTCAAATGCAAGGGCGTTCACAGAAGTTGTGGGTAAGCTGTGGTAAAATGTGGCAAGTTTCACAGATGAGTATACAGTTTCATCAAAGAAATGAATGATGCATTATGTAATTTTTCTCGAGGAGGGTCCTGTCACCATGAAGATGTTATTTCTTTGGCAGAACTGTGGAGAAGTGAGTCGGTTCACATATGCATGTTTTTCAAGGTATTTGTAGAAAATAAAATCACATTTTTAATTTACCATATTGTGAAACTTTCCAGGCAAAGCAAAGCGATAACATCTCAATGGGACCTTTTCTATAATCTATCTACAATACTAAAGTGCAACAATTCAGACATATATTGTATTTACCACGGTCGTACTGGGGACATACAGCCTCAATGTGAACCAAGGCTACGCTACTGTACTGCATGTCCATATTACGCTATTTTCTGATCTATGCTATAATAATATAATTGTTTCCTCACCAAAAACATATCTGGAGTTCTGCTTCATTCACACATGTTTAACACACAAACCCTGCACATTTAGTTCTTCTCTCAAACAGAAAATACTCCACTTCCACCAGTGATGTCATGTGGTAATACATGATGTGTTTTTTAAAACTCCATAGATGTTCACTTGGGTAATTTCAGCCCTGGAACTGCCAATCTCTACTGAACAATAAGTTCATGAGATCACAAGGTGGAACAGAGCATTTTGTGCTTTGTAGACAGTAGACAGGCTGATAATAAAGGGTTACTCAAACACGTGTCAATGAAACAAAATACAACTCCAGGTATGTTTTGGGGGAGGTAACAACATTCTGACATGGTCTGAAGCTCACAGGAGTACATTTTGCATAATATAGTACCTTTAGTATTAACAATATCTCTTAACAGTTTGAATGTACTTACACTTGGAGGTGAGCTATTAGTCGCTCCATGGTCACTTCATTCTTAACCTGCAGAAATAAGCTATGACTGCTCAGGACCATACTCTCCAGAATGTCTAGAAACCTGCTGGATAGATGCATCGGATGACTTTCCATTGACAAAGCTTGCAATCTGAAACCAGAGAACGAATGAGCACAGAGGAAGAGGACGAAAGCAACATAAAACAAACAAGAAATAGTTGTAACTATGCAACCTTTTTGATGAAGACAGTTGAGAGGTTTTCCCATGACACAATCCCATGGTCCATCAGTTCCATAAAGGCAGTTAGTGTATGTGTCATGATAACTGCACTCCTAGACAATACAACATACTGTTTGTTATCTTTATTTTGTGACAATAACCATACTTGTAGTATAAAAACTTAACTGTGATACAATAAAAAAGTTCCACAGTCCAAGGCACTTTGTTGGAGGTATTTAATAGTTTTTTTTTTGGTTACACGGGACAGGCCAACCAACAGAGTGTCTTGGACTTTTTTTTTAAATCATTTTTTACTCTAACACAAGTAATATACTACAAGCATGGTTATGTTCACTACTTGTTAGCTTATGAGCTTTGTCCTTGAGGAGCATCTATTCTGGACTTTTAACTAAGAAAAAACTCTCCTGAAGCTCTCACTCCTTTTATGTTTTTATACAAAACTGAAACTAGCTGACATGTTTTCCAATCAAATCATCATGCAGCACACACATACAAGTCCAATGCAATATAAAGTCTTACTCATGGGAGTCCTCTACTATCTTGACCAACAGTAGGTGCCCATCTCTGCTTATGAACTCTTGTGCAAAAGTCACATCTGTGGATACACTGGCCAGTTCCTTCAGCGAATCACAGCGCACGCCTGAGTCTGAGCTTTGGACGCCTTTGAACAAATCTTCTGCACAACGACCCTGTAAAAACAACACAACTTATGTGAATTAAAGGTATATTATGCACAATTTACTCTTGTGAACTTTAAGCCATGTTATGACATTGCTACCTCATCAAAAACATACCTGGAGTTGTGTTTTGTTTCATTCACATATGTTTGTGTAAGCTTATTATTAGACTGTCAACAACTCTGCTCTGTTCCACCTTATGATGTCACGATGTGGTAGTTTTAAAGTCACCAGCTACCGTTTACCTTAATAGAGATTAGCAATTCCAGGGCTGAAATCATCCAAAAGATTCTAGTGAAGGTATATGGAGTTTAAAAAACACAGTGGAGCACTTCCTATATTACCACATGACATCAGAAGGTGGAGCAGAGTGTTATCAGTTTGACAGGAGCGCTCAGAGTAAGTATGCAGGGTTTTGTGTGTTAAACGTGTGAATGAAACAAAACACTACTCCAGGTATGTTTCTGAAGAGGAAACTACATTATAACATAGCGCAATACAGGCCATAATGTGTCCCTTTATTGATAAAATATTAGTTCTTTTCCCAGTAGAAACAAGGGTCAGACCAAGGTACTTAATGCAGAGTCACGTTGGGAGGATTATAGTAAAAATCTAAATCACAATTATTTTGCTCAAAATTGAAATTATGATTATTTCAAATAATTTTTTCTATACTGTCAAAATGAAATTATAAAAAAGTATAGACCTAATATATTTTACTAGTTAAGTTTTGTGATACTTGCAGTATAGAAAAGACTTGATGTTCCAGGTTTTGAGTGACAGAACGAGTGCACATACTACTCTGAACTGGATAAATGTGATTAATTCTCAGACAGTTGTTTTTATAATTATACACCAGACAAATGCAAAACAAACAATTCTGTTCAGTGCTATGCAAAACCACACCGCCCAAAAAGACACACCCCCTCATTCAAAATTTTTTTTCCTTGATGTTTACTACTTTCTACATTTCAGATGCATATGGACATCAGATATATGAAATAATAGTAGTTGTTTGCATGAGATGGTGCGACAAACCTTTGTTGTAAGATGTAAAATGATGTAATCCCTCATTAGGTACACACAAAATATTTAATAATGTTTCTGTCAACTGTGTAAATGTACAACTGCTAAATCTGCAGTGTTTGAAAAGTGAGTGTTAAATATCTGTGGAAGTGTGAAGCAGGCCTATATTGTCCCCTATATGTATCTGAAATAATTTATCCCTTCTGCCATTTGCCTTTAAAATTCTGCGTTGATGTAATGTTTTTTTATTGGGTGCCTCTTAGACCTTTGAGCTCCTCTTTGTTCAGAATCGCTCCATGTATTGAATGTTTGTTTGTCACTACTGTGTTTTTTGCGGCTCAAACTAATTACCCCTGGTGGGATTAATAAAGTTGTCTGAATCTGAGGCTTGTAAGTCTTAAGAGTAAACATGGAAATATTTAGTAGGATAAGTAAAAATGGAGACTGACCGGGGCCTTGGTGAGACGTAGAATGCAACCGTTCTTTATGTCAAGGCGATTCTGCAAAACACAGACTCAGAGATGAACATGTGATATGAGCAATGAAGATGTATAAATAAAGTACCTTTGGTTTTGTGTCACTGACCACAAAATGCTGAGGTGTAGACTTGCTTTTCACACATTGGCAATTTGGTAAAGATAAACTCTAACGCTGTGCACGTTTCTAAATACAGAGTACAGCACTGCGCAAAGGGTAAAGCAGATGTGAAAAAATGCCTCATGAGCAAAAGTGTTAACTTGTCGCTGCTTTTCATACTGTTCCTTTGAAGGTGCACAAAGCAACTTTTTGGCTGGGGGTTCCTCAGTATGGCATTAAACAACTCTACCTTACCTTTATTCAATTACAGGTAGACTCAATGCTCAAAAATACCTAGAAAAACAAACAGTCAAACAGATCTGACCTGTAACTTGGTCCGCTTTGGCCTCCATGAAGATAGAAATGTTTAATACCATACTGGGAAATATTCCAGACAAAACAATATCATCTCCATGGAGAAAAGCATTTGACAAACCCTCTACCAGAAAATTACACAATGCACCTTTAATGGGATTTTAATACTAACTGACAGTGTAAACAATTAATTAATCATTTATGGTAATTTTGAAGAACAAAGATATAGGGCCTAACACTCTCACTTAAAGCTGGATTTAGAAGCATTTTTGTCACCGTGGTGAGTTAGCTAAGGTAAAAGTTCAGTTTTGCATTTGAAAAGAACTGCATAACAGATTGTCTCCATGCCAAACAGTGGATCTCTGAAAAGTTACCCGACACCCTGAGTGTTTTTCCAGCTGTTTTCTGCTTCTTGTGTTAGCTATCACACACCATCACAGCCCAGTTTAGTGTTAGTGCCAGTGCACATTATAAGTCACTGTCACAGTATCAAATGTTAGTGCTTTTACTGTAAGAAGAAAATAAATTATTCTCAATTACTGACACCAGCACCAAAAAAATCCTAAAATCATTTTTATATACAGTCTTTCCTTACAATATTCCTATAGTATGAACCTGCTTTATGAAATCAAACTTTCTGAATCATAAATTAAAGTTAATATCACATTAACAGCCAGATTAAAGCACATACAGGTTTACTTCTTTTGGAAAATATAATTAAATAAACTTTACTTATTATTGTCACAGTTAACTGTGACAATACTGTGACCCGAAAAAACACAATTATCAGTTAACCAAACACTCATGTCCCTACACATTATACATATAGTACAACTTACTGATTCAGTGATATAGGTCTGCACTCCATCTGCATATTGCATAGCGTAGTTGTCCGGACCTGGGAGATTCCATCTAAACACAGAAAAAAAAAAAAAAAACATATGCCAAAAACACATCCCACATAATTATGACACTGAACTTGCTCATGGCTCACGTACCCATCACAGACTTCCTTTATTACAGCAGACAGAGGCTTTTTCTGTACATAGAAAAAAAAAGAGAAACAGATGAATAGACTGCATTTCATATTCATGATCTATTTTCGGAAGCAAATTGTGCAATTAGGCCAAGCAGTTTTGTGAGAACCTTTTAAAATCAGAGTTTAGATTCCCCAAAAAGCAGAGACATATTTAGGATTGCATAACTTTAAGAAGAACTGATAACTCTTGAATCAGAGTGAGACTGAGTCTTCAACTGAAAACACAGACCAGCTGACTAGTTTTTAAACCATATCCAAAGAAGAAAGTAAATGTATCCTAAACTGAACCACTGTTGTTTCAATGACATTTTATATTTTTTCTAAATATCCACAGTATGGTTTGCCTCAGTGCAAATGCAGTGCTCTTGTTATGTGTTAACAAAATAAACAAGTCTAAGCCCATATCTGGCTCTTTACCATCCTGCTATTAGTGGTCAGGTGGTGGTCAACCCAAAGTGTTTGTTTTTTGTGGTAGAGGCAGTGGCTGCTTTCTGATTAGTTCATTTCATCTGTGTGTTTGGAGACACCTAGGCCACGGAGAGGAAACAAGAGGCCAAATGTGAAGTAGTACTTCGCTACATAATATGTTTATATATAAACTCTACCAGCAATGGTAGAGGGTGAACCCAATACATTTGTCTGCCTGTTATTATGTGTGATGTTATCATTAATACCACATTCAGAAAAACTCTGCTGCTAATATCTATCTAAAACATACTCTCTTTGACATTATTCTGTCATCTACAAGTTTTGTGGGTTTGGCTGCAGCTACAACTGTACTAAAGGTGTATCTGGGGAAGTGATATGCACATCTCATCTTTTTAAGTTTCACTATTCACACAGTCACGGTACAGATACAATACAGAAACAAATAATTCAATAGGAAAATGTCAAAAGACAGGGACAGTATTGGCATTTACTGTAATGTATCAATACTGCTCAAAGAGCAAGAAAAAATGCTGAGGAATTAACATTTGTATCAATAGTGGTGTTTAGCATGACACTGGGAGACAATCATCAGTTACCTGGTCCAGTTGTATGAGTTGAGGATATGCCCCAGGCATCTGGATGGCGATTTTTACTATATCCTTCTGTTGTGGCATTTTGGCATCTACTGACTCCACCAGTTCCTATAAAGTAAAAAAACAAAAAAACAAAGTAAATAAATTCTTTTAATATCACTAAGCATTGACCAGTTATGTTCATTATCAGTGTTGCTTCCTCTTTTACAGTTGATACTGTGCTATAAAGCTGAGACTGCTAAATGTTTTTTTTTAAACTCACTGCAGACTTTAATTTCCCCAGATGGTCCCTGCTCCCAGCAGACGTCAGACTCACTTCCTCCTCAGCCCTCACAGTATTCTCAGAGCTACAGAAGATGTGGTACTTCAGTCCTCCCCCTCCTCACGTTTACTTCTTTCCTCACAGACTCAGCATGTGGAAACTATACACAGTCCCATACAATCATCATGAGCACAGGATGAAGAGTCAGAGCTTGTCTTTGTTAACCCTTGCTCTATTCTCTATCCTGATTTTCTATTTGGAATGTTTTTAGTCAGTCAAAAACACTTCTTATGTGTGAAAGCATGAAATTTTACTTGTGATTCAACAAAAAAGTAAAAGTAAACCATGACCAGGACTTCCTCACAAAGACACTATAATTAGAATTTCTGTAAAAACGCTTTTTTACCTACACTGCTCCAACCAATCCACTTACAGTACACTTACAGTAATCAGAAACCAGTACTGTATGCTAATATTTATGAAACTGAAACTCTGAAACTATTTGAATCTAAACTTTAATTTCTATCAAAACAGTTAATAATACACACATACTGCACTTCCTGAGGAGATCACAGACAGCCATATTTCAGGGTATCTGTGGATGACAGGGCTGTGTGCTCATGTCGGGGCAAGCCTGGAGGAACACTAATATGTGCTGCTTATCTTGCCAAATATTCACAAGTTTAGAAATGGATTAACACGACTGTAACACAAAACTTTGCATCATTGCTCAAAGTCTGTCTCTGAGTCTGAGTCAATCAAGAACATAAGTGTGGTATAAAAGCTGATATTTGACTGGCTATTGGTAAATTTGTGAGACCAACAAACTCTACTGCCACTTTTTGCTTGACAAAGGATTTAATTGCTTTTTGGTGTTTTAAACAGAGTCAGTCAGCTGAGGTCTATGTCTGTACCTGCTATACACACTTTTCAGACTCAGGCCTACAGTTGAAGTGATTATGGTCAAAACGAACCTCGTCTAAAAAGGGTTAAGCTACAATCACTTTTGCACAGTGACAATGGATAATTGTACACACTTATATAATCAACAAATCACAACTAGGCCTAATTTTATGATGTTCAATGTTATTCATAAAGCTGTTATTCATAAAGCTACGTGTTGCCTTCCTTCATTTAAAGTAGATTAGGTTTACACTGTGATATCCGTGCAAATGAATTCGTGCAAACGACTGCTTTAGCAGCAGCTGTCATGAATTGTTCAGTGAACACTTTGATTCATTAGGCTTAACGCACGCTCCCCCTTTTGTTGAGCTGCAGCCCGGTTCAGGGTGAGGGTCTCTGCCGGCCCCCGTGAGGGCTTGCCCCGAGAGGGTTTGCCCCGGAAGGGTCTGCCCTGGCCCAGAGCCCTCACCTCAGCTCCCTGCGGACCACCACAGCGGAGTGGGAGGGTCTCAGCTGCCAGGAATTCCAGACCTGACATCGTGGACTATTAACTAAACGTTTGGGGCTGATCATTTGCATGATAAAACAAGACATTATAACTAATATTAGGCCGAATGAAAATCATACAAAAATGTTTCTAAAAAGTTTGACTTTCCCTCAAACCGTAGGTCAGCTCTGCTCCTTATTGTGAACAAGATTTACAGTAGGTTATTATAGCAGCTCATATAAACAGATAGTGCAGTTTTGTCCCGAGTCCTACCAAATGGTCTTACTAAAAGGTCCTACCGAATGGTCCTACCTGGTACAAGAAGACAAGTCGAGGGCTACTGTCCTGCGGGAACCACCGCACACATTTGCGCTGATTGTTTTTCTCTAAGCTGAAGTCACTTTTACACACGTCACTTTACTTGCGATAACATCCCAAATGTATAAAAAATATAGTTCAAAGGTCTTGGTAAAGATTTCGGACTTTTAACCATCTGAAAAAGTTCCGGGTTGGGTGAAGTTATTCACCAAATGTCCGCTGTCAAGAGAGTCGAGTTAAGCGCGACCATTTCCGGATTTGACATAAGCACTTGTAATTCAAGTCACTAAGGTACAACCTTTCAAATTAAAGGCATACATCGTGCTGCCTTTTAAACTTGAAAGCTAAAACAAACATACAAAATAGTGAATAATGTTTTTATTGGCCTAGGCTTGGTGGTTGCCTAGTCAAACTGGACAATTATTCTGGAGACAATTTGCAGGATGTGAGCGCAGAGAGAACAAATTCGTAGATACAGAAGACACAGCCGCCCTCTACTGTCTTAATTATCCATTGGCTGTAAAGTCAGTGGCCTATTGGACTCTATAATGACTTACTCTTGTAATGTGCTTTACAAGCTTGATTAGCCACACTGCCGTTGGACATTACAAATGAATGTCAGCTTCTTTATTTGCAGGAAATAATTCAAGGACAGTATCACCATGTGCAGCCAAAAGATAAGCCCTATCAATGGCAGCGTTCTCCATATTGCCCCCCCCCCCCCCCCCCAAAAAAAAAAAAAAACCGAATAAGACATTTTCCCACAAAATTGTTTATTTTAACCATACATCTTCAGCTTGGTGTTGAGCCTGTTGGCTTGAGTCTCCTTGTTGATTGCTGATTCTAAACCACAGTTCACAACACTGGCCAAACCAGGCGGCACACTGCTGACCTTGTGGGTCAATAGTGTCCAGTCCATCCAGTGATGTAAAGTGCTTCAATCAATCCAGATGCATTGATAAAGGGGAAATTAAGTTCTTAGAGATTATGTCCAACCTTAGCCAAAAAGCCCACAACCCTGTCGTATCAAGCAAGTATAAAAAATAAATGCTACTATACAAGCTGCAATTTGAACAAAAGCATGGCAGAGCGCTTTAACTCAAAACATTTCATGAAAGACAGTGTAGGATCATGATGAATTATGGCAACATTTGTAAGTTAATGCACCCATCACTTGTGAATTGCTGCACATCTGTCCACTGTACTGAGAAAAGAGGAAGGGCAGCATCAAACAAAGATAAACAGAAGGTACAGTAAATCAAAAAAACAAAAATGTGCCAAAAATATACAAAGACGCGCAAATATAAAAAGTGATTATTTAGACTTGGTGACTATGCTCACTGAATCAGTGAAAAGAAATGTTTTACATACACAATGTTTCTACACATACAATATTACTGTGGGAACTATCTCTGATGTACAACAGAAAGAAAGAAAAAATGAACAGTCAAACACATTTAGTCTGTTCAACACAGTCTCATATGCAGTAGAGCTGATGTGATCTGCAAACATGTAAAACATTTGTATAAACCCCTGCAGTGTTTTGGTCCTTTGTCATGCCCTTAGCATGTCTGTGTAGTTCATCAGCATTATCATGTCATGACTTATAAATCACACTGCATTCACAGTGTTTCATCACTAAAGCTTAAAAACAACATATTCAAAGATACACAGCATTTTTTACACTGGTATCAAACTATTTATATAACAACCTTTATACAAATTTATATGGTTACTACACAATAATATTGTGTTAGTTTTACAAAATATATTTTTCTATATACAAGAGGACAGTGCATACTTTACACCTGTATTTGAACGTATTCATGCCATGCAAGAGCAGCTGCCACTGAAAAGCTGTGCTCACCATTTCTTGATTATTGACCTGATAGGAACATCTGAAACATGTAAAAACACCCACACATTCACTCAGGCATACATGATACAAGATAGAAACATACACAATAATCCAAAAATAGATTATCATTTGTCTGAATCAAATCCTTGTGAGATTTTTACTTCTATACAACTCAGGCAGGGTTTAGTCCAAGGGAGGCGAGCTTGAGTGCTGGTCACAGCAACATTGTCTTTTACGCACCTCTTTGAACTCACTGTCCATGAGCGAGATACAAAAACAGGGTACAAAAGCGTGTTTGAAGAAGTTTCTCAGAAGACTCTTTGAGGTCAGAGGTTTAATATTGGGACATCAAATAGATCGCACAGGCCTTCAGTCTCATCCAGGTTATAAATGTAGTCATGGTCACTAGGTGGTGGGGACAGACGGAGGAGCGGCGAAAACACTGGTGGTCAAAGACATAACAGGAGTAATAAGTCCAAAACAAAAAAAATAATGCAGTAATAGGTTTGTATACACATAAACATAGTCATTTACCTTCAGAGGACATTAGGTCTTCCAATAAATCTCCCCCCATAATCTCTATATAACATAAATACATGAGAAATGTTAGATCTGAATAGTGTAACACAATGAATTCTATCCAATAACAGGAGCCACAATGAACACATGGTTACCACCCCCCCTTAACAGTGGCCATGTTATTAATGGCAATATATAAATGACTACGATATATACACTGTACCGTCACCTTTTGTGGGATCAAACATCTCAGACAGTTCTTTGGGAAAGTCCAACACTATAAGAGAGAGTTACACAATTATAAATTACGGATAAACGGACAAATAAATTATGACATCCATGCATTCTGATATTTATTATTCATACAAACTCTCCTCATGTTTTGCTCTGTTCTTGCGTCGAAGTGTGTGATATATTTATCATAGACAAATGTGGCTCTACTCTCTCTCCTCAGTCTCTGTATTTTATTCTATGCATTGCCTATAGATTCTTCATGTCATTTAAATAAAGAACAAAATTACTTAATTTAAAATAGGTATTTAAACAGTTCACCATTATCCAAAATAGAACATAAAAACAATACATTGCTATCATGTGTACAAACCAAATAAAGGACAGCTTTCAACAATAACTCACGTTCAGAGGGATCTGACTTGATGGGCTCAAATACTGCAGAGGCAGATGACGCTGAACTGTCCAAAGAAGCAGACGACTGAAGTTGCTGACCAACTGTAGGAGTCTCTGTTGTCGGGGTGAGGGGAGACGTGGTTGTTGGTTCTAAATGGAAAATTAAAGTTTCAGTCACAAAAATATTATATTCCTTACAGATTACTGATGTTTTGGTTTAAGTGTAATATATTTTTGCACCTGTTGTTTTGGTCGGGAGGCTGGTCGCACTAACTGATGTTGGAGTGGAACCAGATTTGATTGAAGGTGTAACACCTGTTTTGGAGATCTGCTTGGGGAAAAAGAGTGATTTTAGCCAAACTGTATTTTTACACATTTAAAAAGGTGCACTACGACTTCACTAGGCCAAGTTACAGGTCATGCCGGATCAATATGTGAAGAAGTGATCCTGCTCACAGTAAGAAAAGTTCCACAGTTCCTTTAAATGACAAGACTTGTACTGACCTGTGAGGCTGCAGCGGGGGTCTGTGAGGTAGGGGCTGGAAGACTCTGGAGAACATCATCTGGAGGAGGAACAGGCAAAACTACAGGAGAGGCACTGGATGGGTCCTTATTGACCAACAATACTTCTATAGGCCCAGATGAACTTTTGAGACGAATCTGATATTTCCTTTGTCCATTAACCACCTAAACGCAGATATAGACATTTACAATGCAGGGTATACTCGAGAGCCAATATAAACATATTCACTTACAGTTTCAGGGATGGGCACCTCTAGTTGTGTACCAATTGGAGCACGGATCGCAAGAAGTGTGTCACCTGCAACAAATCTTTTTTTTTAGACAAAGCAAGTAAAGAATTATAAATGCAATGTTGTGGCCAGAATTACCTTTGAAAACTCCACAGAGATCTTCGTGTTTTACATAAGCCATAGTATAAGCGAATTAAGGATAATAAAAAATAATTGCAAATAAAGGTTTAGTGGTTTTAGCAGTACTCCAGTATACAGAACATGATTAATACAAATAAACAAAAAGATATGGACTGTTATTGGAGTCATCTGTGACATTCTTGATGCTTTGTTGGACCCACACTCTCTGCTGGTCCAGCTCATGTTCCCTGAGAGCGAGGTCATCAAGTTCAGCCTTGAGATCTATCAGTTTATCTGCAATTTCTCTTGTGTTGCATCCAGGACCAACACCCCTAAGGTTGATATAAGAGTAACAAATAAAAACACAGGTCAGATCAACATACATCATTTTGTTCAATTATGGAATTAAATGGTGATTATAGTAAAAGACAGACAAGGATGAGAGATTGGGTCACCTCTAATGATATATTGATCTTTGTAGGTGAAATGCAATTTAAATACTGTGATGTAATTTGCATGCATATCGCAGCTACTGCTAGAGACCTAGAGCAACTTGAAAAAAGGTTGATGGAGGCTCAGCTGTAGTAGTGCTGCTCAAATATGGAAACAAATAAGTATCACAATAATTTCAATTCCATTATAATTTAAATCACAGAATGGATCTGCACAGTGAAAGAGAAACTAAAAAGACCAAATAACAGTGTAATTAAGTCTTCAGTTACAATTATTGAATATATTGTATGTGGTCATATTTAATATTGAGGAATTCTAGGGCATATCACCCTGCCCCAATATTAAAAAAATTTGAGTGGTGTACATTACTGATGGGGCTGTTTTCACACAAGACATAAACATGCAAAAATATGTAAGATGCAACCATATAAAAATGATGTGTAGTAGAAAATTGAAAACCACAAGTTGATGATACAGCATGTAGTTCACAATTGGTTGGTACTGTACCATGGTGATGTAGAAATAGAAGCACTACTCTTTCATGAACTGAACATTCACACCAATGTTTACTTACTTCCACTGAATACTGTTCTTGGACTTCTTCTCTATCAGTCCAATTCCCTCCAGGACATTAGTGATATCGTAAATGCGCCGCTTTTGCCGCACTGCTAATGTGTCAGCTGCCTAATAGACAAGAGAAAAAATGAATAATTATCTTACAATCAAATGCAGGACTTTATGTCAGAATATTAAATAAATACAATGCAATACAACTGTAGGCCTGTCTGTAATTACTATATGGACTGCAGTATAGTTTATGTCATATATCGTTCATATATGAAATGTGCAACAATATATTTTGGGGAACATTTATTGAGTCTACAATTTCTGTGGGATATTTTTTTGTAATATTAAAAGATTTGAGTTGTAAATGGTTGAATAAGTGATTTCTATGGCTAATCATTTATACATACATTCCATGATTTACTTGTTTGCAACTTTGCCTTTTAATGTTTATGTAAAATAGTTTACTAGGATGATTTTGCATTATTGTTTTTGTGACAGTGGCATTAAGTAGTTTCAATATTAAAGTCTATTGCAGTATCTCTGTAGCAATATATTGTGCTTCAAAATGTGTTAATGTGACAGGCCTGGGTTTTCAACAGACTGATATGATTGATAATAACATGTGTGACGCTGATAATCTGGCCACCCTCTGTGACCCACATGTAAACCCTCTGATGGGTAATGGTCAGGAGCATGGGGGAAAACAGCAGCACCAGAAATATAGTAAAATAAACGCAAGCACTGAAAAAACACCATTTGAATTTTACATCATATATAATGTATTGTATATGTTTGGCCAGGGTAGTAAGAATATATTTTAATTTAAACTTGAAGGTTTTAGTGCTGGGTGCAAATACATCAAAGCGTCAGTGTCATTGAAGCATAATTATTCATGTGTGAAGATGCAGAAGCGCTACTCTTGAAAAGAATGACAAAAGATGACCCACTTTTAAACTCTGAATCTGCAGGGGGCAGAGTCAGAAAAGTTCAGCTAAAGTTGGTTCACTATAGAGTCCTCGGCCATTTAACACGAGGCATACAGTAAATGTGTGTATCCCGACTACAGAAATAAAAAGTGGAATAGTAAAACGAGAAGCTAGAGTTATTTATTCGAATGTGCCTGTCACACAGCTAGGCTAGGCTAATGAGTGAGCTAGCAAAAGTGAATGTAACCCAACGACAGCAGCGGGTGGCTCAAAATGACATGTGCTAGCTAACAACAAAAGCGGTGGTGTGTTTACTCACAGCTTTGAGATCAAGAACTCCGTCTTTGGCCTCCTGTAGTAGCGTAACAAACTTAGTCGTGAGCAGTCCTAAGCTCTTTTCGTGTCTGCTGGGTGTTTGTGGCTGCAGAGAGTCCCCCATAGCTCCCAGTTCGCCTCTGTTACTGGCCGTCTCCAGCTCCATCATCACTTCCCCCTGCCTCCCCGACCGAACCCTGCCAGCGACCCGACAATGCACAGCCCTCCACCGCAATCGGACGTTCACAGGGACGAAGAAGTGATTGTATTTGTAAATGCGTATTGGTTTTCAAATATTTCCCATAAATTTAGTTGAGTCCGCGGCGCAGGGTGTTTCAATGAACAGACAGTCGGTGAAGTGAGCCGTTGGCCACGCGAGGTATGACGGGACGGTTCAACCGTATGAGGGACTGGCTGCGTCTGCGCATTTCCATTGAAAACGTAAAACAACACAAAACGTCTCGTGCAAACTAAAATATTTAGAAAATTGTAATAGATAGTTAAAAGTAAAATGCTGTTAATATTTAGGGAATGAATATAAAATATATAGTGTCATTAAAAAACAATGAACCAGATTATTCGTCTTTTATGAATTGAGCAATTTATAGATAAACCCTTCTTAACTCAAACTTCAAGAAAACTCACGGACGCGCGTTTATGCGTGCACGAAGAAGCGTTTCTGTAAACAAAGCAAACAAGCAAAGTCTTTTCTTTTCTTCAAAGTGATATGGACACAATAATTAAACCATTTAAAGTGTGCGTTGTATAATTATCACTATGCTGACACGGACCATTTTACCTAATATTAAAACCACAGTATGTAGACTAAAATAAAACATGTTTTTGTTTGTTTCAACATGTTCAAGTATACTTTCTTGTGTGAAAGGACTTGCATCTCCACAAACCTTACTGGTATTTGGCCTGGAGGAGGGCCTTCCGCTTGTTTCCATGGAAATGATTTTCCTTTGGATAATCTTTCACAGATCATTCTATCTCATGGAGAATGTTCTAAAGCGTGGTATTAACTCTCAATGTGCCACCTCCTGAAAGTAACTTTAATAATACTGTTAGAGTTAAGCGAAGTGTATTTTAGCCTAAATGTGCTGTACACTGTAGTTTAGACATAACAAGATCAAATTTGTAATCGTATTTTTCCTTGTTGTTGTTGTTGTTGTTGTTGTTGTTGTTGTTGCTGTTAAAAACTTAAAACTGTCTACTTTAGTTCTCTGGGGTAAAAAAAAAAAAAAATCCCTGGGGTTTGAGATTTTCTCCATATTTCTCCACAAGGTGGCGTATGTGCATAAAAGTACTTCTGGCACATGAAAGTTTAAATATATTCCAAACCAAATATTTTGTAGAACCCTCTCTATCACACATTCAACTAATAACCCCACAAATAATTCTTAATATATAATAAAACGTGCTCCTGTAAACCTAATCGTCACGTATCGCTCTTGTTACGAAAGTGCAGGAGCACTTCTCACTCCACACTTTGGAGGCAGTAGTCAGCTGACTGCATCCACCAACACTATCAAAACAATCCACTGTACCGCTGTGTGGATGCTTTCTCGAACAGGTATTTGACATTAAGAAGAGAAACCTTGAATCAGTATTAGGTTTCAAATGTAGGCAGCTTTATACTGCTCTGTGGTACTAGTCTGAATATTATATAGGCCTATGATGCATAATATATCCAAAGGAACGCTTTAGGCGCAAGGCTACCATAACTGTATATGCTAATGCTATACAGAATACATATTGCTGCTTATGTCTTTTCAGCTGAAATGAAGAAAAACAAAGGCAAGACGAACATCGCAGCAGAGAAGGAGTTTGTATTCGAGTTCAGGGCTGGACGACATAACTGTGTCCTTAAGGTGCCTCTAATATTCCCTGTCCAAGAAAACATCAATGATCTTCATGGGCGTTTGATGCTGCTTCACAAAATACCATGTTATATAGAAAATGGTAAGATGCGTCTTCAACCTGGTCTATGCAGTCAATATAACTGTGTAATTAACTGAAAACCACCTCCGTTTCTTACAGAACTAAAATCTGCTCTTACAAACTTTGTTGATAAAGAGACCATCATAGATTATGACAGGGAAGCAGAGCTGGCACTGCAGAGACTCACCACAGGAGATGTTGACGTGAACCAGCTGACCAATGCTTGGTCCAGGTCTTATGTTGAGGTAAACATTGAATTAAATATTTTGTTTCCATGTGTTCTCAGTTGTGCCCTTTATATTACATTGCTGATTCATTCAAAACAGAGATATCAGTAAGACATTTGTGTTTTCATTTCTTTTCAGTCATGACTAGTCATTTCCATCTACTGAATAGTCATCACTAGATGAAGACAGGCTAACCGGGTTAATACAGTATACATTTAATAGCAAAAAGAAAAGCTCAAAACAACACTGCTGTTATGAATTTATATTTTTCCTTATAGTATTATATTTGTTAGTTTTTTTTAATAGTTTTTAGTTGTGGTTTTAACCTTTCAATAAAGTATAAATTACTGTTTATAATGTTCTGTATCACTGCTTTTTCCTTTAGACAACCTTGGAGCATGCTCACCCAGAGGAGCCCAGCTGGGATGAGGACTTTGCAGATGTATATCATGAACTGATCCACTCTCCTGCCTCGGACACTCTTCTCAACCTGGAACACAACTATTTTGTCAGCATCTCAGAGCTCATCAGTGAACGAGATATGGAGATAAAGAAGCTTCTGGAGAGGTTGGTCAAAATTATGATTTTGTATATATTTAAATTTAAGATGGATTCACACTAGCTCTTACACATGTTAAATAGTTTCTTACTATTTTAGACAATCTACTGAAATGGAAAAAGTGATGCTTGAGTTGGGAAATACTTTAACTGACCAGGATGTGAATGCAGTTGCCTCTCAACATTTTGATACACAACAGGTAAACACTGCCCTTTGTTAGGTCACCCTTAGTTACAGTATTTGTTACTATGTAATTATGTAAATACATTTTAGTACTGTTGGTTAAGGTTATGAGTTAATGGGATCAGGTTACACAATATTAAATGTTGTTACATTGTGCTTGATGAGGTTGTGTTTTGACCCAGGTAGACCAAACAAGGCCATGGGAGTCAAAAGGGTTAACATTTTTATATATTAAATTAGGTTATTTCTGTTCGAATGCACCATCCAATTTAGGCATGATCTAAGAATCGCTTATTTATGGCCCACACATCTCTCAGATGAAGAACTTCTCTCCTCTTGAGTATTCTTGTAACTTTCTTATGACATGTATTTTTATTTATTTTTTTCACAAGCTGCAATATTTGTTTTGACACAAACAAATCATGCATTTGTCTGGTTAATCCACCTGTCTATCATGCCCATCAGAAATTGTGCTATTCACATCAGTTCCAGATAAAACATCTTCATAAAGGATGGTAAAAATCTGTTCTGACATGACTTCCCAAGTCTTAAGGAAAAAATCTAAGCCTGTATAAAAAGACAATAAATACATAAGGTTGGTCCCACTAAGTCAAAGCAGTTAAAAATAAACCAGGAAAAAAGTGAAAAAGTTGCAAATGTATATACCATTATATTATGGTTTGTGTTACCTGTACTTCTGTATTAAACTATATTACATCTGCAGTTTGTTGAACAAAAAGGTTCCTTTTCTCAGGTTTTATTTTCCACTGTATATTTTTCCTATTGCTTTAAAGGAGTTGGAGAACAAATGGACCAGTGAGTTGAAGCAGGTGACTGGTATTCAGAAGCAGGAATATCAGGAGTGGGTCATTAAATTACACCAGGATCTACAAAAGTCAAACAACAGCAGTCAAATAAAGTGAGTTTACATAGATCTGCTCTGTTATAGTGCTGCTTTATTGGAGGGGCCTCCAATTAAATTTCCCACAGGGCCAAAACATTTCCACCTTCCAAAACTGTTGGCCACAAAAATCTTTATGTGCCAAAATACAATCGTAAAAATGGCATTGATCAAAAACATAAAATGTGCATTTATTACTTGTATGGTGTGTATGTGTTTGTTTTAAATTCCTTTTACATACAAACAGATTTCCACATGCTCCTCGCATGCTTGCTTAATGGAAGGTTTAGTTTGGCAAAGTGTGCAACACTGACTAAGGGCTGTATGCCATATATATTTATACAAATCAAATGTACTAGTGGTTAATAATAGGTAAAATAAAGTTGGTGAGGCAGTCTGACTTTGAACAATGTCGCTAACTAATGAATTGACGTATTCAAATTGGACTTGGGATCTATTTTCTTTTTTCATAATTCTATTATTTCATAATTGTATTAATTTTATTCTTGTGGGTTTAAGTAAGATTAATTAACCAATAAGTGAATTGTGAAATTACATAAAGAATTCTGAATGTTGCTGACTCATGACTACACCACCTTAACCTGTGCTTTGGTTTTGTCACAGTGAAGAAATTAAAGTCCAGCCCAGCCAGCTGTCTGAGGAGGGAGAGTCTGGGAGCCATATGTTTGAGGAACAACCTCTGCTGGAGGAGAGCTTCACAATTCACTTAGGTACCTGAGTGCAGACGGCAGCATATTTATGATGACACCACATACTCAAACAAATTATAATAATAGTGATGGGGAGATGATGTCTGGAGCTGGAGGTGTATTTCACACATTCCCCTTCTTGTGTTGTCACCTTGTTGGTGCGTTAAATTGTGCCATTTTCTTTCCATTTCCTGCAGCCTGAGAAAAACTAGGTACTCAATGTGGTTGATATTATAGAGTTTCTGGACACTCAAAGACACAAGTGAAAAAAGAAAAATGATTTAAAAAAAAAGAGAACAAAGACACCACGGATACACCTCTGTATCTTACTATCCTTCTTAGGACCGCACTGCATTGATGTCTGTCTACACACAGCTAATACTGTACGTGTTTCTAGTTGTATTGTAACGCAATATTTTCTCTCATTAGGGGCCCAACTAAAGACCATGCACAATTTGCGGCTGGTACGTGCAGATGTGCTTGACTTGTGTAAACACCGGAGACATGGCAGCAGTGGAGCCAAACTGAGGCGGCTGCAGACGGCGCTGTCTCTGTACTCCTCCTCTCTGTGCGGTCTGGTACTGCTGGTCGACAACAGGGTCAACTCCTACAGTGGAATCAAGAGAGGTGATACGCAACATAGAGCTAAGATACTCTTAATGGTGCATCGTGCAACTTTTGGTGAGAGTCTGTCACCAGCTTCTCTTCATGGAGATATTGATGGGGATGTTCTTATTATTTATCTGTATGGAGAAGACAGGTTACACTACAGGGCCAAGTTACATGTCAGATCTGTGAAAAGGCAAGCCCACTCACAGTAAGAATGCAAGTTTTTAAGTCAGTAAACATGAATAAAAT